ATCAGCAATCAAGAATCTCTCTGCACTTACAGCGTATGAGCTTACTAAGGTTGATCTAAAATATGCCATCCAGGACAATAATCATATACTAAGAAAACTCGATGACTTGAATAACTCTAAATCCCTTGAGGGCAAGACAGTTATTCACGCATCCTTTGACATAGAGGCTATGTTCCCGAGTATCCAAAAGGAGGTAGGATTGGAACAATGTAGGCTCCATTTAGACAAGAGAGAGGACCCAATACTCTCTACAGATTGTATAATAGATGCCTTAGAGACAACTCTAGACAACAACATAACAGAGTTTGAAGGTGTCATATACAAGCAGAAAAAAGGAACTGCAATGGGACCAAAGAACGCTTGTGCTTATGCAGATACAGCCATCGACAAGATAGACAGAGATGTCATGGAAGGGACTTGGAGCCACCCTCCTCTCCTATGGGCCAGATACCGCGATGATGTGTATGTCCCTTGGACCCATGGACAGGAAATGCTCGAGGAATTCCACTTATGGCTCAATTCTAGAATGCCAGGCATAAAATTCACGTTGAAAGCTTCATTAGAGGGCACTGACTTCTTAGACACTTTTATATACATGAAAACAGGCCAACTACATACCAAACCTTACAGTAAGCCATGTGATGACCATGCCTTCCTAGTTCCCACCTCTTGCCATCCTACACATACCATAAAAAACATACCTTATAGCACTGCACTTAGAATCTTTAAACTTACTTCTGAGCATGATGAGTACATACAAGCACGAGCACAATACACAAGCTATCTTGTGGCAAGAGGTTATAGCAATAGCTTAATTAACCAGGCCTTTAATAAAGTGGAAACCAAGAGCAGGCTCTCCTACTATCAACAACAGAGACATAAGGAGGATGACAGTAGCAAAGGGAGACTCATTCCCCTTGTAACAGATTTCAACCCAGGTCTCCCCAACATAGGACGGATACTTAACTCCCACAAGCACATCCTCCGTCTAGATCTCGAGCTTTGCAAGGTGATTGACCCTGATGGTATTTTTACCTCTTTTAGAGGGACAAAAACACTTCATGAGATTCTTATTCATAGCAAACTCCCTCCTGTTGAAGAGCCAGCTGTAGAAGATCCAGGCCACGCCTCTCCAGACACAGCTGAGGATTCTGATTCTGGAGGTTGCTTCCCTTGTGCTAAGAAATGTGATCTCTGCAAAAACTTCCTGAAACCATCAACCACAATCGGCAGTTTCCACACCAACCAAGTATTCAGTATCAAAGGACGATTGGACTGTGATACCAAAAATGTTGTGTACATAGTTAATGATAATACTTGTAAGTTAAGTTATATAGGATGTACTTCAGACTCTTTAAAGGTTAGATTTAGGAACCATAAATCCCACATTAAAACTCAAAGAAGGACTTGTGAACTTTCCTGCCATTTTATAGATAATGAGATTTTGCACAATCTTGACCGTACCACCACTAAGTTGTTTACCAGCACTTTAAGTAAGGACATTAATGTTTCTATTATAGAGCAAGTTGACGTTGGGAATTTTGAGCAATGTGCCCAGGATAGACTAAGTATTTGTAAACAAAGGGAGAACTTTTGGCAAAACCAGCTTAAAACTTTAAAGCACTTTGGAGGGATGAACGTTAGAGAAGAAAGATGATTTTCTTCTTGCATATTTTATTTTCTCACCTCTACCACTCATTTGGGATTTCAACCCACCATAACTTGAATTGCTGAGTTACAAAATTTTAAATTTCTTTTATTTGATTGATTGATGGATTGATATTTTGAATAAATTTACTAACATGTCTTTATATCAGGATGACTGTAAAGGTACATTTTACCGACATTTGAAGTCAAGGCGTTGTTTTACTGATAGTTGTGGCTAACTAATAATATATATATATATATATAAGGGCTCGCCATGCCTTGACGAAAGTTTAGCAGACAACATGAACGTTTTTGCAGATAGGAATTATATCAGTTTGTTCATAAAAAATGTGGGTGTGTAGTTAGAATTGCTCTTGTGCAGGAAAAAAGGTTACCAGGTTAAGGTTTTTTCATACTCATGGCTTCATGGGGTTAGGAGTTCACCTAGTCGTATCACTTTATAAAGGTGTACCCTCTTTGTGTTCCAATATGAGAGGTTAACAAAATTTGCAACAGATCCTAACAAAAACAAAACAGAATACTTTATCTGCATCCTAACCCTTACCCTAACTCAAATTGTTCAAGCTGTCTACCGTAATGTCTACCCTAAACCCTTAGTGACCGGGTTTCTTGGATATTATCAACTTTCTCTGACAAACTCTACATCAAGATTCTAACTTATATACATACCAACTATTTCGTTATGCTACACTCATCAGACTTCTGTAGACATTAGCTTATTGATATTCTACAAAGAATACAGGTACGTACCTCATTTACGTCAATTGAGTAATACTAATAATGATTGTGCTACTAGAGTACTTACCCCGACCAATCGTCGGTTCCATTATTCATCCCACAACAATCAAGCTGAAAATATTTTACGTCAATGAACGTAAAATTTACGCAAAAGTCGATCTCCTAAAAGCTATCAGGCACAAAGAGATTTACTGCGGAACCATGTTGTGATTCATCCATACTCTTAAGAGGATTACCGTCCTCCTAAGAGGTGTACCATTTTACGGAGAATAAAAATATGTACAATGTAGGCTAGCCGGTATATAGCCGGTATATAGCCGGTATATAGCCGGTATATGGCCGCTAGCGATAAGCTAATTTCGAAAGTGGTCTTTTACAGTATATTCTTACAGCCTTCTGGAGGTAATCGAATGGCTCGGTGGCGTTCAAAGTAAAGTTCTCTCCTCCGTAGAGTCTGAGTTTGCTGGTGAAGATATCGGATATATCTGATCTGACCTGGTAATTGAAACTGTCTAGAAATTAAAACTGTGCGTAAATAACACATTTAAACATTTTCTTTGTTTTAATCATGTTTGAGCTCACTATTCAGTTTCTTAACAGAAAGTAGAAACTAGCAGTAATATTAATAAAACATATCAAAAAGTTCTGATCGACCTCCTCTTTATTTGTGATGAAGACCAAGATAAGGACCACTTGAGCAAACACTGCAGCACAAATTAGCAGGAAATACTGAAGATTTTGCAGTTATTAACGCGAATAACAAGGAATAGTGCTTATTAGTACAAATGAACCCCCGGCGACGTGAGAAAATGAAAAGACTGAGTGGTAAACAACTTAAATACGATTTTGGATAATTGTCATAATATTTATGCAATATGCAGCCATCACGCTCTTTATCGCCAAAACTTAGACACAAAGTTACAATTGTAGCACATAAACCCAATAGAAGTGGCGCAACGGTAGAGCACGGATATCTTTTATATAATAACTATTGTCGACATTGGTTGATACGGAAATAAGATACATTGTATAAGTTTTAGATAAAGTTAAATAGGTTTCCGATATAAATATAACCCTAACCTGTACAAAGCTACATATGAAGGTAACCAATGCCAACGTAAAAGGTTAAATCCCCCATTTGACGTATTAAGTTTTTACACAGCAACTCTTACTGAAGTGAAGTAGGGGGACCCCCCCCCCCCCCTGAAGTACAAACCATAGTTAGAAAGAGGGTGCTAGATTTGTTAGCTCCACAGCAACCCATACCAGCTACGATGAATATAGCTGCCCCAATCCAGATCAGCATGGTGCTCACCGAGATATCATTGCCTGGGAAAGAAAATACCTTATCGCAAGTAATAATCTCTGGTATGATTAAACAGAATTTTTCCTTGTGTTTGAAATAGAACAAATTATCAACTGGAGACAACTCACCTAGAAATTCTTCGTATCCCTCAGCTTCTAGTTTAACATACAGCCCGACAGCGATGAAACCGATCCCTGCAAACTTTTGTATGTCACTACTGAGTACTGAGTCTGTTTCTCCTGCCATATTCAACAAATACTCAACAAAAACGTTAAGAATTATGGTGATTTGGGGCGAATATTTAATCTGGCTGTAAGCTTGAATCAAGTTGTGGGCTTTTAATATAGTTGTAGGCTTGGTTCCTACTTCCTACTAACACTTACCGAAACGACGATATTCATAATGAAGAGTATCCACTTGACACAAGCCTCTCCCAAATCCATGTGTCTCCCGATAATATTAGCAGGTTGCTTGTTCACTCCCACAAAATTAGGAGCTACTTGCTGTATCAGGGATATTCCCTTGTCGAACTTCATTGTGTCTTCTAAGCTGAGAGTCTTGTAATTAGTAGTAATTAATTAGTAGTAGTGATTAGTGGTGATTAGTACTGGTTAGTGAAAGGAGCGAGGAGACTGGAATAGTAAAGTTTTGTTGTTCACATCTCCTTGATAAACAGACCAACAACTATTTTACATTAGTTATTGAAGGGTGAATAAACAAACAGCTTGACAACAAAAAGTCGGAGTCGGACAACCAAATAACAAATCACGTCACAAAGTAACAAAAATCCAAATGAAGAGAAACGAATCCCAACCAAAAAACTGGAAGAATTAGAAAACTAAAGACGATTACGACATGATGTAAACAACAAAGAAACAGGGAAGTTCAAGTTGAAGTATTGAGGAGCTGTATACAACTACAAACTCCAGCAGCGGAGATAGCACTTTGTACACCAAGTAACATTTCCTCATGGAGACTGTTGGAATTAGAGCTGATTTAGAGTTAATCCATACAATGTGATATTTTTTAGTTTAATTAATAATTTGTTTGTTGGTATTGGTAATTAGGTAGTTTTTATCCCATCTTGCATTAAATTTTGACTCACTCAGTTTATAATAACTGAGAAAAACTATTTTAATTTATACTGCAAATATGATATTTACCACTGGCTGGTTATAATATGGCCCAATTATCGCAAAATCAATGACCGATTGTCATTTTACTTTTTATTTGAGAATTTTACTTTTTATTTGATAATAAAGTCTAGCTTGTTGTTATAGTTGCCAGTATGGTCCGAGTGTACTACGGAGACCACTTTGAGCATCCTTCAACCCACGAACATTTAACAACTCCAGAAACCGTGGCCAAATTCGCTAACCTGTTTCTCAGCTTCCTTCTCATGGTACACACCTTGTTTAGCCAAATAGTGAAACTTTTAATAGTGTTTTTTTGTGTATTCTTGGGAATATTTGGTTGAATATTGTTATCTTTGGAAATGTTGGCGTGACGTCACATCACGTATCATGACGTCACATCACCCATCAGGTTGGAGGTATAGCGTGTGCTGTTATGGGGGTTTGGCTTGCTTCCACTGCTAATGAGTACAACTACTTCATCACTGCTAAAGGTTTGTTTCTACTTCTAGATATATAGTAAATGTTTCATAATTTACTTAATTTTAATTTTATTAACAGTCAGCAGTTGTCTCATTTTTGCCAACTTTATTCAAACGAATTATTGATAACAATTCGATTAATCCTCAATGATAGCAAACTGTGGCCCAATATACGGAAACTTCATTGATTCAATATATCTCGATTATGTCAAAGCTTTTGACAAAGTTGACCAGTCCAAAAACTACTACTGAGAAAACTCCAAGTCTATGGTATTCATCCAAAAAAATCATAAAGTGGGTAGCATCTTTCCTCTCAGACCGGAAACAAGCAGTCGTTGTTGAAGGTCATCTGTCCATCCTTGCATCGGTGCCAGCACTTTCTGCTATGCTGGCGCAATGAGTTTCAGACTTAACTTCGCTGTGGGGTAGTCAGAGGATGTCACGAATAATTTATAGTGTACTTTAAAATGACTTGAGTACTTAAAAATGACATAAGCAATTAAAAATGACTTTAGTACACTCCTTCGTTTGTCATCCACGAACTGAGTCTAATACTGATAGTTGGACAATATCCGGTTGGAAGAGACAAGGAAAAATGAAACAGGAAGTTCCTAACTTCCTGTTTCCTTTTTCCTTGTCTCTTCCAACCGGATATTATCCAACTATCAGTATTTCAATCATGAGACTAATAAACAGCGAACTACTCCATCATTCGATAAACTGAGTCTAAATTACAACTTTTCGCTCAAGTTGCACGATTTAAGTTTGCACTTAAATATTTAAGTACAACTTAGGGAGTTGAGCTTAAATATCGTGTATTTAAAGTTGCGTTAGGCCTCCATATACGGTGCTTGTTGGAAGCTTTATTGTAGTAGAACATAACTAAAGTCTTACTGTAGGTCTAACTCCAAGTGTGTTGCTCATAACCTACGGTATAGGGCTCTTCTTCTTCAGTTCCGTAGCGTGCTGTGCTACTGCTCGACACTCCGGGTTCCTTCTAGGTGTGGTAAGTTGCTTAAATTAAACATATTACATAATGTTTAATCCTTGTTACTTTATTTTATAAATCGTTTCTCTAGCATTATTTAATTTTTGAAGAAACATTTTTAATTCGCAGGAAATTTATTCGTTCGAAGTTTCAGTCTGTTTCTATTTTTAATCTTTGTGTAATCTTAGATCATTGTGACGATGTTTCTGTTAATTGGTGCAGAAGTAGTCGGAGTTACTTTCGCTTTTACTTACCGAGACAATGTAAGTTATTGTCAGTTTTAAACTCATCTGTCTGATCGAAGGACTGAAGGATCGATAATTATAATAATTAATATTGGAACTGTCCTAATATCATTTAATATCCGGATAGGAACATTATGTATGAGTCGGACTGTTTTGGTGTTTATAGTGTTCAAAATTAATTACATCATATTCAAGTTCTCAAATTATTTGTTATGAGTGTTGAAAGTATTAAATCACTGTTTTTAATACTTTCAACACTATTATACAACAAATAATTTGAAAACATTTCCCCTTGGCACGGATCAATTATCAGAAATTTTGAACTCTAAACATTTTATAATATCGATATAACCGTAAAAATTATTTTCCAGTTTAAAAAAGACGTTAAGAATGAGTCACTTAGTCTGATAGCGGGATACAGCGCCCCGGGTTGGGAGAAGAACTCTACTGAAGTCTTCGACAGAATACAACAAGATGTTAGTTAAGTGTTTTATAAGTATAACGTTCTTATATTTGAACTAAGATGAGGTTGATAAGAGGTAGATGAGACACGTCTCTACTCTCTTACAGCTGTCTCAAACTGCACTTATAGTTCAGTTATAGTGCAGTTATAGTGCAGCTATAGTGCAGTTATAGTGCAGTTATAGTGCAGTTATAGTGCAGCTATAGTGCAGTTATAGTGCAGCTATAGTGCAGTTATAGTGCAGTTATAGTGCAGTTATAGTGCAGTTATAGTGCAGCTATAGTGCAGTTATAGTGCAGTTATAGTGCAGTTATAGTGCAGTTATAGTGCAGTTATAGTGCAGTTATAGTGCAGTTATAGTGCAGTTATAGTGCAGTTATAGTGCAGTTATAGTGCAGTTAAAGTGCAGTTATAGTGCAGTTATAGTGCAGTTATAGTGCAGTTATAGTGCAGTTATAGTGCAGTTATAGTGCAGTTATAGTGCAGTTATAGTGCAGTTATAGTGCAGTTATAGCGCAGAATATCGCATCTCATAGTGTAGAATCAATACCTATAAACACATGTCAGCAGGTTACAAACCTTCAATAAACCCTCTGTATAGCTATCATGTTGCGGTCACGTAGTAGGCCCGGTCGACTGGTCACGTGGGAAGCTCCTAGCAACTGTATGGATCCGGAGTAACGTTGCCAACACCCCCTCATCCTGCTGTATCAACATTACGTCCTCATGTGGAGAGAACGCGGCTACCTCCTCAACCAATACCTCCTTCAACCGGGTAAGTGCACCTCCTCCTCCGCAAAGTTATTATCACACGTAACGTTGTGTCTTGCAGTTAGAGTGTTGCGGAGTAAGTAGCGGACCGGGTGATTGGGGTGCAGCAGGGAGTAACGGGTCTACACTAGCTGTGTACTGGGTGGAGAAGGGTACCCACACGGACGATACTCCGGATAGTTGTTGTAAGAAGAACTCTACTGGATGTGGAACTGATCAGATACCTAATGAGGGGGATATACTGTGGAGTGAGGTGCGGGTCAACTCATTTCACTTTAACAATCATTCTCTTTCACTTTACTACTATCTCTCTCATCCTCCTGTTCGTCATATTCCATTACCAATAACCTTATTTAAATCTTTTTTGCTTTACCAATGACTTTTCCTCGTTCACTATACTATTAACATTAAGAAATGATAAAGAAATTATCCCATTTATTTTAACTGTACTAATAGCCCCATTCTTGATTACTCTGACTCTACTACTTCCTCGACCATTGTTGCATTTCTTTTTGCCCGCAGTTTATCTGATTCGGATTGATAACCTTTAATTCCTTCGGTGGTCACTGGTTAAGCAAACCATAATAATTTTACTATCAGCTGCTATTTTACCAGTTAACTACATAATTAATTACATTTAAGTAAATATATATCTCCTATCAGGGTTGTGTGACAGCACTATTTGACTGGTTTGACGGCAAGATGCTGTTGTTCGTAGGGACAGTCTCAACCGTCCTTATCTTCCAGGTAACTTATAGTAACCTGGTTACCTATACAATATACATGCCATAGTTACCTATTCAAGCTTATAACTATGCACTATGACAGATTCAAGCATTTTGAACTGATAATGGAGATTTGAGAAGGATCTTGATTTTTCCCATCGTGAATTAGAAGTTCAATTTCAGCCATTACATATCATGATGTATTTATGTTTCGTAATGTCTAGCGTAATAGGACAGTGTCTTCGGATGCCTGTACTATTGGGTGAAAACTCACAGATACTTAACAGATGAGACTGAGGATTACCACACGTTTCTCTTTCAATTTCACTTACACGCTTTACTTTCTCTTTCACTTTCACTCTTACTTACACGCATTACTTTCACTTCACTACAATTTCAGATAGTGAATGTGTGTGGGATGTACCTGTGGAGACGCTGCATCGTTCACGGATTCTAAATCTAATCAAGATAATATTCCCACTGATCTGAAACTGGGAACCAGGATATGATCGCCACTAATCTGAAAACTGAGAATCTGATCGTTTCTTTTTGATATTCTCCAGGAAATGAGAATATCGGGCTTATTTCAAGGTTCAAATATTTGATTGTTGATAAAAACTGATTGTGGCTGCTCACCAGAGGACTGCTTGGTCTCACATCACAATAACTTTGTTTGGGGCAAATATGCAATTATGCTCAAATCTGCAGCTGCATGGTCATGAATGTGACAATACAATTTTGGTATTTTGTTGACGATGATGATTTTACATCTTTATTTGATTCTTATTATTGCGAGTTAAATACGATATGTAAATTAAAAACTCTTTAAATATTATCCTAAATTAGTTATAGCTTTAATAAAATAATAATTAAATCAAGTGACAAGTATAGTAGAACCTATAATCTTGTTAACAATTTTAATTTAATAATAGCTGACGGTTTTTGTAAATGATAAATTCTCGTATTAAATAAAATTTGAAGCAAAAATTGTCATCGCCTTTAATCTATTTGCGAAATCTTATACTGTATAGTGTATAACAAGTAAAACGCACCTCTTCATTTTTATTTCAAACTGAGATTTTTAATTCAATTCAATTAGAAACTGAAGATGAAATGTCACCTGGCTGAATTTGGTAACTGCTGTGAACTACTCGTCGATCTTGAAGCCGTTTTTCTTGACGAAAAACCGAAAACAGTTCGATGAAATATACTATTGTTCGAAGATTGAGGTAAGTCTAAAACTGTTCTGGGCGAAATCAGACTTGAAACTAACGGCGAGGGCCCATGTTTAGCGACTCCTTTAAGTTCTTTGTGTTTCGCTTTTGATTTCCCTGATGATTCCTCATTGTTTTTGTTAAAAATTGCTGATAGAGCCCTGTTTTTGGCGTTGTGAAGGACCTTGTCGAGGCCTTGCTTGGAGCTGACTTTTTTGTGAGTGTGTTTCTGGGGTGGAGGAGCTTCTGGTTGTATGGGATGTTCTTCTGATGTCGATCTGCCGCTGTTTCGAACTTCTGAAATAAAACCTTCGTTAAGAATGATGGCAGCTAAATTCTTAAATTATACCTCCGTTTAACATGATTTTTAACACTAATAATAGCAATGGTAATTGTCGATTATTTGTCAAGTTCGAATTTATTGCTTATCATAATTTGGATGCCGTAGACTAAGACAAAATTTTAAAATTACACGGCTCCGTCAAAATTACTGCTTGAGATTGTCTAGTTTTGGATGAGCGACTAGACGAATCGAGATCCGTTAGGAGTTTAAGCTCAAAATGGCGATCAATTTCATGATTTCTGGATAATCAGTTACCGCTCATGTGAAAATTGGAAATGGACCAGTCATCTGCTTCTAGCAATTTCAGGATTTAAGCGGCAGTGACACTAAATGCGTGATATTTATGACGTCAAAGCCTTTATAATCAAATTTATTACATGAAAGCAACTATGAACAATATAAAATGAAGCTGATAATCACCCTATAAAAGTGTATATAAAACAATTTAACAATTTAACAAACCTTGACGAAGCCATTCTTTGATAGGTTTGGTGTCGATAGATCCCTTGGTGTGAAGCTGGTCTGCCAACAACTTGTAAATGGCGGTAAAATCGTTGAAAAGGTACGAGTTGTAACTCTGAAACAAACTCCGATTAGATCACTTAAAAACGACCGACAAAATAGATTAAATCATAGATGGTGGTGGTTGAGTGGGAGGAAACGCTCAAATAAGGCTCGAACTCTGCACAAGCTACCCTCTGTGACACACTACTTAGATACGGGGAACCAGGTACAGGTTGCATGTGGTACTATGAACCAAATATATTGCGTTAATCTACACAACTTAACGTGGTTATACTGTCGTATCTAGCTTAAAGTGATTCCGTTAAGTACAGGGGGTTTCCTAATGTGATGCAATTATCATTGTTACGGGGTAAAGACTTTAACTTATGGTTTCACACACACCCGACTGTAGGTTTGGGCATGTGTTACGTTCCATGTTCCACGTGTTGTAGTAGATTTTCCACGTGTGTGGAATAATAATATAATAACATACCAAATATCGTGAATCTAAAGTTAGTTCTTTATTATTTATACACAAAAATGATCCCTTACAATAGTGGTTTTAATCGATTTTCCGCTCAAGAGTTGCTCCACATCCTGCATATTGACAGAAGCAGTATCCCCTCATATTACGATACCAGTCTTCTCTTGCACGCCCTCTATTATACGTTTTCAGACAACAAAGTTAACAAATTGAGTCCCCGCCAGCCCCTCTTTTACCTCCTCCCAATTAATCAACCCTGGCTGCAGGCAGGGCCGATCATGTTTGATAAATAATATCAAACACTACCTCAGTATAATAACAATAATAACCCCATCTCTCCTCTCTCTCTCTCTCTCTCGCTGTTAACATGGGCACAGTTCCTGCAGTGTGACGTCACTGTGACGTCACTCAGACGTCACCCCACTATTTCTCACCCGCTTTCCTGCGAAACGCGTCAGTAGGTGTTTGTGCGCGCCTTGTAATTGTATTCAGTAGTGATACTACTGTGTGCGGGCTGGGGTATTTTAGTGAGGGGAAATAGTGAATATCAAAGGGAAATGAAGGCGATAAATAGTGAATATGAGAAGGAAATAGGAATTATGGAGATTACAAGGAATTTTAGGTTGGCAGTGGTTGTTTCTTTAGATATTGTGACTGAGTACCTCACTACCTCTGTACATAACATATCTTATGTTCAATAACGTTTACCAATCATAGTAATATCAAAGTTAACCGTCATTTGCAATATGCAAATAGACTTTAAACAATTGATGAACAGATCTGTTGACAGCTGAGATGGAATGCTCCGAAGAAATCAAATGGAATTTGATGATGATAAGATCTCAAACTCTACTACTAGTCACGTACCACGATTTCATAATTTCCAATTATCAAATTCCAACCCAGATTTTCGCAGAATCTGACAATTTACATTGAGTTTAAAGTTTAAACCGAGCACCTGATATATTCCAGCTACACCCTTCCCTCCCACTTAATGCCACAGATTCCAAAGAAGTGGGTACTCTTTGGTAAAACACACCAGGGCCTCCGTATGACCGTGGGTGTGTGAGTGATTGGTATTAGATTGACGTCACAGATTCATTGTACTACAGCAACGGCACAGCCCTAGAAGATCCTCCACTCAGAGAACTTGCTGACAATCACGTGACCCCTGTCGACAAATGGGATGTGAGGGTGCTGTGAGGGGTTGTGATTGGTGGGGCGAACGTCAGCGTGACGATTATGGGTACAGGGCTAGGGTTAACGTTAAATAACATTAATTTAAGAGAGAGACGGGATGATTGTTGCAGTGGTCCGGGATCAATAATGTTTGAGTTGGCCAACGTGACAAACCTCTGCTGAAGTCAAGCAAAACTTAATCGGCAGTTTTCCAATCACATGACAATTTTTAGAGTGCTGTGATTGGTTGAACTGCAACTCGTGAAGAGTTTAGAGTGCTGTGATTGGTTGAACTGCAACTCATGTCTCGTCTTCTCCAACCTGATTGGTCCAGCCAACCGCCAGATGTCTCGTTAATTTGCGCTAGGAATTGACGTCAATGTTGGACGGGAATGCAGCCCTGTGATTGGTCCAACTTGGTCACATGACAGAGTGTGAGCAACGTGATTGGTTGGAGATGAAGTGGTTGACAGGGCTGAATATATATTGACGTATCCACCCCACATACGGAGGGCAACAGGTTCAGGGTAAAAATACAAAGATACGTCACTAACACTACACAGTTAGTTCTGAGTGGATTCTGTGACAGGACTGATGCAGTGAGGGAGGCACTGCACACACGTGGGTGTGGGGGAGTTGTAACCATGGTAACCGTGTAAAACTCTCTCCGGTACTGTTCACGGATGAGAAATTCAGGACTAATTGAAAGTTTACAGTGCGTGTAACGTGGCGTAATATTAGTATAGGTGAGCGATTACTATTACAGTGTTGGTCGGTACTGATGGTGTGTGGAGACACGTGGTTTACACGTGGTTTACACGTGGTTTACACGTGGTTTACACGAGGTATGACTGTGTGAGCAATTGCTGATCAGTGTTAGCTCCTACATGAGCGTTAAACTTCTGCTAGAACAGCTACTCAACAAACGGTGCTTGTAACGTAACATTAACACGGAATCCGAATTATGAAATTCTACTATGAGCAATTCTTCAGTTTTACTATAAACCAGTTTGAATAACGGAAACTAGGAGTCTGATTCCACACTATTAACATGTTGTTAGTACACGTTATTTCCATTCATCACACCAATGTAACTGTCTGACGTAAAAGCATTCATGTTTATGCTAATACAAGTTTGGACCAATGACTAGTTTTGCCGTTAAATGCGGGAACCAGAAGCTAAGTCTACAGCATTGTTTATGCACGTTATAATTATTCTGTAAAGCTTACGTTACTGGACCTATTTTCCATTATAATGTCCCCAGATAAGGTCCACGCCCTAGGCAGGGTACCCCCGTCATGAAACGTAAATATTCATACTTCCTAAGTACAACCACTGTGTGACGTCACAAGGCTTTGTCACAAGATAAAGTTACAAGAGTTACAAAAGTTATGAGATACTTATCTAGACCTTGGTCCAAGACGTGAAACTTAATAAGAGAGAATATTGCATGTCATAAAATTTTAACAGTATAAGTTCAAGCGTCTTTTGAGTACTGGTGATCATATTTGGTCACTAATATTGAGGAAATTTCACTCGGCCTGTACCATCTATGATTTAATAATGTTAAAAGTATTTGAAAAATAGATAAACATCCCGTAACAAACTCTATTTTGTCATTTCATCAAAATTTTAACAGTATAAGTTCAAGCGTCTTTTGAGTACTGGTGATCATATTTGGTCACTAATATTGAGGAAATTTCACTCGGCCTGTACCATCTATGATTTAATAATGTTAAAAGTATTTGAAAAATAGATAAACATCCCGTAACAAACTCTATTTTGTCATTTCATCATTACAAGTTTCAATAAAGAAAATATGTAGGAAGTGGGCTTTATAAAAGAAACAAAACTAAATAAGAATGAGAAGTTAAAACTCACCTCAACTACTTTGGATTTGGAAATGCCGATATTCTCCATTAATGTTAAGATATTTCTGTTGAGTCCTCTGCTGTTATGCTGGTCGAGTGATTGCTGAAATTTAATGATGATTGAGCAAGGTGCTCCTTTATAAATATAGCTGACGCTCCAAAGTTGAGTACTATACCGGTGATTCAACTATTGAGTATTGGGGCAACTTTGCATTAATTTCAATATTGCGAAAACAATTTATGCAGATTCATTGCGACCATTCGCGTCACGAGAAACCAGTTCGCCCAGGATTGAGTGCTATTATTTGCACAATATTTTAATACTTTAAATAACATAAAATATAAGATCAATAATTGCCCCTCCCCCGAGACATGACCGACATACATGACTGACACTAGCAGTAAGGATTAATAAGATCTTGGCATTTGATTAACGCCTTCTACAGATGTGTCGAGGTTTCGTTTAATAACTGTGAGTTGTCTGTGGTTACTGTCAAGATGGTTACTGTCAAGATGGTTACTGTCAAGATGGTTACTGTCAAGATGGTTACTGTCAAGATGGTTACAGCCAAGATGGTTAATGTCAAGATGGTTACTTAACTGTCAAGGTGCCAAAATTAAGATTTTCTGCACGAATTCAATAGAAGGCGTGCAGTAATGTAACGACGATGAATGACTCCGACAATCTGTGTTAAATTTTTAAAATAAACTGAAAATTTGACGAGATTTTAGATTTCTATAAATTCTTGGACCGTCCACATAAAACAAATTTGTTACATTTACATTTACTTTTAGATTTATTGTACATCTAGTATCGTTTAACTCCAACTGTCCATATTACCAAATTGCTAACCAAACACCACGCCCACACGACTACTCAACATCCTCCTGACTTTAAAAATGTTCCACTTTAATGACACATCCCACCTCTATCCAGTCTCCTATATCTCTATATCATTCTTAAGAAACCTCCGCACACGTTCTCCTCCGCACACGTTCTCCTCAACACTGTCACGGGGTCCTCCTCCTCCTCCATATCCTTCTAATCTCCTCCGTGAGAAATGACGTGGGCTGTGACGTCAAACGAGAAACTCTGACATTCTCCCGCTGTTAAAACTCTCAGCTCGCAGTAATTAAACTTAATGGGATTTTAACATGCCGAAGTTCTAACCAGAGGAGGAGGAGGAGAGGTGATTAAGTTTCTGGAATGTTCCGCAATTAATTAGCCATGTGTATTGGTTGTTATGGCTCATTACTGGTTAGAGATTTTAGGTTTGATGAGCGGAGAGGCAGTAGGTTGCAGGCTGGAAATGGGAAGTTTGGGCAATGTTGCAGGCTGGGAGGCTGGAAATGGGAAGTTTGGGCAATGTTGCAGGCTGGGAGGCTGGAAATGGGAAGTTTGGGCAATGTTGCAGGCTGGGAGGCTGGAAATGGGAAGTTTGGGCAATGTTGCAGGCTGGGAGGCTGGAAATGGGAAGTTTGGGCAATGTTGCAGGCTGGGAGGCTGGAAATGGGAAGTTTGGGCAATGTTGCAGGCTGGGAGGCTGGAAATGGGAAGTTTGGGCAATGTTGCAGGCTGGGAGGCTGGAAATGGGAAGTTTGGGCAATGTTGCAGGCTGGGAGGCTGGAAATGGGAAGTTTGGGCAATGTTGCAGGCTGGGAGGCTGGAAATGGGAAGTTTGGGCAATGTTGCAGGCTGGGAGGCTGGAAATGGGAAGTTTGGGCAATGTTGCAGGCTGGGAGGCTGGAAATGGGAAGTTTGGGCAATGTTGCAGGCTGGGAGGCTGGAAATGGGAAGTTTGGGCAATGTTGCAGGCTGGGAGGCTGGAAATGGGAAGTTTGGGCAATGTTGCAGGCTGGGAGGCTGGAAATGGGAAGTTTGGGCAATGTTGCAGGCTGGGAGGCTGGAAATGGGAAGTTTGGGCAATGTTGCAGGCTGGGAGGCTGGAAATGGGAAGTTTGGGCAATGTTGCAGGCTGGGAGGCTGGAAATGGGAAGTTTGGGCAATGTTGCAGGCTGGGAGGCTGGAAATGGGAAGTTTGGGCAATGTTGCAGGCTGGGAGGCTGGAAATGGGAAGTTTGGGCAATGTTGCAGGCTGGGAGGCTGGAAATGGGAAGTTTGGGCAATGTTGGCAATGATCCAGATGCTGGATGGAGGATTGTGTGTTTGTACGTGTTTTTGTCTGTCCGTTTGTTTTGTCCCCCAACTTATATTACTAATAATGTTAAGTGAGATATTTGTAATATTTGTAATATCTCACCTTATCAACGAGTTGATCACCCTGCATCCAGCTGTGTGACAGTACACTTTCCACACTGGGACGTTTCTCTGGTTCCAGCGATAACATGCTTCTGATAAGGTGTTCACACTCTGAAGTTACTGAATATTAGATAATTAGTTAATTAATTAGATAATTAATTGTTCAATTAAATAATAAGTTTAAGTGTTGAGATAATTTTCAAAAATTCTTAGCCAGGCCCTTTAGTTTGTCTTTTACTTTTATTACATGGCATCTGAGGAAGGTCAACAATTTGTCATACAATAACTGTTTAAAGCAATAAAATTTTAGTATTTATATTTTTTCCGTTTATGAGTTATGAAGTTTTAAAATTTTATGCCATACTATAATTTTATTTGGACGTGACCACTTTTGACTGGCGCAAAATTTAGATCGTATGACCTGATATCTGATATACAATATTGTGCATAATATTTAAACCATAACAAGACCCTGGGAAATGGAACTTCTTGGTTTTAAAAATTACACTTCAATTCAAACTTGATTTCCTAGAACTGAACAGCCACTTCTACATACTCTGAATTATCAACCTCTAGACCCATTTCTCATATTTTTTCCCAAAAAAGCCTATCATATTTTGATAAGACGTACATGAGTAACATTTTTGTATAGATTACTACAGTACTAAGTATTGCTAATAAAATCAAATGTTGAAAGTAAACACTTAAGAAATAAATATAGTAATAAAATACAATTGATTCACTATTTAATAGGATTGATTATATTTATTAATTATAAATTACCTACCATGACTGACGAAGTAAGGAACTCTGAATCTGCCCCGGAGAACATTCTGTTTAACTTCTGCTATTGAATCTCCGTCGAATGGTAATCCGCCCGTTACTAGCACGTATAGAATTATACCTAGACTCTGAAAATATGTTCTGATTAGGAATAATTAGTAGGATTACTGTCAATCACAATTTTCACTTCCGCGAGAGTTGTTCATAACGTTGGTCACATTTTGACCCCCCTCCTCCAGTATATGCTGCTGAGTGCTGACGTATTCAGTGTACAATATCCAAAGTTTCGCAGAATTTTCGCAACTTTCTAATTCTAAGGAAACAACACTTTGTATCTGTGTATAGACAGATGTGGTCACTACGCATTATCTACCTCCATTCTATGAATGGGTAGATTGTCAGAGACAGCTAAATGCTACCTGAGGACGGAACAAATTGGTTTTGCACACGTGACCACGTGACCACGTGACCAATCTAGGTTGGTTTGATCCTTGTGACAATGAATCGAGTATAAGCAAATACAGGAAAAATCATATTTCTTTCTGCAAAACCATCTTGCAGCTCCGGAGACCTTTCCGGGTCACGTGATTAAATTAATAATTTGAGTGAGAAAGTTTCGAAAGGTGACAGTTGCTGTCAGGATTGGTGGGGGTTACTACCATAATCGGACAAAATAATCTATATTAAAATAGCTAACAGTGACATTACCAAAGTGACATTACCACAAGGATTAGATGGAATGCACCTGACGTAATTCCTGCGCACTCTAACCGTTAGACATTGTTCAGCTATTGGACCAAATTAAGTTGAATAACCAAATTTATTCGAATGACACAATCAAATAAGTAGGGAGAGGACAAGGCGGCAATTAACTAGGCGTATATTAAATTCGCACGTAAAATTGTAGGGAAATTGTTAACCCCTTTTAAGACATGAAAACTCACCCAAATATCAGTCTTGAAACCATCGTAGTGTTTTCCATTAAATATCTCAGGAGCAGCGTACTGAGGGCTCCCACAAAATGTTTCCAATAATCGGGGAGGCTTGAAGTAGTTACTGAACCCAAAATCTGCTATTCTGACATTGTTGTTGCAATCTAACAGCACGTTCTCGATCTGTGAGATTAAATAAGGTTAGTCAAACTGGATCTGTAAGGTTAAATAGGGTTAGTCAAACTAGATCTGTAAGGTTAAATAGGGTTAGTCAAACTGGATCTGTAAGGTTAAATAAGGTTAGTCAAACTGGATCTGTAAGGTTAAATAGGGTTAGTCAAACTAGATCTGTGAGGTTAAATAGGGTTAGTCAAACTGGATCTGTGAGGTTAAATAGGGCTAGTCAAACTGGATATAAGATCGTTAAATTTATACGATAAGATGATAATCTCTTTCTATTCTGCAGCTGAGTGAATGTCCGCTGCCTGTATGACGCCTCGCACGTGACATTACAGGTACAGTTAGACGGGGATTAGGTCTTGAGATGGCTGGTTGTCGTTCTGAGCTCAGCCTTTACTCAGATTATTCGTGGAAGGTCTAAAATTGTACGCGTGAACATGCGTCAGTTCCCACAGATCTTATTGGTTGCCTAGCATCCCGTAAGAGGGAGAGAGAGAGTGAGTGCCTTTTGATGGACCGTTTAGCATTAGAAAAGATTTACGTCAGACGTTCGTTGGGAAACATCAAATGATCGCTTGTGAGAATCACAGTGCTGACATCAATCTCTAAATCCACAGTTTTGACATATTCACCCTATTCAATATTCGAGATTACATTGTATCCTGGGAAGCGAGATTGCCTTCTTGGAAGTGGATGTTACCGAGGCAGTCATGCGTCACGTATGCCGTTACGCGGAAAGTTTAATTTATTTACTTCGAAGTTTGAAAATTGAAACCCGAATATTCAATAACTAATGTAATATAAATGTCGGAAATAATTGTGGGCATATTTTTCATCGGAAATATGTTACTGGGTCACGTAAATCTTATAAATATTATACTGGGCAGTGTACGTGACTACTGGGTAGTGTACGTGACGGTTAGTAATATTTATCACCAGGACACGGAAAAATTAATTATTCTACACATTGTTATATTGTTGTATAACTTATTATATATAACTGCTTACTGAATACTGATGTAATATAAATAATCTCCAGTGAACTCGTAGAAACGCTCTCGATCAGATAGATTATTTCCAAGTACGTCAACAGAAATGTGGGCATTCTCACGTCAAACATTCAGTTGCCAGCTTTTGTGTGATTGGCGGAGTAAAAATATATATACTTGACGTTAAATATGATGAAAGTTTGATCAAAGCGAACTTAGCACCTAAGATATTTGAGATGGTTGAGACAGCACAGAGATCAATCTCTTAACCTTCCTGTAAATTGCGACATATTCCCGGCCTAGTTTATCGCCGATTGTTCCCAATATTTTGAATTATCTTACAGTTACGCGGTGAAGATTTGTTTAGGGCATAGATAAAAAATAAGCTTAATATGGTCAAGATATCATTTCACTATAACCGAACTCTTAACTTTAACGAGATTGACGGTGATCGTCAAGTACAGAGAACTTAATCACGTCTAAATTAGTATTGTTAAACGGAATTATATGTTCATTTAATAACGTCATTAACAAGCAGCAAATCTCAATATTCGAATGCTGCAAGTACAAGTTTTTAAGTGTTTCATGGCACTACGAATATTATTACAATTGGCAAACATTCATGAGCATGAAACATGGACTTGAATATCAATTGTATGCTACCACTAAATGTATCTCTTTACAATCCACATGTTACTCTAAGTACGGAACAGCACTTCCTTTTTAAATCTCACTTTTAAAACTTACAATTCGATAAGTTTCTCGATCTAATTATATTAAGTCGGAGAACAGTTAAATAATATCCTTGGAACGTGGTTCCTTCTAGAGCACCTCTCTTGACCTGTTAGTCACCGCAATTAACGTGTTTAGGAGGGTAGCGACATAGCGTGGGCGATGTTTCTGGTAAAACGGTTAAAAAGGTGATTTGACGCAGGTGTTTTGACTAGACTGAGCTTTGTAAATTTGGATTCTGGTGGGAATGTGGGAACTTATTTGTTTTGACGCCTTGCCAGTGATTCTGGGATTAGAGTAGTTAATGCTGGGAGCTGATTGGTTAATCGCTGCCACGTGTCAGGTTTACAGACTAGACTGAGCTTCAAATGATAAATTTCTCGATAGAGATTGATTCATATTATTACAGTACACAATAACTGGTAAGTTACTGAGTAGGTGTGAGAAGGGTGCTTATCTTAGCTGCTCTAAAATGTAGCGACAGATTAACACGACTAAACTGGCATACAAAACACCTTGTAGAAGAAGGTCTGATCTGCAGTGATTGCATACCCCAACTCATTTAACAGGCTGTTGTACGGGTAGAGCCAACAAAACACGTGTATCTACGTCTTAACACGTGACAAGAACACGTGACAACATCAGCTAACTACCCTTACTCCACAGCATGCACTACGAGGAGGAAGTTGCCATACCCATTAACGCTTCCAGGAACTAGAAAAGGGTACAAAAAATGTCGAGAGCAGGTGTTACTTACAAGGTAATGGTCGCTACTGAACAGTAGTAGCAGTGTGATTGGGTGTTACTAATATAGGCTGTAGTAGTATAAGGGTGTTTGGGCTATAAATAGATGGCAGGTTCTAGTAGTAACCAAAACGGAGTAGTACTTAGACTTATCAGTTTATTGATAGAGCAATTAGATGCTAGTAGTGTTAAACCAATAGGAATTAGGGGCTAGTATAAAGTGACAAATATAAATAGTAACGAAATAGTGATATATCTAGAAAATAGCTACAGTAGATCCTCAATTTACCAGTATTATAGTTGATCGGAAAGTCAAGTCGTACGGTAACTAAATACACCAACACGATTAGCCCCAATGGTAGTGAAGCCCGTTAAATTGAGAATTATGGTAAATGGAGGACCCACTATGTACAGTCGCTGAGTAATAGTTACCTTGAGATCCCTGTGAACGACACCCTTATCGTGGCAGTATGAGATAGCGTTACAAATCTGAACAAAGTATTTCCGGGCCTCTGGTTCACTTAGACTCCCTTTCTTCATGACGTGCTCTGAAATTAGTGTTAGTTAAATTAATTAGTTAAAATATGTATTAAGTCATCTCATCACCTGATCCCCCTAACCCAGAAAACCCAAAACCGAAATTCAACGTTATTAAAACAATAACCAAGGACAAAGAGCCTCAAAGTGAATTTGTGTGATCCGGAAAAGTGATTTTATGCTCAAAATATATTGTTTCTGTTTATTGGAGTGTGTTTGAGAATGTGGACGAGAGAACCCTCAGTAAATACGGGGTGTCCGAGGCCAAATATCATAAAGTGACGTAATTGTCTGTTATTAAACGATGCATAGCTCTAATCGTGACCATATTTGGGCAAAATTTGAGCCGGAGAGTGGTGAGAACAAATTGTTTTATCTTAGACGGAGTTTTCTACCACAGAATACGGATAACTTAATAGAAATCCAGTCAATGAACAGTTAAATGTATAACAGTCGTTCAAAGCATTAAGAGTATTTACAGGATAGAAGATTAGAGAACTAAACGAATGCAACTGGAGTTCATCTCCCTGCAACCGAATCTCTCTATAAACTCTATAAGGAAATTTAAAATTTCGAGACAGTCAAAAAATCGGATTTGCTGCCTATTAAGTAGTACTGCCTTTATAATATAAAGACGGTACTTAATAGGCAGCAAATCCGGTTTTTTGTTTAATGCATCGAAATACTTATAAAAGTCTGGGGCATTATTTGTTTATTTGTTTACTGTCCCCAATCTCGTATTGGAACATGATCAAACTCAAGGTTTAATTGTGTAAAGTTTACACTGTAAACTGTAAATACGGGGGGCACTATTACCATTTATCTAAGACACAAAATTTAAACGTATCGATCTACCAATCGTTTATCTGGGTAGGGTTCAAACCATTTATACCAATTCTGGGGATTAGCTCACTTGACGGTTCGATGCTCTTAGGGGATCTTCGCTAATTTCGACATCGACGAAATGTCTCTACATTACGAAATGTCTCGAAAATATTTTAGAATCAGCCAAGGCACTGTAGACGTTAATTTCTTGGAATCGGGAAACTTTATTGTCATGATAAAGGAACTACATACCCACCCCTAGTACTATTAATAAAATAATACATAATATATTGTGGATTCCAACTTACCATAAAGTTCGCCGTTTTCAGCGAAACTAGAGACCAAGTGGATGTACTGAAAGTTCTCCACGACTTGGTAGAATCTAATAATGTTAGGATGGTCCAATAGCTTCATTATTTGAACCTGAAAGTAAAGTATTGTAAATACAGCAATGTATATGGTCAAATGTATATGGTCAAATGTCAATCACAAACATGTGACATTTTCATGATTCTGAGCTGTATCTGTTAGCAGTCATAACTTAGCAGTCATAACTGAGCAGTCATAACTTTACAGCTTCTCTCTGACATGCCACTAATATTTTCTCTAAATCGTCACAACATTCCACCAGCTCAATGACGAGATATCTGGAACACTCCAAGCACGCAAAGAATTTAGTAAATTAAGTAAATAATAATAATAATAATTAATTAATTATTAATTAATTATAAATAATTTAGTAAATAAGTACCAAAAAACCTTACCTCTCGAAAGAGTCTTGCTAGATCCTCCTTGCAGAGCTTTGATTTGTCAATTATCTTCATTGCGACCTGCGAGCGTAATACTGGTATCAAATAACTGGTAACAGCGAATCAGGGACGGGACATGACCTCTCTCTCTCTCTCTCTGTCTTTGTGCGTACAAACAGACAAACTCACGTACACACAGACAAACTCACGTACACACAAACAAACTCACGTACAAACAGACAAACAGAATAAAAAAGCACGTACAGTCACAACAACAGATTTACAGAAGCACATGGAGGGGCGGGCCTTTAGACTGTACATAAGACAATGTGAAGTAAGATTTAAATAAGTTTAATTCAAACACACCATAAACACCTTAACACAACCCTTAAACTTGACACAAACATAACTTAACCAAACTTACACACAAACAGACAACCAGACGTACAAACATATATACACACTCACAACAACCCATTACCAATTCATTAGTGTTACACTATAAGCTGCCGCAGTGTGTGTACACACACATAATGTACAGTAATAACACCATGATGTTCAACAAGTATAGATTACTAATGTACATGATATTACGCTGGATAGCATTTGTCCTGACCGTTAATGTTGTTATGCAGAATTTCATACCCTACTAATGCCATCCCTTACCGCGCCCTAACGAAAATTACTCCGCGAGAAATTGCTATGCGATGATGTAATTGAGCTTACTGTTGTATGCTGAATTTATATTAGCTACCGGCTATGATATAGGTCACACCTTGTGGATCTCCTGATATTACTACCTTCAGAGGGAGATGAAAGAATACTGTCTCGTGGTACAGAGATTAACATTGCTAATATCAGACGTCAGTGGTAAGTTGGTCAGTAAAACTTGGGAGCTTATGTCAAGAGGTAAGTTGTACCTTAATTTTGGTCTTAGGAATTTAAAGTATGAGCCACACAGCCAAATTTGTCATACTTTAAGGTCCCAAGGTAGAATCACGAGATCATGAATAATTTTATTTGCATGAGGTAGAAACTGTAAAGAAGGCATTTACAGCAGTAATCTGATACTACCATCAGCCACCGGGCCGTTATAACGACTTTCTGAGACCACCACTCTTAGAGCGGAGGTTCTTGGTATTCAATATGTACATTTATTCACATAACATGTAGTCTGATAGCTCTACATCATATGGTCCAGTTTGTGAGACCACATCAAGATGGTTAGTTGATGTCAGGTTGTTAGTAACGGTATTGTCTGAACTGTCACATTGTTTGTAATGAGTAATATATATCAGAACAACAATACAGCTGAGACAATACATTGATGCGATATGTAAGCTAAATAAATGAATGGTACTATGGATAAGCTGCCTTCAGGATGATTGAATTTTGTGAATGCCAAGCGCCTAAATCACAAAGTGTTCACGTCTCGACGCCTGCTAAGTACAAATACAAGCAAACACACATTTGTAACAGAAATAACACGCAAACAACAAACACTAACAGGTTCCACACACACACACACACACACAACGAAAATCAAACTCAGTACAATATTTGTCCACAAAAAGATAACTTTTCAAAAACCAAACAAACAGAATAAAAGAACGAATGAAGGAACACAAACCTTAGTCCCGGTAATACAATGAACAGCAAGGCGGACCACAGCGTAGTTGCCGGCACCTAGGGCCTTGTCTAACTGATAATGTCCCAGACGGGGTCTATACTGGGCCTCCTCGCAGGGTTCTGATCTGGAGACTGTCATAGTGTGGAGTGGTTGAGGCTAGTGGGGAGCAGAGTTACAACATATATCAAACTGTGCAGCACATAGAGCGACATAGAGAGAGGGAGAGAGAGCGCGCTGAATCATATCACACAAATATAATCGTATCACGTCATTACGGATCACGTGGGTCACGTGACCAGCGCCGCGCGCACTCACTGGTTCTGCTCGACACAGTATTCCGTCACAGCAGCAATGTTTCGAGTGAGAGCTGCGAGGGTGTCAAGCCTGGCCACGCGCGCCTCACGTGACTGGTCACGTGGGCGCCCTGATTGGATGACGTGACCGGTAGATGGGTCACGTGGTAAGCGTGACGGGTCACGTGTTGCACCTAGAATAACTTGTGAGCTGCCGATAATGTAAAGCTGGGCTTGCAACCTTGATCTATTGAACGTGTGCTCTCCACGGTCGTTAAAGTAGAGTCGCCAAATACGGCAATTTTCCATTGCCACCAAGTTGACACGAACAACACGACCACCACTATCCCGACCTCTTAGCACGTACTTAACAAAAATTGACGGACAGAGATTGACCACGTGACACTCGACATTGTGAGTTTACCAAGTACTCAAGTTCAGTTCCATTAAGCAGACCTGCCAGCTCATACTTGAAACTATTGTATAACTATATTATAACTATATGTAACGTAGTGTAATATTTTACAGTAAGAACTATGAACAATGAAGGATATTACAGAAAATAGCAAGTGAGCACCATGCACCAAGCATTATTTAAAGTAAGAACATGGTCAAAGTAATCATTAAGTACACCATTTCAAATATAGCATCAAATGAATTGGTATAAATCAAAATTGGGCACATCGTGCAGTTGTGAATTGCACCAAGAGTTTAATCTGTTTATCAGTCTAAAACTTGGTCAAAGCTCTTTCGACGATCGGAAGAAAGAAATCATAAACTGTGATGTCCAAATTAAATAGAAATACAAGATCACCAGCAAAATAATAACTGAGCTGAACAAAATTAAAACTGAATGAGGACAATTAATCCACAATTCTTCTGAGATATTGAATAAGAGAAGGAGCACGGAATACTGGTGAGAAACGTAAGAAATCGGGAGAGGTTGGTGATGATCATGAACGCTACCACAACCACACCCACACTGCAAAAAAATATAGCTCGATATATATGCAGGTGATTGCCAAACTTGGCAAATTAGCAACAAAAACTTGATTTGAATTGTGTTAGAATAAAAACCCGAATATTTGTTCTTCTGTAATATAAACTATAACGCGCCTCGTCGTAACTCAGGTCGAAACTTGAATATTTATAAATCTTAATATGCAATCATGTCCGTAATCTCTGCAACTGCTGTTATAAACTCTGCCGTTTTCTGACAAAAGTGCTTAAGTAACATTTTGGAAATTTCGGGTTTTTTGGTCTAACTTTTGTTTTTGGGTCAAGAACTATCCCTGAGGACCATTGGATACATTCGCCGACCCCCCGAAACCCCATTTTGGAACCCCCTAAAATGCAAAAAATGGTCATTTTTCTGAGAAAAGTGCTTAAGTAACATTTTGGAAAACGGGTGCCGTTTATTTCAAAAATGGTGTCATTTCGGGAACTGAAAACGGTGGCATTGTTTTCTATGTCCAAACTGGCCTAGTGACGGCAATTTGGTGATCATGGGTCTTTTGGCCTGGGAAAAAACAATTTATGGCACTTAAGCACTTTTGTGAAAACGGGCTGGTTTTCTCACAACAGTGCTTAAGTGCCATTATACGTTTAATTAAATGTTGATTCTGCCAACTGAAACTATATAATCGGTACTAACAAATCTAAATTTTCACGGCGGATCGATTGGTGATGCTCATAAACTTCAGAACCGCTAGCCTCGCCGTCAAAATTGCCGATTTGTCAATGCAGAACGTTTCAAAATATACGTCATAATTTGCTTTAAAATTTTTTATTATCTTATAAGTTGAGACTGGCGGGATTATCGACAGGCATAGTTACTATGGTCATCATTGACATCTCAAACATGAAACACGCTAAGAGTTGCGGTCAGCCAGTTTCTACAGATGAATACATATCCGGTATAAAAACCAAAAACGCAGTAAACTAGCGTGTTATTCAAAAAACAAAGATTTTATTCCTGCCAACTAATTAACTAATTAATCCAACTAATCGTCTGAGGTGTGGTAAAATATTTCAATCGGTTCTCTTCGTAAAACGATTAAACAACTTTAAGAATATCACGTTATAAATTTCTGAAGCTTCTATTTTTTGGCTCACAGCGTTTCTTCCAACCACATCAACCCTCTAAGCTCTAAAAGGTAGGACTGGATTACAAAAGAAAATCAAAAACCGTGTGTTACTTGTTAAAATCTTGACGTGAAATTAACCAAACGAACCGAACATCACACAGCTCAATACTCATTAACTCAATCGACAACTTTAAAAGGTAACATAATAGTTTTGTTGGAAATCGTTTCTTTACGTCAAGTGACGTTCAATTATATGGCTCTCTTGAGATAAATATTGCTTCGATCTAGAAAGTTAATTTGGTCGGTTTATATTTTCCGTGGTGAAATAAAATGAGCGTACTGCTTCAACGTCAATGGTGCAACAATAAATAAACTTAAAGTCAGACTTCAAATTGCTTGCAATTCTTCTATTTTTGACATAGCCTCTAGTATATGTTACTATACTGTTGCTATAATAGAAACATGAGTGGCTCTAAATGTGAAACTTTGACCGTAGACATCAAAATGCTGGAAAAGTACTACGACATTGAAATGTATCATTATGCTGCACAGAGAATTTTATAAATGGGTCGTACAATGAGCTTATAAATGAGCTTATAGTCGTACGTTGAATGTTAACAGTCATAACTGGTTACAAATCTTATTCTTAATATCGTGTAAAGAGTTTATCCGCATTTTTATAGCCAATAAATAACTGGAACAGCGAAAACTAACATCAATAATTCAGTAAATTTGAATTGTTATTGTCTATATATCTTCAGCATGGTGGCTACAACGTCAAACAGCGGTCAAAATGACGTCAAATAATCAAAATGGCTATGATTCCTTCATATGTTGGCACAGCCATAGTGCCCCCAATGTGAATTGCTTCTAACATGCAACAATCAACAATCATCAACTTTCACGTCAAACAAGCTTTAAAATTGCTGGAATTCAGACGAACAAAAAGCAAAACTCAAAACTTCATAAGCTTTCCAATAAGTTGAGTAATATGTAGTATTGGAGTCAACAAGATTAGAACTTTTCAGACCAGTCTTGATAACTCATTAGCGGCCCGTGCGTCACAAACTGAATGGTGCAGCGCCTCCAATCCGACATTAGTACAAAATTATAGGCATAGAGCTACAGTTACAGAAGTCGAAAACTACACGTCCCAGTTTTACTAGTAATGTAAGGAAACAATGTTGATGACGCAAAGTTGCTCTAACATCAGCACTCAGCAGGAACAAAAGGTGATTTATTGATCATTGTGGGTCTTGCTCAAAAGGAATGTGTCAATAAATGACAAGGAAATAATTCAAAGATTTAATGTACGATTTGAATTCTTTCCCAGAAGAAGGGAGGAGAAGCCAGCGGTAAGAATTGTTAGAACTATGCTAATAGTAATTGGAATCGAATGATTAGATAGTTAATGCCTAGTAGAGATTTGTTGTGCGATCCTCGCCGATGAAATTAAGGACGAAACCTTAAATCCTTCATGCAGAGACGTCTCATATCTCTGCCACGATTTGGAAGTTACGTTTCAAACTCTCAGTGATATCCCAAACAATATTTACAATCTCATTTCTATTGGTACTTATTACTTAAGCTAGCTATAGCTTTTACACATCACTCGTAGACCACATTGTTCATAAACCATGACCAGTATTATAGATCTGGATACTAATGGGGAGGCCGTGCACCATTTGTTTCTGATCTCCTCCGGTAGCTGGTGTATCAAAAGACACCCTCTGCTAGCCCTGCATTAATACTCACAATCTCTCAGGACGTACGCTAAATCTCTCAACTCAATTAGTGGCTATACAGGATAACACCTGAAAAATAACAGCAACTTATTTACAGATAAAACAGCCGTACTTCTTTCAGCTGTGGACTCAGAGGTCATGTTACAACTCGGCCCCCGGTCCTGTAGATGGACTGTTGATCGGACTAAGAACAAAACACTTTATATAGATGGAGAATCATGAACGAACGTCAAAGTATAAAAGGTTTTTACTTTTATTTAAGGTTTATTACGGACGTTAAACTGTTCTTCATGGACGAACAAAACCCGATGAAAAGAGATGTTAATTGATCGAGGAACTCACTCAGGAAGCTATAACCTACGTTGTTTAAGATTCTAATAAAAGAAATAGAGGCTGTACGCCCACGCATATACATTTAATGTTATAAAATGCTTTCTTGCGTAAGCCGTTTACTTCCTTCACCTTGAACTACTTAATCCCTATCCATCATAGTGATCTTGGAGACATACACTAGTGATATAATGTAGCTATACACCCTTGGCGATATACTGTAAATACACCCTGGTGATATAATACTGTAGCTATAATTATATAGTATACACCCTGGTGATATACTGTAGATACACCCTGGTGATATATTTTAGACACACCCTGGTGATATACTGTAGATACACCCTGGTGATATACTTTAGATACACCCTGGTGATATACTGTAGATACACCCTGGTGATATACTGTAGATACACCCTGGTGATATACTGTAGATACACCCTGGTGATATACTGTAGATACACCCTGGTGATATACTGTAGATACACCCTGGTGATATACTGTAGATACACCCTGGTGATATACTGTAGATACACCCTGGTGATATACTGTAGATACACCCTGGTGATATACTGTAGATACACCCTGGTGATATACTGTAGAGTGTAGATACACCATGGTGATATACTGTAGAATGTAGATACACCCTGGTGATATACTGTAGATACACCCTGGTGATATACTGATACACCCTGGTGATATACTGTAGATACACCCTGGTGATATACTGATACACCCTGGTGATATACTGTAGATACACCCTGGCGATATACTGATACACCCTGGTGATATACTAAAGATACACCCTGGTGATATACTGTAGACACACCCTGGTGATATACTGATACACCCTGGTGATATACTGTAGATACACCCTGGCGATATACTGTAGATACACCCTGGTGATATACTATAGAAAGTATAGACACGCCCAAGTACGTCTCTAGCAATGTGGGAATAAATTAAATAGTACGCGAGATTGAGTCGTAAGCGAGGGACTACTCTCAACGGAGTAAAAAAAGTTGAAAAGTAGTAGTGCGTGCTAAAACATAAAAAGAAGGCGAAAAGTTGTAGCCCTCCAAGTGCCGCATACGTCACTTGCAATCAGAAAATCGCCGCTCAAGACAAGGTTCTAACTGCCTGCTAATGACGTCACAAACTTATTACACGTGACGTCACACCTCATGACGTCATAACCTCGCCACGTCCTAATGTTCTGTTGGTCGCTGAGAGACAGAGAGCTGGGCACACTGCCAAAAACGGGAAAGGAGGACGCCGTTATGAGTAGCATATAGTGGTACGTCACAAGATAGCTACCCTGTCAACACTGAATATCTAGCTGCGCAATATGTTTTCGTCATCATATTTTAGAGAGGAAGTTTGAGAGAGTTATTATCAAAATACAAGAATGATTATCCCAACACAGCAGACATATCATGTACATACTGCTACGCCAGAGAGAGCCAAGCTTGACGGTTACCAATGACATAATATATACTGCATTATGAGGCCAGATATTATCAAGAACATTTATATTTTTACGGTTTTGAAGATCTGATATATGGAGGGGGGCCGGGGGGTGGCTGATCTGATATATGGGGGCGGGGGGCTGATCATAGACTAACCACGTGATCAGAGGCTACTGTGCTGGTAAAAGTAAGGTCTTTCTCCGGCCCCAACGTCATGACGTCATGACGTCATAGTGACGTGAATCCTCCGTGAATCATTATGCTAACACTAAACTACAATATCTCTCTATATACCAATACAATATAACTACAACATCTCAATATGCTGCCTCCTCTCAAAATGCTGGACTTACCTCCTTCCCCCTCCCTCCACCTCTCCCCGGTAAGATACTGAAAGGTAAAATAAGCTCTTTCTTAGCAGCTCGCACCTGATTCCACATCTCGCAATATAACCTGCAGAGAAGAGACCGCGGTGTTTGTTTTTAGTTGTTGCACAACAGGTTGGGAGGCGAGAGAGAGAGAGAGAGAGAGAGAGAGAGAGAGAGAGAGAGAGAGAGAGAGAGAGAGAGAGAGAGAGAGAGAGAGAGAGAGAGAGAGAGAGAGAGAGAGAGAGAGAGAGAGAGAGAGAGAGAGAGAGAAAGAGGGGGAGAGAGAGAGAGAGAAAGAGGGGGAGAGAGGGTGAGGCTGATGCAGCCTTGTCCTGGCAACCTTGACAATGAACCACCAGTACGGCAGTACGTCGTAACACTATCTTACAAACTTACTTATTCGATTGGCTATCTATACTCAAACACCTTCCCGCGGCCGATCAAATTTAATATCTGTGTCTATGCAAGCACAATAAAAAGTAATACATTTGATGGGCACAATACGGCTATACCAATTAGCAAATAAGCGTGGAAGTGCGTCATAGTAGCCCGAGTTGACGTCAATGGGGTGTCACGTGGGGTGGTGTTGTGTAACTAGGCAACCAATGGGGTATCACGTGATGTGGTGTTGTGTAACTAGGCAACCAATGGGGTATCACGTGATGTGGTGTTGTGTAACTAGGCAACCCACGAGACTCTGAAATTAGGTAAACTCCACACCACGTGACATAAGGAGCAGTTGAGCGTGGTGAAGGTGGGGGAGAGAGTAATTTCGTTCATCACCGCCATTGCTGGTTTCAGCCAATGAACGAGCGGGAAAATTGTTGTGAACCAATGAGTGAAGAGTTATTGCAGATGCAGTACGGTTGTTCGGAGTTTTGACGTCACTGGCTTTCTTACAAATTTTCTATAACTTCACTAAATACAAGACCGGCCGTTTGACTCCTTCCAGCAGTCGTTGTGACGTCAATTTAAGCTGCAAGGTCACATGTGACCACGTGACATATCCTGGTTGAAGTACCAAGTCAAAACCACGTGTCTCAAAACCACGTGTCCTGGTATTTGGTGGAGTATACGAGGTCTAACGTCTGGCTCATGTTTCTTATTGCGGTGCTGAATAGGGCCACATCTTGAGAGGACACTATTGTTCGGCACTAATAATAACCTTTTTGGGATAATTCGGATGAGCAGAATGGCAAGAGGATTAAGATGTTTATTGGCCACTGCTATGAGCGAGGGATGTAAGTTTTAGTTCAACAATCGGCAATGATTGGTATGGTCAGCAAATTGAGATGAGTAGTTCCATAAAAATTAAGCCTGATATTATGATTCATCAGCCACCACTTCCTGATTTAATCAGACGAGCATATTGTGGTTATCTGCGCTGGATTATAAAAATTGTACAAGGAGTTAACGTAGAATTATATTTATGCTCAATTTTATGTGTTAGTTTTATCATAATGACTAAGTTTTGTTTACTAATAGATTGCAATCTAGATAGAAACTGTTTAGAGATATTATCGGGAGAATTATTATGAGCAGCGAGTTTGGTGCGCTGCAAAATCCAGAGCAGAAATTCAACTAATAAAAGGATAGAATTAAATATCGTATCATAATTCAAAATAAAATGTATTTACACCAAAAACTTTTAAAAAACACATCAAGAACAACAAATATTGCAGTGAGATAACACTCTTACAGTGATAACAGAAAACTCTAATATTATCTACAAAAAATATTCATCGGACATTATCGTCAATTCGAACTGTTCATCAGCCCAGTTAACGTAAGTATTTAGCGATCCTGACCTTCTGACATCAATGTTCGTCAGTACTTGTTCTCTAATCATATAATTGACTGACATCAGCATTTCTGACGCCGGAATTAATCACAGCCAATTATCTAATTATCAACTAATTATCTAATGATCTGATTAGTAGCTTCCCGACGGAGCGAAGTCAGGTAAAAGTTCCGCCACCATGCTTCGCATCCTGTTCTTCCTTACATCAGCCTCTCGTTCTCGCACCAGCTGGGGTGTAAGTCGGTGCCAGAAGAGCAGGTGGTTTCTCAGGGTTATCCTGGTGCATAGTTCATTATTTACTTGTTTAGGGGGGGTCCAACTACTACCTCCCTGTTTATTGACTAATTGGTCGTAAATGAGGTTAACTGACTAATAGCTCGATTTAATTGAACATATGCGTCTTTATTAAACTATTTACGATTGTTGTACGTGTTTTCACAATTTATATTTTATTGGTGGTGTGAAATATGGATTTTTGTATTCTTTTGTTTTCAGGGTGTTATTATAAAGAAATTGGATTCGGAAAACGGAAATTTTTAAAGATCCCTAAATTTGAGCCCGCAATAAATCGTAGTAAAAGTCTGCTTATACAAAGTTCTTTTACAATTCAGGGAATTTATACGAAGAGAAACTGTTAAACAACGTTTTACAAACTTAGACTTGCGCTGAACACAACAAATTCCGAATTCCTATGGTGTGTTTATGTATGGAACCCATTCTAGAATGCTTTTTAGAAAAATTACTAACTTATAGTCGCAGAATTAGGGCAAATACATTATAGCGAGTAATTAAATAAAGTTACAAGTTTTAAAAGATGGGAGGTCATTTGACCGAGCCCATTTTGGATGACTTCCAATGAATTCTAGTCGAAGGTAACAAAAACCAAATTCCTTTTAAGCTCGTTGTTACATTCCTTAAATGCCTACACAATTCCATACCAGATGCTAGAAATTATTGATATGTTCTTGGTGTGTTCGGATGTATAGTAGAGTTCATGTGATAAGTGCAAGACAGTAACATTTTTAGATAACCCAAATCTGTACCCCAGTACACAGTAGAATAAGTCGTTCATTTAATAAGGCTTCAGATTCTGCAAATTCCAAAATTCACGAAGATGATTTGCCATAGAACGTTTGTAATGCTTATTCTTTAAAATATAAATATAAATATAAACTATGTCATCCTTGGTTACGAATAACGAATAACCAAGAAAATACTAAAACTTACTTTCGATCGAGCTGAACAGCACGGATTTCCAACCCTCCCCTCTCCTCTACGCACGTCTTCGCGCCTTCCTGCCAGGACCACAGAACTCGTACTCGTAACGAGCGCGAATAGTGTCGGTCAGATATCCGCTGGTACGATTCTTGTAACGTCAGTGCCTTATGGGATGCAGGCATGTTATCAAACATTCTTGTTATATCAAGCATTGTTAAAGCATTTACACTGATTCTGTAGAAACTTCAAAATTGAAATATTCGTTCGACAGATACGAGATCTTAAATAAGGTCAGAAATACTCTTTTCTTAGGGTTTCTTACCCTTTTCATGGATCGGAGGGTTTGTCTCAAAATGAGATTTCTGTAAAACTGAGTAGCCCTCTCTTCTTTCTCAATTATCTTAATTTCCAGGTGCTGTTTCCAGACCTTCCAATGGGAGGCGACACACGTTGTATCATAGTGCCTGGCAGCTTCACCTTCCTCGTCTTTAAGCTGGTTGACAAATAGTTAAACACTAAACGTTAAATTAAGTTTTATTCAGTTAATTCAGTTTTATTCAGTTTTATTTAGTTTTATTCCTGGGTAGAAAACTGACGATGTATACTTATTAACAAATCTGAGAAGTTTAGAGTCCGAAGTAAATTTAAGTAAAAAATGAGGTGGATGTGAATGCTTAGGATAAAAACCTTTTGACAAAGTCTCTTGAGGGGATTTAAAACATATTTCACTTTTAACTTCACATGATAGTGATTAATAGCTGTCAACGTTTTGTCCTTCATCGCTTGTATCTCCTGTAACCTTGCTCGTTCCCTTTCCCTCGCTTCAGCTATCTCCTGAAGCAATTTTAACAGTATGAAAATTAAGGCCTAAAATGTAGTTTAACTTGGTTATTTAACAATCGTCTGAATATGGTATAAATACCTTATCGGATTTATGAAGAGAAAAAAACAGAAAGGTTAAGCAGCTAACTTCTCGTTATTAATATTAGAGAAAAACGAAGAAATTTTGGTGTTGAACTCTAAGTCTGATGTCGGGTATTAATGCCGGCGAGACGGGTGCGGTCGCCCACTGATACTCTAATACACTCCACTTAGTAAATTATAATTGCGGTAAATAAAGTAAGAGAGTAAAAGCTTGGGTTTAAATACCGTTGTAGCTCCGTGGTTAAGTTATTTAGCGAACAAAGTTGTTGAAGCTGCAGTTTCGATAGCATGTTTAACTGTTAGTTGACTAGACATGGATAATACGGATAATATTAGAGACAAATTGGTGTAAATTTATGGCAGAAGCAAAAGATTGGGTTTATTAAAGGTAAGTTTTATCAAACAGTGCAACTGGTGACAACCTTCTAATCTTCAGCAGGATTCAACAAGATGACATGTCTAACGAAACTATTATTCGTTGATTTTTCATAATTAAACCTATTCCGATCCAAAAATAGGAAGAAAAGATAAAGACGACAACATGCCGTCGTTGTTTGCACCTTGAGCCTGTAACCAAAGAAAGTCTCAAACTCAATGCTATACCGGTCCAATTTAAACTGGTGCTATAAGACCAAACTCAGAACACAATTAAAGTCAAACGCCATAATGGCACACTTTAAACTTTTTTGTCAGTAATGGATCCATTGGAGTGACGTGGGTCTCGAGCACTCAAAATTTCTTGTTATGCAAAAACCTATTTTCACCAGGTTCAATGAACTCGCCTTCAATCTTTGCTCTTTCTCCACTTGGCGTTTCTGTTCCTCTTCCTCAGCCCTTCTCTTCTCTTCCTCGATCTTAAATCTCTCCGCTTCTTGCTTCTTTTCTACCTTCCGGTTTTCTATTTCCTGTCTTCTCATAGCTCGCTGCCTTGCCCTTTCCTCCATTCCTTGGAAATTTAAAGAAAGATTTATGAAAGTGACATTATCAATTATTAACGTTTAGAAACTGTAAATCGGGGCTAATTAGGAAAGAGAATGTGGGAGTATACCAAGGGTTCTATCTTCTAACATATTTCTCCTTAACATGGAATTAGCTAAAATAGAGACACAAAATTTGAACTTCCTTACATCCCGACCAGGCTTCATCCGCCCTCTTATGTTCTACAACCCTGTTGGGCGGTCCACAACCAGGCTGGCGATCATTGCGGTTAAATTAGCCCAAGTAAAGTAAGTATGATACAAGCTAACAGGTGTGTTACATAGGGCCCAAACTGATTTCTGTCATGTACTACACCGATTAACCCACATCGAGGTTACTATGCTTAACTTGGTTAGATACCATGGTTGTGAATATGAAGTCGACAAATAAAAAGTCAGTTTTTAATCTAAAATCAGTATATTTCAGGGGCCCGGGCCACGGATCGATAAATAATAGCTATATTAACTGTGCATCAGCTAAGATGTGGGGTATTCTTTACTGCTATGAACAGGCGACCTAGAGTTATTGAGATCTTGTAGAGCAGATTTTATCGTGATGACCATGCCGGCCGGCGCCCCACCGAGTTCAAACGCGCGCGGCGTGTTTTGATTGATTTATACTAGCTGCCGAAAAGTATACTTTCATTACACATTTGTCACTAAAAGTTAGCGCCTACAGTACAAATTCCAAAATACAGGACAGTTAATTAAAGCACTGATCTGCGGCCAATATTAAATTTGTTTCGAATTCTAACAAGAGTTGGAGAAGGTGGTAGATAGCTTTTGGCAAACTACACCTGCAGATTCGATGATATTTAAAAGTTAAAGTTAAGTTGCACGTAGAAAACTATAAATATCTCAGCAACAAATGATCATCACACGAGAATTACTGAGGAGACGTCTTTATCTAAATTTGAATATTTTCCTGAAACATACCTCTAAGAGCCACAGGAATTTTGTTCTCCTTAGCTTTATCAATTCCGACTGTTCTGCTGTTGTTTGAAGATATTAAAGGCCTAACAGGACTGTCCCAAGGATTGTGAACTGGAACTGACACAGGACCTTGAGGTGTCGGTGCTGACTTTGTCGAGTTTGCTTTTCTGTCTTCTCCTACAGTATACAATTACTTTCATTAAAAATCAAGATTTGGTTGGTTTACTAAATTTTTATTTACCAAATTATTGAGAAAACCTAGAATTTTCAAACTGAGTGTCAAAACTTGAGATAGGAAAAGATATGCCCAAAAAATGGCTATTTGAAATGTACTATCTCCATGTACAGTATACACGAATACTACAAGTATCAAACCTGATTTGTGCAGTACATCTTTACGAGCTGCCATTATAGATTCTCTTTCAACTCCAACCCTTTCTGTATTTTCTTGTGCTTCTACATTATTATTCCCTGACTTTGATCCCCGCCCAGCAAAGTTAATACCCAACTTCTTTTTCTTTGAGTACTTTGCACCGTCGTAATTCGGTTTCATAGTTGGGTTGTTGGGAATTTTGGGACAATCGTCTTTGGTGGCTGAGGCGTTTCTGGTGACTGAGGCGTTCGTGGTGGCTGAGGTGTTTCTGGAAACTTCTGAAAGGCATGTTAGATGATTTCATTGTATCACACATAAAGCAAACTAGAATTTTACATTTAATGATGTGGATTGCAGATTGTTGGTAGATGATATTGTAAGGAACAAATTTATTATCAATGATATTTACAACAATAATCATAAAGCAACATTCTAATAAACTATCAATCATTATAAATAGATATATCTATAATTATACAACATGGTAGTCAGTGGTGTCAAAAAGCTGTTGTTTTCCCTTGAATGCCCCCCCCCCCCCCCCCTCTTGGCGCGTAGATGGTACCTACCCACTGCAGCTGCAAGACACTGCTCCATAAGCTGTTTCCTCCTTAAATCATCTTTCTCTTCTCTCTTTTCTTGAACACGTGTTCGATGCCAGTACTGCCAGTATTTGAAGTAGTAGCGCAAGTGAGACTTCCTGAATGTGCGACTCTTTAGTCTTTATCCTTATTTTGAAGATGAAAACCCTTTTATAGCATTGCCGTGTACAATAATTAATTGAAACGGCTCACTTGTAATAATTCACTATAATAAACTTACTGGTAAAGTCAGGTCTATAATAAATCTACTAAAGTTACTAAATTAGTTACTTACTGGTAGTGAACATCAGCTATTCTCACTTTCTTGTTTTCTCTAAACATAGCTTCCCTCACTTTCTCATCTCTCTTTTCTTGTTTTAACCGGCAGTATGACCGCCACTGGCGCCACGCTCTTACCTGTAAACAAAGAGAATAAGTAACAATCAGTACTAATTACAACTAAATACAACTAATTACAACTAATTAGGACTAATAACAACTAAAGAGATTATCATTTTAATTGCGTGATTATCGGTAAAGTGAGTGGATTGTTTAAGATTTAACAAGATTTAAGTTCCTTTTCAGTTTTCAATCATTTGACCGATTGTCAACTCCGCATTCCACAAGAAATATGATCTGTTAAAAATCAAACCTGACTTTTCCACTCGTGGAGAGCGACTGCTTTGTTGTAGATCACTCTGCCATCCAGTGTGGCTTCTCTCCATTTGGTAAATGTTCGCTGTAACATCTACACAGGAAATCTGTTATTAGTAAGCTACTCTTCAAAATATGATTCAGCCGTTTTATTTTCATCGAGGTGAGATACAAAAATACCTGTCAGTGTCGAACCACCAAGGTTTTAACAATAAATGTGAATGAAATATTTTTTAATCACGTGAAAATATTACCGAATATCTCTCCTTCATTTCCTTTCTCTCCGCCTCTTGAAGTTGTTTCAATAAAATATGCCTCGTTGCAAGAATCCTTTTCCTTTTTACCTCTTCCTCTGCATTCTGCATTACAACTTGTCTGTACTCTGCTGCTAGTTCTGCTTTATATGACTCTGTCTGCTTCTCTTTTTTCTTCTCGTATATAACAAGCTTCTCCTGCTGTTCTTCTCTGATTTTCTTCCTCAAAGCGACCATCTCTACTTGAATTTTATCTTCTTCTAATTTCTCCTCTCTTTCTTTTCTTGAACGCTCCTCCTGCAATGCAATTTCTGCGGCTGCCCGTGCAGCTTTTCTCTCGGCTGCTTCTTTTAATTTTTGTGAGCGCTCTTCCTCCATTTTTCGTCGTCGTTCCTTTGCCTGAGATTAAGAAAATATCGAGTAAAAGATATTTTCAAAGCCAAAAATTTCTGGCTCACTAAAAGTTGTAATCTGGTTTGTTACCTATCTTCATTATCGATATAATATTAACCTGTTCCTGCCTAGCTGCAATTGATAATGCCGGATTTTTCACTTTCTTCACTGCTGTCAACTTCTTGATGACTTTCTGTTCGACTGGAGCTGACCTAGAAAAAATCCCGATATATAATCAAAACACATAGTTTACATCTTGACATCTGACAAATATGTATGTTCTGACAACATTTTTTAACAAACCTTCATTATCACGTACGTCGTACATTAATATTATCAATGTCAAAAGTTGACTCTTAAAAGCAAAAGATGACCGCAGTAATATTGGTTATCTCACTGTATCCTACTTTATCCTTCTGTATCCTTACTTTATCCCACTGTATCCTACTTTATCCCACTGTATCCCACTGTATCCCACTGTATCCCACTGTATCCTACTTTATCCCACTGTATCCTACTTTATCCCACTGTATCCTACTTTTTCCCACTATATCCTACTTTATCCCACTGTATCCTACTTTATCCCACTGTATCCTACTTTATCCCACTGTATCCTACTTTATCCCACTGTATCCTACTGTATCCTACCTGAGACGCTGGAGAGCTATTGCCACGTCATCCTCTTCACAATCTAACAGTTCTGAAGTTAAATCGTGCTTTGAAGACGGTGAAACAGTTCCCATCACTTCGTACTGGAAAAAATTAGTTGATATCAGAATAAGTGATGATGAACAAGCTCATCTTGGTTACTACTAGTTAGTATAAATGTCGAAGTAAATTTGTCATCCTTCCTGAGACTGAAAAGATGCACGTAGCATTACAGATCCTGTAATTTTACCTTCTCATCACCAAACAGAAACTCCTCGTGGTTGATCTCTGTTTTTTTCTGTAACCACGTGTTGAGAATGCTCTTTGCTTCAGTAACAGCATCGTACCTATCATTTAGAGGAAGTGTGGATGCTGACGTGGGCTCTTCTGATGTGTTGTGGTCTTCTTTATCGTCATAATCTATAAAACAAACATCTGTTGTACGGACAAATATTCGGACAAATATTCTCAGCTTTTAATGAGCAATATTCTCAGTATCATTAGTGCATTTATATTATGTGATTATAATGCCCAAAAGAAACTACTTACTGGGGATGTAGTCAGAGATAATTTGAGCAAACATTGAACTGACATCACTATCAGGGACTCCTTTGGTGTGGGGGTGATGGGCACTCTCTGCTGCATAGTCATTGATAACATCAGATTCTGCAACATCTGCTGCTTTGCGCACCTGAAATGGTTAATTATATTCATACTAGTTTTTTGTGCAGTGAATCTTTTGCGGCAATTGAATTTGTTGTGTTTTTTTTTTTTTTTAATGTTTCAAATTGGAATATTAATGTCAATGAGACACAAACCTTTTGTATCTGACTCCCAGTCTTTTTTAAAGAGTATTAAGAATCAATAATATAAGCCAACCTTTCTAAGCCAGATGTCAATGTCGTCTTCATTGGTGTCATGGTTGTTGGATTGTTGGTCAGTTTGATGATCAGGACCAAACTGATCAACAACTGAATTGTTCAATGAAACATTTTTATCAGCACTACTCATCCAAGCTTCTACTTTTTTCCTTGTTTGTGCCTGAAACCAAATAACATTATCTTAAATGTAACAATAGTATGTTATGCGATATCTGTCAATCTAAAAGAGTTTTAATAATACCTAAATTATGAACAACTGAAACTGTAGTACCTTTTTAATGCGTTTTCCCGGTTTGCGAGAAGGCCTCAGGTCTTCCGTCATGGGTGTCCATTTAAAAAGATCCTTTGCCATAGCAGCTGAGTTGAGTTAAAACATCATTAATAATTTTTTGTTAAAATCTATGTAGTGAAGTAAAATACATTGCTTCACTACAGTCAGTGACGTAAACTCGGTGTTTCCTCACCCAACCCCCCCCCCTCCCTCTCTGCTGCCGAAAAGGTGTAGGGGATGCCAAAGAAAGACCAAATTCTTTTTATTTTTATGGATATGGTAACGCTTTTGCACAGTTTAGAGATGTATTACTGTATATAAACAAATTACAGAATCAAATAGGAAAACAAATTTTTTAGGAAAACAAATTTAAATTTTGGTATAATTTATTAATAACAATCAAAACATATCATATCATAAAAATAAAGCCGCGCGTTGGCTGACTGCCTCAGTAAGGTGAATAATATAAGCTCGAAGGTGCCCTGCGCATTTACAGAACCTCATGCGGCAATCACATGATCATGAGGACCTGTGAGCGCCAAATTTAATTTAAAGTTTCTAGAAATCATACATCACTACGAGTTACTCATGCTTTTTTAATTTTTATAGGAGTGTAGATTGTCAGGTATTTCATTCATTCATACATAGTCGGTTTAAAGCTGTATATTTAGAACTCACTATTGTTTAAACTATGAAAGCAGAACGTAGGTAATGGACAATATACCGAAATACAAAATGCAATTTGTAGACTTCTGACAAAAAATGTATGCAAAAACTATAGACACTCTCACTGACAGTGATGATTACATCTATTCAATATAAATTCTAAAGAATCTGGAGTTTAAGATTGTTCGCAATGAGCATCAAAGAATAAAATTCTACAGCAAACAGTCTTGTTGAACATTATGACAAGCATGGAATGTGACCAAAGTTGTTACTATTATAATTTACGGCTGCCTCTATGCGAATGTTACTGCAATATCTCCTTACTTCATATATAGGGCCCCGCTGATCCCGCTGTGCGAGGGGCGCCATCTTAAGGGATGCCACAACAAGTGGGCACTTTTTCGGCGGGGGCGCCAACAGGCAATGTTACGCCACTGAGCAGGAGAGCTGTCAGATCTGTCAAAAATATTGGACAGATCTATAAAATAAATAAACACACATAGAGTCGTCTTTAGCTTTTGACGGATAAAGCATGTGACAAAAACGATGGAAATTAGTATGGACAAGGACTCCAATCACTTCACGGCGGCGGCACGCTACTACATGCAAGCACAAGGGATCTGGTTAGAGCAAGAACTCCACATCAATGAGGATACGCGAAAATATAGTCAATAATCAAGTTACACAACGAAAAAAATTAAGTTAAGGCATAAAGTGTTCTTGAATGCAACAATAACACTCATAAGGTATTCTTGTGAACATATTATGATAATGTTTCTTTAGCGCTCGATTTTTATACTACAGTGTAAAAACCGGCGAAATCATGCGCGCCGCGTTTTTTTAGTTTCATTTTAAATCATCTTTGACCGTGATTGTATTAAATAAATTTAGTCAATTATTATCATTTATAAGATTTGTGGAAAATTTTGTTCATGACATTGAACATGGCCCGTTTAAGTAATAAACGCTAAATGCGCGCATATACATTTTTACCGTAAATTTTTAGCCTAAAAAATTTTGAAATAATACACAATACAATAATAGCTTATTTGTAATATTATTTTGCGCAGCCCAGCTAATTTAAAGTTTAATACAGCTTTAGCTTTACATACAAATGTTGGTATGTCAACAAAATTAATTTGCTTAAAAATTTTAAGTATGGTTTTTTCATTTTTGGCTTTATTTTAGACTGAAAAATGTTTTTTGTGATAACAACCAGGAAAACTTAATTTCTTCAATTGAAAAAGTTTAATTAAATTTTGCGTTTAAAATGTGTTACAAAATTATTTGGCATATCAAATAAAAATGTATGTTTAAGTAATAAGACCTTTCATTTTATAAAAAAGCACATCAAGTTACATAACAAATGAATTGTAATATCATTTGAATATTATTAATGCAAATTCAGAGAGTTAAAAATTAAATTGCAATAATTGAAATTTTCAAGCGTGCCTAATTCATTCCATTTTTAAATAATACATGCTAATAAATCGACACAAAATGCAGAAGCAGCTCTAAAAATCAATTGTTGAAAAATAATATTGATTATTGAATGGAAATGTGTGCCGCGCATATTGTCCTCTATTTTGGTTTGTATCCCAAAAATCGAGCGCTTACTGCTTTACCGAAATTGCGATGATAAAAATATTATCTTGGTAGTTTCGTAGTTTACAGTATCATGCATTACACCGCCTACACATGTAGTACTTTCCCGCCGGAACGATCTCGCATGTCGATTTACGATGTCCATGGCACTATGTTCAGATGTCATCAATAAAATTCCTTGAATCTTCTTGTGTCTGTTCAAACATCAGCTTCTCACAAAGTCTAAACTTGGTTGATTGCCACATTGCTATGCTTAAACCTTTGTCAAGATAGATTAGATTAGATTAAGAATAATGACATAAACATCATCACTAGTTTTAAACATTCTTTCTGATTTCCTCATTATCAGAACTGTGAACATTTCACAGCCTTCGTCATTAAAAAACAAACAAATTCTATAACTATCATAATTGTCATAATTTATTTACATATAAAAAAGTTAAAATGTTAAAAACCGTTAATTTAAAAAATAAATAAAAACAAATTTATGAGATATTTATTCCCTTATATGTCAAGGTATCCCTTATCTAGTTGGCCGATTAATTTCGACAAATATTGATTGTCTATTGACTTGAGCAAGTAGGGATCGTGATCGTAGACTAAATTGTGAATCTTTTACATCACTGATCTTCTGACGAACGACATTTAATATTTCCCAAGCATAAGCTGCACACCAATGCGAAAACTCTTAAAGAAGTGTCCATCACGATATTTTTTGGACTGTACTTTGATAGAATAGAAGGAAATTATCTGTATTCTTTGCTTTCGATGATGGTCTTGATCTGGAAGTTCTTTTTACTTGACTGTGCAATGGATGGACAGCGAAACTTATGAATAAGAAATCTGTTGGCTGCGATTGACTACTGTACGCCATGAATAGGACAGGGTTTTAAATGATGATCAAGGTAGTACCCTCTATTCACTAGGATATTCTATGCGAACTCTTCTGAATGATCGGGAAATCAAGAAAATAACAATTTCAAGAAAATAACAATTTTATTTAGTATCAATTAAAGCAGACAAAAATATATTTTCTATATATATAACTAGCACGAACTTTAGATCAGATATCTTAGGGGACTTGGAGTAGCAAGAGATTGACTAGAAGGTATATACCTTTTACAAAGATACGTCGAGAAGAATCCAGGGTGATACAGGATCGGAGAGTGCAGACCAAAAGTTTACGCACCCACCTTTGCCTCCTGAGTTCTTGGTTGGATAGAAATTTATGCAAACTTGGTCGTTTATACTCCAAGTCCCTTTCTTAAAAGAAGTAGTATTAACTATGTCTAGAGTTAGCTTCGTTCAATAATAACAATATCAATATAATCAATATCAATACCAGATAAACCTACCGAATAAATTATTAAATGTCAATCAATTAATTCATTCCGATAAAAAATTTTATAAATTTAGATATTTAGTATCTAAAAATATTACAACAATTGGTTAAAAAGCGCCCAAAATCGATTTGAAAGACTTTCTGTCTATAGTACAATCATGATAGTAATAGTAAGTGTGCGCCGCTGCAATTAGACTTGATTACTGCAATTTAAAATTGTTTGGAGTCCAAGTATCTTTTAAGTCAGCTGCCTGTGTTTGTATTAATAGTGCTTTTGTTCTCAGTTTTATCAAGCTAATGGACGTTTCTAAGCAATTGCTTGAAGTTAAAATTTTTTTATGAACAGCGTTCCAAAGCTTGGCTGCATTAAACAAAAAGGTATTTGATTTATTTAGGAGAATAACCGTGAGACTCGTTGCACGGTTTGAAATGTTGATAGCCTCATGTTGATCCTGGCTTATGTCATCTCTGCAAAGGGACCCTGTTAAAATAGTTTGCATCTTTCTATTGCACTCTGCAGTACATGGTCAACAATAGTACTTATTATAGTAGAATAGTTGTTCAGAGGTGTTTAGCTTCTATCCGTGCACATTTGATACATGTTGCATTAAAATGATCATAAATTGCAGTCATCTTTGAAATGTAATACTCCACCGAAGGGAAAGGGTGCGTCAAGAATCATCCAGTTTTTCACATCGAAAGCACAATTTTTACACACAAAATTGTGACATTTATTGTTCAACTTTATTGTTGTTGTATCATTCGTAATAGAAATTGAACACTTCTCAAATCTACAACCTGCCCCTCAAGTCGATGGGATTGTGTTAAGATTTCATATCCATTGAATCATTTGTACAGTTGTCTAGACAGCTAATCCCCTTTATTTTGTACCATTGTGCCACTCATGTAGCTGTTAGACACTCTTATTGGTACCGAGCTTGCGAAATTGCCTGGTTATTCTTGGCCGAAATCGATGATAGACATGAGACTAGAATTACTATCGTGATTTTCGCACAATTTGGTACCAACGAACCATTTCCATTACTTGTGCAGTGTGCTGCTCTCTGCTTATTGCTTTACATGAGATGATGTGATCTTTCATTTTCTATCTTTCAATTAGTATTGTACATACATTTTGAGGTATCGTTCTAATCTATATCACTCAGGAGCTAGCACTGAAATCATGGCTGACGAACAAGTCAAGAGGAAACGTACCTTCAAGAAGTACACCTACAGAGGTATCGATCTTGACAAGCTTCTTGACATGACCAGTGCCGAACTTACACAGCTTGTACATTGCCGAGCTCGAAGGAGGTTCACCCGTGGTCTCAAGAGAAAGCCAATGGCTCTCATCAAGAAACTGAGGAAGGCAAAGAGGGTTTGCCCTGATGGAGAGAAACCAGAGGCTGTCAGAACCCATCTGAGGAACATGATCGTCACCCCAGAGATGGTTGGATCCGTCGTTGGAATTTACAATGGCAAGACCTTCAATCAGGTTGAACTTAAAGCAGAGATGATTGGACATTACTTGGGAGAGTTCTCTATCACTTATAAACCAGTTAAGCACGGTCGACCCGGAATTGGTGCTACTCACTCTTCAAGATTTATCCCTCTGAAATAAGTTATTTATCGTTTTTATGAACCAAATTATGTTTCATTGTTTCTACTTGAACCTGCAACAGAAGTAAAAAAGATGAAATTGAGAGTGATATGTCAAAAATGGTTTTAAACTAGTTGCTAAATAATATCATTTCAGCTATCAGATTCACTGTTGTTTACAGTATATTCACTGTACCATTACATTCTGGTTTCTATATTGACCCTTCATGATCTAGCTTGTATGTCTTGTGTGGATGACATAGAGGATCTTGCGAGCACTGTTGGTGACACACCTACAAAGCGCGTGCCACGCAAGCGCGTCATCCCTAAGAAGTTCAGCACACAGCTGAAGCATGAGACTCCAGTCGCTGAGAGTGTGATTCCTGGGACCCAGAGTGTAGGTCAACAACACATTTCATATATTTCAATTTTAAAATACTATTTAAAAGATTACTGCATAAGTTACCATCAATTGCTTTTTACCCTTACTTCACTACATGAATATGAACACAGAACGTTTGATTGCACCACTTCTAATTTACATGGAAATTATCACCTATTTCACTGCAGGTATTCGTAAGAACATGGGGTTGTTCACATAACAACAGTGACTCTGAGTACATGGCCGGGCTCCTTGCTACGTACGGTGAGAAATATGTTTCTCCTATGATTCGTAATTGATAATGATTTCTAATTGATTATGATTTGTCTTGAATTTGTTAAGATTGGCAATTGTGCGGTGTAAGAACTGAGTACTGAGTACACGCGCAATGCGCATTCAATCTACATATAACTAGGAAAGTTCGACAATTAACATATCATTTAATCAGGATACAAGATAACGGACGATGCAATGTCAGCAGATCTGTGGTTACTTAATAGTTGCACTGTCAAGACCCCCTCGGAAGATGGCTTGAGGAATTCCATCACTTCTGCTCACAGTTTGGGTTAGCTCTTGACATTTATACCGTTTTGGGGTAATATTGAAATATTTCTGATAGATTGTCGGCTTAAAATTAAATCGCAACTTCTCCCATTACTGTCGCGTCAGAAATGAATGCCTAAGTTAAAAACTTTTGTATGTTGATTCTGGATTGTAAATGAACTTCCGTCTAGGAAAGAAGGTAGTTGTAGCTGGTTGCGTTTCACAAGGTGCACCTGACACCAAGTTTATCGCCGGACTGAGCATAGTTGGAGTACAACAAATCGACAGGTTTTTATAATTTATATTATTATTATAATTTATATTGTCCGTGGTTATATTCTTTAATAAGTGAATAATCTTGTCGAAAAATTCAAAAAATCTTGCAGAAAATTTCAACCACCTCCTAAAGAAAATATATGGAGTCGCTAAGGAAACCCTCATGTTCCCAAAATAAAAACATACTATTGTCACTTGTCAGAGTGGTTGAAGTAGTGGAAGAAACATTCAAAGGTCACAGCGTCAGACTGTTCGGACAAAAGAAAGATGGGGTGAAGAAGTTAGGGGGAGCGTCCTTACATCTTCCAAAGATCAGGAAGAACCCCCTCATTGAAATAATTGGTAGGTTCGAATGTATGTTTTGATGTGTTTAGAATAAGGATGTTCACTTTTTATAGATGTGATTCATGTGTATTGTTACCATCCATGATGTCTCACTTAAATTAAAAGTGTTAACTCTTCTGAATGAAAACCAATCAAATTGAATCTTAGATTAGATAAATAAATTCTTCAATAAATGAACTAATCACCCGAACCCTTCAGCTATAAACACGGGATGCCTGAACCAGTGCACGTACTGTAAAACTAAGCACGCACGTGGAGAGTTAGGCAGTTACCCAATAGCAGACATTGTGGAGCGTGGTGTGCAGAGTTTCGCTGAGGGTGTCAGGTTATTGCTAATGAACTAATTGATTAACTGATTGAGTATTTGTGGAATTCAACGAAGTTCGGTTTAGTGTTTTAGGGAGTACATAGTACGTGATGGACTGGTACGGAATCGCGCATATATATTGACGGTCAAATGGTACACTCCAGTATCCTGATTTGGTGTTCGGTTATTTCTCCGAACGTCGCAACATTTACTGGAAGAGCACTGCACACAACTTCTGTATCATGTTTTCCTCGGCAATGAGAAAACGTGGAAGTTGTGTGTCACAATCAATTGGAATTAATTGGATTGTTGATAATATCCACACCACAGAGATACAATCAATACCCCAATGAAATGTCTATCGTCTAGTTAATAATAACACTGGAAACTGTTTTACAGGGAAGTTTGGATGACGTCAGAAGATACAGGAGCATACGGTAGGGATATCGGCGTGACACTGCCTGATCTATTATACGAGTTCGTAGAGATTATCCCTGAGGGCTGCATGCTCAGATTAGGTTAGTTCAATTTGTTTCCTTTCCATTTTTCAGAAACTTGGTATTAATATCCTTACTCGAACTAATCGCTATCACAACCCTTAACCGTAGTGGTTTTAATGTTACTCCTCAGGTATGACAAACCCGCCCTATATATTGGATTATTTGGAGGACATGGCTAAAATCCTGTCTCATCCCCGGGTATACTCCTTCTTACATGTACCAGTACAAGCAGGTTCGTTTGTATGTGTGGATAACTTTCTTAAATTAGTAGATAATTTAATGATTTTAGTGGTAGTCGTAGGAAACTACGTATTCACTTTTTAGCGTCATTAATATAATGGTTATGTTATCTGTCAAAGGTAACCCTTACATATTGGTAGAAAATGCAATAGCTTAAAGATACTCATGTCACCATTCCCTTTTAATAGATAACCTCCTCTCCCACAGCAAGTGACAACGTACTGGAGGACATGAAGCGCGAGTACACGTGTGCAGAGTTCAGCCGCGTGGTGGACTTCCTGCGCGAGAAAGTTCCTGACATCACCATAGCAACGGACATTATCTGCGGGTTCCCCACTGAAACGGAGGAGGATTTCAAGGAGACGTTGGAGCTGATTGAGAAGTACAAGTTTCCCAGTTTGTTCATCAACCAGTTCTTTCCTAGACCGGGCACGCCTGCTGCTCGTATGAAGAAGATCCCAGCTGATAAAGTTAAGTTGAGAACGAAGAAAGCGTCAGAGATATTTCAGAAACAATTCCCCTACACTCACAAACTAGGTTTGTATAAATAAATAATCAATTTTTCAGTAAACAAATAATTGTTTTATTAATTTGTTTATTATCTTGTTAGTTTTGCTAGTCAGTACATTAACTTTACAATACAAAGGTAATGACCAAAGTTTTTGCTTTAATTCGTGTTAGAACCTGCGCGGCGCTGCAGGCATTGTACTGTACAATAAGTGCTGTAAATATCATTGTACAATAAGTGCTGTAAATATCATTGTACAATAAGTGCTGTAAATATCATTGTACAATAAGTGCTGTAAATATCATTGTACAATAAGTGCTGTAAATATCATTGTACAATAAGTGCTGTAAATATCATTGTACAATAAGTGCTGTAAATATCATTGTACAATAAAAGCTGTAAATATCATTGTACAATAAGTGCTGTAAATATCATTGTACAATAAAAGCTGTAAATATCATTGTACAATAAGTGCTGTAAATATCATTGTACAATAAGTGCTGTAAATATCATTGTACAATAAAAGCTGTAAATATCATTGTCCAATAAGTGCTGTAAATATCATTGTACAATAAGTGCTGCAAATATCATTGTACAATAAAAGCTGTAAATATCATTGTACAATAAGTGCTGTAAATATCATTGTACAATAAGTGCTGTAAATATCATTGTACAATAAGTGCTGTGAATATCATTGTACAATAAGTGCTGTAAATATCATTGTACAATAAAAGCTGTAAATATCATTGTACAATAAAAGCTGTAAATTAATTTGTGAGACTTTTTGTTCTGGGTTTCCTGTATCAGTCATGTGACTACAATAGATAATGTAGTTCTTACTCGTACGCCCACAGCACGCTACTTCTTAGTTTTTCGCTCCTTTACTGTCAGTTTCGTTGCCGGAGAATAACTCTTATAATATCATAGCCTCTCTTCTTACTCGATTTGAACGATGATGTTGTCAACATTTGGTCGAAGAGCTAAATGAATGACCATTGCATTGCATTTATACAGTGAATCTACACTGACCGTCAAATTGATGGTTTAATATAATTGTTTAATTGCAGGAGAAGTACAGCAGATTCTGATAACTGAGATAGCTACAGACAACAAACACTACGTGGGACACAACAAGTTTTACGACCAAGTTTTAGTCCCGAAGATTGAGGGATACATGGGCCAATCCCTGACGGTTAGGATAATGGAGACAGGGAAACATTACTTAAAAGGAGATGTTATCGAGGAGGGGGAGATACAGAATATCCCATCTTCTTACAGTAATCCTAATAAAGTGGTAAGAGCAGTCAATTTCTCCGCAGAATTAAAGTTGTATTTAAGATATTGGTCCTTTTCAAGTTCATCTTACAAGTTATTTGTTGGGGTCTGAATTGGGTCCTTCAGATTGCCTTTAATAAAGAACTGTCATAAACTGATATGTTGCTGGCATGAATTAAGCTATCATTTCCAACTGTAATTGCAGTAAATAATCTTATTACTGACTAAAATAACGATGCTATTATTTCAGGCGTTCTCGCTGAATCCATACAACATGGTACAGAACATAAAAACAAAGAGCAACGTGTGGAACTTCCTGATAGTCCTCGTTATCGGAGTTATGTTTCAGTTGCTTTACATTCTGTACAGAAACCACCGGTGAAAGAGAAAGTGAACTTGCTCACTCGTGCCCTGACCAAGCTTTTGGATACATTGAATTGTTGGATAGTTGGTTCCAGCAGCCTGTCTTCGCTTCATAACACCCGAATTTTCACGCGATTGAATTGGACTAGGCTGAACTGTAGTTGTCGCAATCTGATATTTATTGAATCTCAAAGGGAATTTTGTAAATAATAAACGTGTTCTTTCCCATCTCAACCGGAATTATTTATTGAGATACCGCCTTCAATTCCATCGACTAGAACGTTTTATGCTTATAAACGCAAGTCGTCTTACAAAAAATATTGGATAAGATTTTGATCTGATGAAATAAAACAATGTTGCTTATTCGACAGCTTATGGCAAGAAAAGCTTGGAAGCTTAAATCCCGTGGAAAACATTCGAACACGTAAACAATTGAAAGTGTCGTTATTTTTTGCTTCAAAAATGTTTATTATAATTGATTGTGGTCTTTTTTATCCTGTTGGGTTTAAACCTTCTTTCTATTTTAGCAATGTATGTTATTACATAGAGCACTTTCATCGACCTTAACACGATTTTCTTATTCATTGTAAGTGAAATTTATCTTCATTTTTTCGATATTCTGGCAGTGTCCAAGTAGCTGATCCACCAAGGGTATGCATTAGAGCGGTCAACTTTATAGGGTTAGAGTACATTTACGGACTTAAATCTTTGCTTCAACCCTATGGCCGGGGGTGATGCAACGTCAATTAATGTCAGTATTCCATAAAAACCCCAAACTGACATTGACATTAATTGACATTAATTGACATTAATTGACATTAATTGACATTAATTGACATTAATTGACATTAATTGACATTAATTGACATTAATTGACATTAATTTGTCTTGAAATTTGAGATTATCATTATTCGATAGATATTCACGTCTATGTAAGTTAGACCGGTTAAAAAAAAAACAAAATGTCCTTGAATAATTATGATTATGTTCTTATCTGTTGATCCTGAGGTTCAAAGACCACCAAAAAAAATTTAGCTTCCAACTCTTCCATCTTCGGTCCCCACCGGCCACGCCCATATTTTATTGGTTTCTTATACAGGTAAAATATCTAGAATCGGCTTTTTTAGCATGAAGGAGTAATGTTAGCTGTTTAAGATTCGTTATTCAAATATAAATGTCATGAAGGCATTTCGTTTAATGTGGGTTTTAAGTTCTGATGATGTTGAGAACCACGCCCTTGGATGGCCACGCCCATTTAAGAAAATTAAATTTCGGGAAACCGTATTATTTTAGTTTTATTGTTTAATGATCTGAATTTTTTTCACATTTCACATTTCCATATGTGATAGTAGTGAATAAATTGATGATATAAACGTTCTAAAGTGCTAAAAATATGGTAGAACTACATAATCTCTGGTCGAAAAATATCGTGTCAATTAATGTCAGTATTCCAAAATTTTGCAAAACTGACATTGACATTAATTGACATTAATTGACATTAATTGACATTAATTGACATTAATTGACATTAATTGACGTTGCATTCCCCCCCTATGGCCTAAAGTTGTCTTCCCTATACTAATGTTTACCGTTAGTAGGTGAGCTTCTTGGATACTACCCCAATATCTGACTTCTTTTTATGAGACTGTGGAGCCGAATTTTAGTTTTAGCTTTATCAGTGACGTTTTAAGTGTTGTACAGTACTAGTGGTATTCTCCAGTACACAGCTTCTGTATCATGTTTTCCTCGGCAATGAGAAAACGTGGAAGTTGCGTGTTACAAAATACTGTACTCTCACATCATGTAACGTTTTTAGTCTAAAGCGTACATTAATTGATGCTTAATGATTTCAGTTTGAAGTCAGCAAGTTTGCGGCAATTCGTCTCACAATCTAGAACACCTGCCCAAAAGATAGCAAGTGCACCTACACAAAAGATAGCAAGTGCACCTACACAAAAGATAGCAAGTGCACTTACACCAAAGATAGCAAGTGCACCTATTTTACCACTGATAGTTCCTACGGCTGATATTTCCACCTCAGCTACAGTTCTTATGGCCCAAGACGAGGTACCTAGCTACTTTTTATTCAGAACTGAGCATATTATCCTTTTTAAAAGGATGTGGTAGAATTCTTTGATATTCCCATAAATTATGTAATTCTTAGAATGCAACGTTATTGAGGATTCAAATTTCATAATTTCATCAGGTGACAGAATCTCTATCCAAAATGGAAATTTCCCCAATCTACACATCGGATAAAAATGGCAGCGATGAGAAGGGTGAAGGAACCGAAGATAGCCCGTTCAAAACGCCACTCCAAGCCATGAGACACTGGGGGAAGGTACGTATTTTGCTAGTACCTCGTGCGCTATTGCTAGTTTTGGAGATTTGTTTGTATTGTACGCATCAAACGTTCAGTATCCATCGCGAAATTTTAGGACGAAGTTTTGCGCGATATTTGCGCGGCGTTGAATAAGCATGTTATTTATATTATATTCATTTACTTTTTAATGATAACCTATCTTTTCAGACCCCATTCCCGACCATATTTGTAGACAGCAAAGTAGAGGGCGAGCAGTTTAGCGTCATATCCCAAGCTCAGATGAAGAAACTCACCAAAGTCTACCAACGTGAGGTATTTTTCTCGATTATCTAATTTTAATTCTTCCAGCGGTCAAGTTTCCACTCCTTGGTGTACACATCCATTACGGCTCCCTATAAATTTACAAATTTATCATGTTTATGACTGAAAATTCTTCGTGCAGGCTAACAAGACTGACAACAAAGCCAAGAAAGAAGCCGAAGAGGCTGCTAAAAGGGCAGCTAATCTTGAAGAAAGTAAGAGTATTACCATATCCGAGGATCCCTCACTTCCAACTGCCACAGCTTCTAAGATCACCAACCTTGAGCAATACAGGGGACAACGCGTCAAAGTTAGTAACATGAACTCAACAAAACCACCAAGCCTAATTATTTTCTCAACAGCCACTAAAGCACGAGATGTAAATGTAAAAAACAATTTAGCATCGCCAACAGTTCTTGTCCCATTCACCGAAGGCCTTGTTCCGGTGTAATTCCTGTGTCTGGAGCCTGTTGTTAATAAAGTAACTAAGTATGTGTGATTTTTTTGAGATGTGGCTGAAATTTCAAATTTTAATTGTTCGGTGATTAATGGCACATTCTCCAAACTCCTGCTCCGACTAGATTATTGCTAGTTAGGATCCTTAATGTTTGGTAGATTAATAATGTCCGTTTGAGGGTTCCATTTGTTATTGATTGAACTCATAGAGGGCACTGACATTTCTACTTAAAAATCATCATTGAAATCGAAAGATCAATAATAAAACTCAAAACTCTTCTAAAATTGTACTTATGTATATATATGGACACGTTCATTGAAGTTTGAGGATATTGGTAAATTTCTAAAATAGCGTTTTCGACGATAGTGGCTTAATTTTAGCATCTATTAATCTAGCGTGTTCATAAGTTCTGAACATTAGCCACGTGACCCATACTCCCATATGCACTGCTCAGAAATAAAATGTATTGCTTTTAGGCACTATAATTTAAAAAATGTCACATTTTTGTGACATTGTTTACCATAGCTGCCCAATTATCATTCCTTGGTCTGAAATATAGTAGATTAGGTCAATCTAACAATTATGATACAACATTGGTTAAAGGGCACGGATCGAACGGCTTTAAGGCAATATTTCGTACACTTTGTCACACTCAGAATACAAGACCTCTTTTTTACTGTGAGGTGTCCTCAAAACCCTTTCAACTCATTATTTGATGGTTCTTCTGCCAATCATAGCCCTAAAATATGTTGTTTTGAAAAGTTAGCAAATACATGCACTTGGTTATTGGGAAATGATGTAAATTCTGTCACATTATATAGAATTTGAAATTCTGGGTGAATTTCCGAAATCATTTATATCTGATTTTGGTTTGGAAGGCGGGAAAACTCTATATAAGGACGATACACGGATACAGTTGATTCAAGTATAGGGCAGTTTATGTAAACATCGTCACAAAATGATACGACATCGTAAATATGTTACATTTTGCGGGGAAAATCTCTATAAGGACGATACACGGATACAGTTGATTCAAATATAGGGCAGTTGATGTAAACATCGTCACAAAATGACATCGTAAATAGGTTAAATTTGGAAAAAATGATTATAGAATGAAATAGTCTGTGATTAACATATTACATACATTATAAAATGGGCAGGGGTTTTTATAATTCCTGTATCTCTGTATTAAAGTATTAATCATTTCGGACTGTAATTAGGACTGTTCACGTGAAAGAAATTGTATCTAAATTTTACAATGACGTACTCGTATGTGACGAAATTTACATTTCTTGACCCTATTTTGAAGAACCATACCTCGGTTAGAATTCAATGTTCTTCCAGGAATTATTAGTTGGTTATTGTTTAGCAAATTATAACTCAAGTTTAACAATGCTGAGTTTAATTTTACTAAGTTACTGAAATGTGACGAAATTTACTTTTCCTGCCCCAACAGTATAATTTCAATGCGATGAAAAATTGGCATGGGTTTCTAAATTTCCTGTATAAATCCATTCTAACTATAATAAGGACTAATGATATGAAAGAAAATCTATCAAAATTTTAAAATGACGTATGTGACGAAATTTACATTTCTTGCCCCTATTTTGAAGAAACATACCTCGGTTAAAATTTAATTTTCTTCCAGGAATTATTGGTTGGTTATTGTTCAGCAAATTAGAACTCAAGTTTAACAATGCTGAGTTTAATTTTACTAAATTACTGAAATGTGACGAAATTCACTTTTCCTGCCCCAACAGTATAGTTTCAATGTGATGAAAAATTGGCATGGGTTTCTATATTTCCTGTGTAAATCCATTCTAACTATAATAAGGACTGTTGATACGAAAGAAAATCTATCTAACTAATGCAATGGCTGATGTGACGAAATTTACATTTCTTGCCCCCTATTTTGAAGAATCATACCTCGAATAGGATATAATTTTACTTTATCACCATACCTATGTCGATAAACTAGTTATTTTGCCAACAAATAGCAAATAAAGTTACCATATTTTTTTGTGACGAAATTTACAAATTTTTACCATGTTCAGGTGTTGAAATTTTGCCAATGTTAACATATCACTGCCATATAATAATTTATATGGCCGGCGTGTGGTTGAAATATTGTTAATTGATCCATAGTACGTAATATATGGTGTTTAAGTTGGTATACTAATATTTACTCAATTTCACACATGTTGAGATATCATACAAATGTATGTGACAAAGTTTACCCATTTCTGCCTTCTGTATTTGTATTTGCCTGTAACAATGAAATATGTGAACAATTCCAAACACATTCAGCTCACAAAATAATGCTAGACTATTCGGCATTTCTTGTCAGGATGTCATAAACATTAAACATCCCTCATATAAATTTCTTAAATGTGTGACAGAGTTTACATGGTGCTACCATTTAACGAAAAAAGTCGCTAAATATGTAGATAATAGTCATATGCAACTAACCTATAAATTTGAAATTCGAAAATTTGGTCAAACACGGCAACAAGGGGTCCATATAAACTCTGTCACGTTTTTATAGTGTGACAAAGTTCACAACTCACTGCCGCGCCGGCCGCATTTAAGTGATATCTTATCGTCTGATAAAGATATCGTTATGCGACAAAGTTTATCTAGAGGATGAAACGATTATCCTAACCATTGAGGGTTTATATAGTTTTATAGTGTGACACATTTTACATCATCGTGCCATTTAGTAGGGTCACTAATATTTACCAATATCCTCAAACTTCAATGAACGTGTCCATATATTAAACGGAGGCCAAATAGTTACTAAAATGTTTACAAATAAGAATTAGACATATATCAACATTGCCATAATTCGGCACTTGTATCTCTGTATCCTTAGCCACTAAATGTTAAGCACCTTCAACATGTCTATTGTCTGGTCGCAACCGCTGTAGGCCTTATTCCGATCTAATTCCTGTGTCTTTAGCCCGTGCAAGTTAATAACAATCACAAAATATACCCAATCTGGGGGGAATGCAACGTCAATTAATGTCAGTATTCCATGAAAACCCCAAACTGACATTGACATTAATTGACATTAATTGACATTAATTGACATTAATTGACGTTGCATTCCCCCCCCCCCCCCCCCCCCCCCCAATCTCAAGAGTCAAGAACTACCTTAATCTTACGTCAGGTGTACGGATGGGTACACAGACTACGAAGGCAAGGAAAGAACATGGCATTTGTCGTCCTCCGTGATGGAACCGGATTTTTACAGTGCATTCTCTCTGACAACCTCTGTAAGACTTATGAAGCCCTCCTCTTGGCTACTGAGTCATCCGTTCAGATTTTCGGTGAGTTTCAAAGTTTTTAACACTTTTTTTCCAGGAGATTGTCATAGTCAATTCCAAACTCCTGCTCCGACTAGATTATTGCTAGTTAGGATCCTTAATGTTTGGTAAATAAATAATGTCCGTTTGAGGGTTCCATTTATTATAGATCGAACTCATAGAGGTCAATAACACTCTGATCATCTCAGGATCGAGTTAAGATAACTTGACTACACCAGAATTAATTTGTATTATTGTTCCACAAACCAGTGTTATTTCTAGAAAGATATTGGCTTTGAAATGACAATGTTCAATCTTAATCTAACCTGAGATGGTATTCAGGAACATTGAAAGAAGTTCCAGAAGGTAAGAATGCTCCTGGAGGTCACGAACTAGCCGCTGATTACTGGGAGATTGTTGGGCGCTCACCCGCCGGCGGGATTGATAACGTGCTCAACGTGGAATCTAACTCAGGTTGGTTATTAGTTTGTGAAGTCATCAAATGGTAAGAATACACGTATGTTTAAACTCCAGTATCCTGATTTGGTGTTCGGTTATTTCTCCGAACGTCGCAACATTTACTGGAAGAGCACTTGCACACAGCTTCTGTATCATGTTTTCCTCGGCAATGAGAAAACGTGGAAGTTGTGTGTACAAAGTACTGTACTCTCAATCAAATGAGATGACAAAATGTGCCTAACTTTCTGATTATTTACCTTAAATTACCTCTAAATTACAAATCTGCACCTCCTTCAGACGTCATGTACCAGAACAGACATCTCTGGATTCGCGGAGAAAACATGAGCAAGATACTGAAAGTGAGGCACGCCACAATCAAAGCTTTCCGAGATCACTACTACGACAGAGACTATGTGGAGGTATGTGAAGCTAATTAGACCACGTAACTTGTCGCACGTGGTGAAATAACTGATGAAAACTTGGACCGATCTCGTCCCATGGTCATCAAGTAAAATCCAACCCGTCCAGGTGACTCCACCGACAATGGTACAGTGTCAAGTTGAAGGCGGATCGACCCTATTTAAATTCGACTATTTTGGTGAGGAAGCCTATTTGACCCAGTCATCCCAACTTTACCTGGAGACTTGTATCCCCGCCCTTGGCAGTAAGTAATCACTTATCTAGACTCTAGGAAATGTAGCTTTCTTTGAATATAAAGATTACATTTTTGTCTCAGAGAATATTTTCAACAAAGTATTATGTACTGAGTTAAAACTTAAATGAACTCAGCATAACATGAAATGAACTCATCGCAGTTCCTAAAAAGTCGACCTATTACCCTAAAAATAAACAACATTTATTTCAGATGTGTATTGTATAGCACAGAGTTACCGAGCAGAGAGTTCACACACCAGAAGACATTTATCAGAATTTACTCACATTGAGGGAGAGTTACCTTTTATAACATTTGAACAGGTAGTGTTTTGTTAAATTTGGGGGGAGGGGGGGGGGGGGCTTTCAGAATTTATCCATAAATATTTTGCTCAAGCTCTCCAAACTCCTGCTCCGACTAGATTATTGCTAGTTAGGATCCTTAATGTTTGGTAGATTAACAGTGTCCGTTTGAGGGTTCCATTTGTTATAGATTGAACTCATAGAGGGCACTGACATTTGAACCAAAAATAATTATTGAAACTGAAAGATTTATGGTGTTTCACCGCCACTCGCCATTTATTCCAAAGATTTTGGGTAATTTCCATATCTCTCCCGCTATTTAACTTTTTTCAAACTTAAATCAAAGTCTTATTCGAATATGTCATCGTAATCTAGTAAAGTTTTGTAACAAATTTTATCTTCAGCTCTTGCAAGCGTTGGAAGACCTAGTCTGCGACACTGCCGAGCGGATCATGACCTCTAAACACAGCCAACTTGTCCTGGATATCAACCCCAACTTCAAGGTTCCTCAGCGTCCCTTTAAGAGAATGGACTACCGAGATGCTCTTCAGTATTGCAAAGAACACGATATCAAAAAGGAGGACGGTGAGTAAAGTTTGATTAGAGAACTTAACTTTGACAAAACTGAAATTCGTCTTGAGGTTTTGCTGAGGGATTCGTTCAAACATTACACCAGTAAGATTATGGCCGTTTTAGATTCTTCCCCTACTCAATCACTGAAACATAGCTATTGTGTAGAAATGATACTACCGCAAGTATTTGGTGATAGCTTATTTTCCAAACTCCTGCTCCGACTAGATTATTGCTAGTCAGGATCCTTAATGTTTGGTAGATTGATAATGTCCGTTTGAGGGTTCCATTTCCTATAGATCGAACTCATAGAGGGCACTGACATTCTCAGAACTAAAAATCGTCATTGAAACTGAAATATTAATTGTAATACGGCAAAAACTCTTCTAAGAATATAAACAAAAGGAACCAACAACGTTATATTCCCAGGAACTCATTTCGAGTTTGGTGACGACATCCCGGAAGCCCCAGAACGAAAAATGACGGACATGATTGGAGAACCGATCCTTTTGTGTCGTTTCCCTAAAGCAATGAAATCATTCTATATGCAGGTCAGTCGCAAACTGAATTTCAAAACTAATCTAGAGAACCCAGAGAGATTCTCCTGAAGCTGAAAATTTTGGCAGTTTGATGGTTGCTTATTCTCCAAACTCCTGCTGGGGGGGATGCAACGTCAATTAATGTCAGTATTCCATAAAAACCCCAAACTGACATTGACATTAATTGACATTAATTGACATTAATTGACATTAATTGACATTAATTGACATTAATTGACATAAATTTGTCTTGAAATTTGAGATTATCATTATTCGATAAATATTCAAGATATTCACGTCTATGTAAGTTAGACCGGTTCAAAAAAACAAAATGTCCTTGAATAATTATGAGTATGTTCTTATCTGTTGATCCTTAGGTTCAAAGACCACCAAAAAAAATTTCAGCTTTGAACTCATCCATCTTCGGTCCCCACCGGCCACGCCCATATTTTATTGGTTTCTTATACAGGTAAATTATCTAGAATCGGCTTTTTTAGTATGAAGGAGAAATTTTAGCTGTTTAAGATTCGTTATTCAAATATAAATGTCATGAAGGCATTTCGTTTAATGTGGGTTTTAAGTTCTGATGATGTTGAGAACCACGCCCTTGGATGGCCACGCCCATTTAAGAAAATTAAATTTCGGAAAACCGTATTATTTTAGTTTTATTGTTTAATGATCTGAATTTTTTCACATTTCACATTTCCATATGTGATAGTAGTGAATAAATTGATGATATAAACGTTCTAAAGTGCTAAAAATATGGTAGAACTACATAATCTCTGGTCGAAAAATATCGTGTCAATTAATGTCAGTATTCCAAAATTTTGCAAAACTGACATTGACATTAATTGACATTAATTGACATTAATTGACATTAATTGACGTTGCATCCCCCCCCCCCCCTCCTGCTCCGACTAGATTATTGCTAGTTAGGATCCTAGACGTTTGGTAGATAGACAATGTCCGTTTGAGGGTTCCATTTCTTATAGATTGAACTCATAGAGGGCATATACATTATACAATTAAACTAAAATTCATCATTAAGACTGAAAGATACGTCATCGTCACTCATCATTTATCTCAAAAAACTACATGCCTGTCAATCAAACACTTGCTTCAAATGTTTATCTATTATCAATTAAATGTCATTATTTCGAGCTCTCTAGAATAGCTTACAAACCAACCAACCAACTAAACTACCCAACTAAACTACCCAACTAAACGACTCAACTAAACTACCCAACTAAACTACCCAACTAAACTACCCAACTAAACTACTCAACTAAACTACCCAATTAAACTACCCAACTAAAATACCCAACTACCCAACTAAACTGCCCAACTAAACTACCCAACTAAACTACCCAACTAAACTACCCAACTAAACTACACAACTAAACTACCCAACTAAACTACTCAACTAAACTACTCAACTAAACTATTCAACTAAACTACCCAACTACCCAACTAAACTACCCAACTAAACTACCCAACCAACTACCCAACAAACTACCCAACTAAACTACCCAACTAAACTACCCAACTAAACTACCCAACTAAACTACCCAACTAAACTACTCAACTAAACTACCCAATTAAACTACCCAACTAAAATACCCAACTACCCAACCAACTACCCAACAAACTACCCAACTACCCAACTAAACTAAACTACCCAACTAAACTGATGGTACGTTTCAGCCAGATTTAGCGGACCCCATAGTTACCGAGTCTGTAGATTTACTACTGCCAAATGTGGGGGAGATTATCGGGGGCAGCATGAGGATATACGACGAGAAGGAGCTTGATGCTGGCTTCAAAAGAGAAGGTAGGTCACGTTTAGTGCTCACATGTTGTTTTTAAAAGTACCTATGTAATGTATGTATGTAATTATTCTGATATTTGGCTGAATTTTGAAATTTTGGTTGTTAGCTGAGCAATGGCTCATTCTCCAAACTCCTGCTCCGACTAGATTATTGCTAGTTAGGATCCTTAATGTTTGGTAGATTAACAGTGTCGGTTTGAGGGTTCCATTTGTTATAGATTGAACTCATAGAGGGCACTTACATTCCTCATTGAAACCGAAAGATTAATAAGAAGACACTAAACTCTTCTAGTTAAACGCAAACAGAGGCCAAATAGTTACTAAAACGTTTGCAAATAACAATTAGACGTATATCAATATTGCCGTAATTTGGCACTTGATCGGGAATTACCTCCACCTAAATTCCTCCTGTTCCAGGAATTTCGCCCGACAACTATTACTGGTATGTGGACCAGAGGAAGTACGGGACAACCCCTCACGGTGGATATGGTCTAGGCTTGGAGAGGTACCTTATGTGGCTGCTAAACTCCAACAACGTCCGAGAAACTTGTCTTTATCCTAGAACCGCAGACCGGTGTAAACCTTAGTTAATTGATTAGTTAATTTTAAGTGTTAGGATTTGATGTGGTTTTATTAGGTCTTGGTATATCGATATCTCTCATGGTGATTAGTTTTAGGAAAAGTTCTTGATTTGATCTTAATCTGTCCAAAGTAGAAGGTTTTTTGAACGAAGAAGATTTGTTAATTTTCCCTAATCTTTGATTGTTTTAACTGGAGACCCCAGTGAAATCTGTTAATTTCAACAATTTGATGAAACTTTTATACCCTTCGAATTTTCTGAGAGACGAGTCTAGATTGCAATCTGAATTTTCAGCCATATGCCATTGTTCATTTCAGCCATTGTTCATTTTCTGATCTGATTGGGGAAATAGATTGATACTTATTTAGTATGACTGACATTGAAATCAACATCAAGACATGAATATTTTATAACGAACAAAAATTATTTCCGCTCATAACCATTTGTATTAAAACAACTATCTGGAATATCAAAGAGTTTGTTAGAGCGCCGCGCGTACGTGTGTATTCTTGTTTTGCCACCACCCTGCAGTCTGGATTTTTTCGTAGTTAAATTGTAGTTACTGATGGTTCAAATTTTATCAAACAAGTAATTTTGAGTTGTAAAAATATGGTGTGAATATTTATTCGAAATAAAATTGTATTTCACTTGTTTTCAAATTCGGTTCAGAAAATATGGTAGCCGAAAGTCTTGTAGCGTGATGCACTACTCGCGCGGCACCCGACTACTATGAGCCTAGGGCTCATGGTAGTCGGGTGACACGCACAACAACAAGCGATAAGATTTATCGCTCTGTCAACGAGCGATAATTAGCTCCTTATCGCTCGTGCGCGTCGTCACTTCTGGTACAGTTGCGCATCGTATCGTACTCGATGCTAGCCAAAGAGCTTTAATACTTCGGTTGACATACGTTGCATGCCACTTTTCGAGCGCGCCGCCGAAGGCGGATATTGGGATACGAAACAAGTATCAATACTTTGGTTTTAGCGTGTTACATCTACTAAGGTTAAGCTCACCGGCCTTTTCACCTGATATGACAGAAATTCACAAACTTTCCAGAGTTACTCTATGGATAAAGTGCAGGTTGGATTGGAAGTCTACAAACACTCAGTCCACAATACTTACCACGAACCATACAAATTTTGGGCTGCTCTCTCGACGGATGTTACTCGTCTAAATTTCTTCGAAGTTGGAAGTAGCGCGCGCCGCTTTCTTCTCGAAATGTGGCCCGACGACAAGTGCTACGAAGTAGCGCGCTCCGGGCCAGACCATTAACAATGGTCAAGCTGCTCCCGAGTAGAGTTTCCAACGTATAATACCAAACAGTCAAACACATGGACATGTCTTCACAAAATTTTCAGAATTGAGCAATCGGGAAGAACTTACTGGGCCGCGCTCAGCCTGTCATTCCGCCAAATCTTTATTCCGCCAAATCTTTATACTCAATATCTATTTGTTTGAAGAAAATTGTGCTGGCCGAAATTAGCGCTAAAAAACCATCCTACAGTCGGCACGCGCGGCTCACTGTCGCTGCACGATGGCGCACTACCTACTACCAGGACGCGCGCCGAGTTGGACTCGTCGACGGTCAAATATATGGAACAGATATTTTACGAGTATCACCCGTTAATGGTTAAAAAATTCTCACAGTCTCTAGAAAACGATGGTACAAAAATTTTTAAAATCCGAGCAAGTTTATTTTTATCGTGCACCGCCTAGTATTATATTAACAATTAAGTAAAGGAGTTAAGAAGGCAAGGGGGTCTGGCGGATGCTGACGTCATTAGGGGGGTGTGGGTCACTCAATGTTCTACAGAAATACGTTAAAATACGTAAAGTTTCCAATTAATAAGCCCAAAAAAATTGAATTTAGACCCTGTTAAATTTTGTTCGGAAAACGTCTAAAATTTGTCCGAAATACGCGCGCAGATCAAATTAACGCCGCGCATTTTGAATTCGTTGAATTTTCTGAGCGTTAAAATCGTTTTTACTCCACAGTGGAAATCGAAATACGCGAATTTTCGGCGACAAATACGTTTGCTTGAAACGCTACGTATTTAACAGCATTGCATGGTATGCCCCGCCCGGAATGAAAGGTTCTTAGTTGTCGGTCATCGGACCGTTTCAAGGCGTACAGTGCGAACCTTGAGCGACCTGATGTTGAAGTGGTCGTTGTAGACTTAGCTCACTACCTTTACATGCTCTCAGACAGAATAGGAGTCATGCTCATCAGACATATTATGTTCACTGCTATGCCGCTAATAAGCGCTTTTTCTTGAAAAGCCAACACGATAGTTGACGTTTGCGTCAACTCTCCTATTGTTGCCAACAGGCAACGTTACGCAACTGATTAAGCAAGGTAAAAAACCACTAAAAGTGTTAGCAAAACTATAGATGCGCAGAAATGTTTCATTGCTCAAGAGGATTAAGTTGATAGGAGTAAAAAAATTTGAATAGCCAAGTCGAAGTAATTTATAACTAAGTAAACTGTGAGATGAGTTCTCTTTCTAGGCGGGGATTCAGCCGTTTTTGAGTCGGTACGTAACAGCTGCATAACAATAGTCCTCGCTCGTTCATTTGGCCTGAATGTCTCAATCCTTTAGATTCAAATCTCAACTACATTGTTTAATCATCTAAAAGTTTCATTATCGTCGGTCTTGCACCGAGGGCTGAATTTGTCGACCTAACTAATTGTTTAATCTTCCAGCTCTCAGACTTTTGAAGTTTAGACTGTCCCTCATTATTTGCCAAACTTTGAAATTGTTGTTTTCTTGAGAACCAATAAAACTATGAAGGAGAGCTAAGTTCGAGCTAGAAGTAGAATATGAAACAATTGCACTGCCACACGTGAAATGTTTATCTGATGAGGGCGGTAGTAAACTGACCAGTACCACAGCTATAACAAACCATGTATGATTATAATTAAACCATATCATTAACAATAGGGGGGCCGACATCTTATTCTAACTAGCTAACCCAACTATAACCGTCCAAAAGCAGTCGAATAATCAATAGGCAGATCCAATCACGGTGAATATGGTATCGCAATGGCTTATACGAGAACCAGCCCATTTCGGACCCAGCTCACGTTTGTTATACTTATGTGACCACATGCCGAGAGCTCAAACATTTCTTAATATTATACTTTATAATACACAGCTACTTACTAAACTGTCATATGAACCCTAACAGTCCGGCTGTTAGGATGGCTAGAATCAACTTAATAGCACCAGAATGTGTGTGTGTCTGTGTGTCTGTCTGTGTGTAATTTCCGAACGGTTATACAAAAAAAACGGTAAGAGTTACGGGACTGGTTTTTTCGGTATAGTGCGGACAAAAATCTGATGAAGCCCATAAGCAAATTTTTTAAAAATCGGCCGGTGGTTTAATTGACGGTTTTGTACCACAAATGTTGCATAAAATAGCTTGAGCAGAACGGCAAGAGTTACGGGGCTTGCTCTCTATATCTCATTACTGTATAATATGTAGCTGCATTTAAGTAGCGTCATAATTGCGTTAGCCCGGGAAGATTCACTGTAATGTAATACCATAAGCTTATTAGGGGAGGGGGACTGTTAGTGTTTGGGGTCTGTTTGGACTGCAGAGAGAGAGAGTTCATACGACAATGTTATGCAGTTATGCGTGTTTTCAAATATAATATGCGGGTGTGGTGCGGAGTTAACAAGGGTTAATTTCTATAACGATTTAAATAAAAATAGAAAGCGGTTCAAGACGGGAGTGATGAGGTGTAATACTCGGTGTTCAGACCTTATGATCATGGAATGTCATGGTGCCTCATGGCTAATAATGACTTAATTAACCACAAGAAATAACTGATTATGAGATTATTGTTTAAGAAACTATTGGGTCACCTAATGCGGGTTTTGACTCAGCGGGTAATTACTCCTACCCTTTTTAACTGCGGCAGTGAAATCCCGGCCGAAGGCCGAGTTACACTAGTATCAAATATGGATCACATCACAAATGACACGTCGCTGATCCGAAACCGCAAGTTCCATTTAAAGTTTCTATCTCACCCATCCATCTTCAATATCCGAGACCGTAACTGTGGCCTTAATTTAACACATTAAACACGATACCCGCGCACTTTAGCTCAAACCTGATTATGTCTTTTCCTTTAAATCGGGTATAATTATACAAAAAGTAATTATTACACTGTAAACCTTATCTATCAGAAACCTATTAATGTTTCCTTGTTCTTAGTTTATTATAAGGACTAAAATAACTGTGATACCAATTACAAACTTTTGACTGTCGATGTGACAACGAATCACAGTGCTGTAATAGTGGCTATCCAATTAACAGAAACAAGAATTTTGACTCATTGAGGTTTCGCAAATAAAAATAGTCAAAGAAAATTATGAGCATGATTCGAAATTGTACTTATTAATGATTTTCATACAAGTTACAACAAAGTTGTCATGTTATGTATCCTGGGTTTGGACAGGTAAACAGGTTATGACATTTATATTGTGGAGCTGCAATGAGCAATCCCAACTTCATTCGATTTGAATTTGATGAAGCAAGCTTACATGTACAATTACATTTCTCTTCTTTTCAGCTAAATGAAAGTTGAGCCTCGCTTCACTATTTAGTGCCATATTCTCAAATCTCAATTCTCGTCACATTTATATCATGGTGCTAAGCTTACATTGAAATAATTTCAATGTTTTAGTTCGAGATTATTGATATTGACCAAGATTTCTTAATAATATTTTTTTCCAATCTTCAAATCTCCGATAAACGGGATTATGGAATTAATTAGTATTGAAATTGTCATTGGGGTTCAATGATTGTACAATTACAATTACAAAAAATTAATTACCTTATCGGTCATAGTAACTTTCACGCTGAAGACCTTAGCGTGAATAATTAAGTCCGTGAAAATAATGTCTGTGGCATTAAGGTCCGTGAATAATAAAGTCCGGTAATTATTTCCATTAATTTTAGTGTGTGTGTCCCTACATATGCGTAGATATGTGTGTAGCCGATTACTACATTAGTTTATTAGTATACTAGGACAAATATAATCACTCCTCAGTCACATTCTAGAATATAGCGAATATAGCGACCCAATTTATTTCAAAGATTGTCAATGATAGTCATCGAGAACATGTTATTTGGTAATATTTTTATTCAAAGATTTTTATTTAAGATATTAAATTTAGACATGTCCTATTTGAACTTGAACGAGTGTTATCTCCAAATATGTAACCTTCAAGGAAAAATCTTCGTTGGTTATCAACCAACAAACTGTTCATTCATGTTGTTGAATCAGATAATTGAGAAACTTTAATTTTCAAAAGAGTTTGAGAACACAACTAAATATTTACATAAATTGTAGAAACATTATTAAAATCAAATGTTTTTTACATCCAGAAAATGTTCTAGTCAAGCAAAAGAATTAAAAGTTATTGAGCTGCTAACGATTAATAGATTAATGATTAATCAAATCAACTTCGCTTAACGTAAACAAAACTATTGTATGAGTATCATGCTGTAGCCAAGTTAACCACTTTATGCTCTTTAATAGTAAAACATGCTTGCACAGATGGGAATAATTGACTGACGAACCATTTTAAATCAGAAAATGTCAAGAATGAAGAATTGGAAATGTCATTGTTCATGCCTAAAAGAAATAATCGCCCTTCTTATTGTGAAGTCAAGTCCTTGACTTGGTGAGTAGTGCAGGTTGCAAGCTTAGTCAGTGCAATTTTTGGTGATGTACTTCAAGAGTTCCACCGTTTCCCTCGTCATCGTAACACCGACAAGACTCCCTGAAAATATAAAGATTGTGTCATTAAATAACAGTATCCTGTGACTGAAAAGGTTTAACCCAACCATTTTAAGTAGTCAATAACCAACTATTATACTAACATCAACAAAATTGACTAAACCCCCAAAATTTGGACTAAGAATTATAGAGATATCACAATATGTTTACTTATGATTAATATAAAATTAATATAATATTTACTTTAACTTATGATTATTAAATTACCGCTAATTCCGTCCCACATGGTGATGAGTGAGTTAGCATCTTCTCTTGTGAACACCTTGTTTAGGTACCGCTTGGTATGTAGCATTGTCCACGGTCTTTCCTCTGAACACTCATCAGTGTCAATGTGCTTTAGAAACGTGATGAACTGGTCGGTTATCGTGAACCCGATCATCATCTCTGAAATATGCCAGTTTATTTATATAAATATGCCAGAGTGAATTGATTGAGATGAACAATAAAAGTTTCAGATTTTATATGTTATATTAAAAGGATAAAGATTCTCAGCATAGTTCATGATATGACGCACAGAGAATATTTTAAAAACATTTATCAAAATTTAAAATTTTTGAAACACCATATGCAATGATGGTCAAATTTGTTTACAAATGTTAAGTTGTTTGAGTAATAAAATTTTAATTTGATGTTATACCAGCTATGTTGTCCCAGCTAGAACGAAGCTGCTCAGCAACTTCTGAAGAGATCGTCGTGTTCACGTAGGTGTCCTGGGAGAAAAGATCCCAATCCCAACTTTGACTGGTCTGGTTGCATTGCTCCAACTGTTTCAGGGCCGTTTGAAGATTGTCAGCTGTTCTGTTCAAGTTTGTAGATACATTTTCCAGCTGTAGTTCCGTAGAGTTTAGCTTTTTTTGTGTCTGGTTCAGGGTCTGCTCAATGACCTCTTTTTCCTTAATTGTTTCCTCTAATGTCTGCTCGGATTCCTCCAAAGACTGCTGACATTCTGCCAATAAATGCTTAGTGGCCAAGAGCTCAGCTTCCTTACCACATTGATCAGGGATAAATTCTGTAACGGTTCCTGTTCTACTCTTCTTCAACATGTCCTCCCATTTCAGAACACGCACGTCCTCATTCTCATCTTCTATAGTAGAACACATACCAGCGTCAGCCATTCTTTTAATTTCTTCTCCAGACAGTTCCTTTGCGTAGACGTTGAGCTGCAACATCTCTCCACCAAATGCATGATCGGATCGGGTGAGATAGCTATCACCGTTTCCCAATGTGAAGCTATGGCCAGTTGGAATAGTGCTGCCAGGTGTCTGTAACGTACCTAAAAGTGCACCGTCAGCGTAGTATCTCATGGAGCGGGAGGAAGTGCTGAAAGTCAAACAAGCATGGAACCACGTTCCTTTAGATACTGAGAGTTTGCTTCTAACGTCCAGATGACATTTGGTTGCACAGTTGTAATGCCCGTTACTTTCATATCGCACTATATCAGCGCCGTAACTAAAAATTATAGTAGGAGGTGCACCATAAAAATAAACTTGCTCGGATTTTAAAAATTTTTGTACCATTGTTTTCTAGAGACTGTGAGAATTTTCACAATACCAAATTTGTCATACCTTTTTGGAAAGGTCAGTGAGTTTCGCCTAGGTGCCATATTTGATAGTGCGCGGCTTTTGGAGCAAATTTAGCTGTAAAAGTCGCGTAATTTGACCAAATTTTACCAAATTCGTTGATTTTTGTCGTATTATTTGGATATATCTTCAGTTCCTTGAATGAGATCATTCTGAAAATTGGCAACGACCTTCCAATAGGGCTTTTACAACTGTCCGAAAAATTTGGTGGATATCGGAGTTGATATAGTGATCAAAATGAGGCAAAATACGCTCTTTTTAGCTGTAAGTGTAACATAATGTCTAATGGTTGGATATGCTTTAAACTTTTCGGACACTTTCCTTGTAAGTCTATGAGTAAGCTCACCAATTTTTGTTGCAATCGGAGGTCGGGAAAGATACTTAATATCTCTTTGTTTTAAGAAAATTGTGCTGGCCGAAATTAGCGCTAAAAAACCATCCTACAGTCGGCACGCGCGGCTCACCGTCGATGGCGCACTACCTAATTATAGGCCATGTGCCCCAGTGGCGTAACGAAGGGCCCTGCTGACCCTGCTGTGCAGGGGGGCGCCGTCTTAGGGGGGCGCCAAATCGTCGTTTGAATGTGGGACAATTTCGAAAACTTAACTAAAGTACTAGCAAAACTGCGCGTTTTGCTCTAGATACACACTTTTTTAGAGATTTTTACCGGCGTATCTTCTAAAATCACCTAATTTGTTCAATTTTAGGGAGGGGCACCAAAAGGGGAGGGGGCGCCAACAGGGGGGCGCCTTTTCGGCTGGGGGGCGCCAACAGGCAACGTTACGCCACTGATGTGCCCGATCCAATGTCTCGTACCCAGCTGCAAACCGACATTTTGTTGGCAAAGGGGCTCATGTCTGAGCTAAACCGTATGTACGAGCCTCCGTCATCGGCAAATTCCAGTCCTTTGATTTGGTTGGAATAACTGATAGCTTTAACAGAGTGATATGATAACACCAGGTACACGAGCAGGGAGGGGATCATCATTCTCTGTAGTTCTGTCAATATCATTAAATTATATTGTTTGTTAAATGATTATTACCTTGAGAATGACAAATTTAGTCTTCCATAAATTTAGTCAAAATATTGACTAAAATTGTTGTAAACCAAATTTATTGAGACTAAATGTTCGGTGACTAATTTAAAAGCAGACCAAAATTTTAGTAGAGCATTATATGACATGAATATTATTGAGCTTAAATTGTTAATATTATTGAGCTTACATTATGAGTATTCTGTATTACACGTTGCACTTGTAATCCACTGCTTGTATGCTTTCACATTCACAATTACTTCCCATCTGACGTTAAACTTCAAATTACAACTTTATGTGCGGAATCGAAGAAAAAAAACTAAATAAATAATGGAAAAATAAAATGAATGGAATGGAAAATGGTCTCGAAAAGTCAAAAAATGTGACTAAAATTGTTGTAGACAAAAAAATTGTGAAATTTGTGACTAAAATTATGTTAACCAAATTTATGTGATCCAAATTTATTGGCCTTAAAGTAGTATTTTTTGGTATATTGACAAATTTGTATCGTCAAAATATGTTTGATGTGGCTCGATGTCAAAATTCGCAAAGTTACATTTTGTGTGTGTTTCCAAATATAAGCATATACACCATACAGTATACACTATACAGTATACATGCACAGTACAAACAGCTGTGATCACATAAAAGTTCCATAAAATCAATCCCGCTTAATTTCATGCTAGTTTGCATAGAGAGCCTCGGTGATAAGCACTCTCTCCGAGTTCATGGCTTAGTAACCAGGTATCCAACTTAGTAACCAGGTAGCCAGCTTAGTAACCAGGTAGCCGGCTTAGTAACCAGGTAACTAGCTTAGTAATCAGGTAACCAGCTTAGTAACCATGTAACCAGCTTAGTAATCAGGCAACCAGCTTGGTAACCAGGTAACCAGCTTGGTAGCCAGGTAACCAGCTTAGTAACCAGGTAACCAGCTTAGTAACCAGGTAACCAACTTGGTAACCAGTTAACCAGTTTAGTAACCAGGTAACCAGCTTAATATTAATAACCAGGTAACCAGCTTACTGACCAGGTAACCAGCTTAGTAACCAGGTAACCAGCTTAGTAACCAGAATCCAGATAACCAGGATTGTGGGTAGGGTCCATATCAATATAGTATTTAATGTTCTAAAGTAAAGAAAGCAAGGCAAAGGCTAACGTGAACTTTTTACGTTACAGAACGAATGTTGTTGAGTCAAAAAGCTTGAATAAGAGCATCCGACTTTAGAAATAACTTGAGGTAAAGTGTTTGTTTTAAATTAAATCCGTCGAATCAAAATGTTTATTGAAAACTCTAAAAGATACAAGTTTATACTTTATACTATGTGATTTAACTACCTTGTCGGACTTTCATTGAACGGACATTAATTGGAAGCTGGAAGCTGTAGCGTTCATTTTAATGTCCGTTCAAAATTATCTCCGTTCACGCAAATAACGTCCGATAAGGTAAATTATAAAATGATTAAGACAGTGGACGTATAACATACTGCCACCTATCCATCAAATCCAGAGACCAGACCTACGACACTCTTCCAGTACAGACTGTACTGGAAGAGTGTGGTAGGTCTGGTCTCTGGATTTACAGTACTACAGTATTCAAGTATTCTCTATTAAAAATGCAATAACAACCATAACATGTATTATTTTCAGGCCCAACAACTGCTGCAGAAGCGACATTTAAGTGCGGCGGGTGCGGAAACGCACCTATGACCTAGGTTAATAAGGTAGCCATTTCCCGCACATATTCATACTAACCAGGGGTGTAGGAATGATTTTCTTCATGAGGGGGCCAAAATCTTACAGTTTTTCAAATTTAGCACGCACTTTTGCCACAGCCTGAATTTAATTAAGATATATGATATAATAAAATAAATATCTCTTTTATTTCCACACTAATTCTCACACCAACTTTTAATTCACACTCCAAAACTTTAAATTTTATCAAATTTCAATTGTCCTAATATATACGTCTCTTATCTTAAGTTAAAAAGTCAGGGGTGCAGCCGTTGTACTTCAATTAAAATAATTGATCACAGAAGAGTAACTATAGCTGCAATGTTATCGTGCAGTTAGACTGCAGTTTGACAGGATAGGCCAAATGAGGCCAAAAAGTAGGCCCCTTTTCGCCCCTTTTCCAGATTTCATGGGGGGCGGTCGCCCCCCCCCCCCCTGCCCCTCTCTTCCTACACCCGCACCCCTGATACTAACAGTCGTTTTCCACACTTTTTCTCACAAATCCGATCTGAGGCCACACTCATATTTGGCAAGAAAATTGACCTACTTTCAAACAATATTAGGCAAGTGTGGGAACACACTTTTGACTTAAATGTTGCCTTTGCTTTTAAAGGTTCGTCAGTCCAGCAACCCAGACTCTTATGACGCGGGCATCTTTTGAAACTCATTCCCAGCTCTAGAGCTACCATCAGTTTGATTAGAACAAAAAATTACTAATCGTACTCAATTCTGAAGGTGTACTGAAAACGTGAAAAACAAAAAATAAGTATAATACTAAATTATAATTAATGATATGGTTTATTAAGTATAAATGTGGTCAGTTTACTACCGCCCTCATCACATACAAATTTTACGAGTGGCAGTGCAATTCATGTTTCATATTCTAGCTCAAACTTTATAGCTCTCCTTCAAAGTTTTATATCAATGTTCGTTTTGTATAGGTTTTTACCGGTAAAATGTTTATAAGTTTTACGTCTTTGTGTTTTGGACTCAGTCAAGACTTTCCCTTATCGCATCATGACCAATGGCATTATAGGGGCTACTAGGACAGAGTTTGTTGACCTATCACCACTATTGTCCAACAACTAATTATATATACGATGAGGGATAGTCTACACTAGCTTTAAAGTTTGAGCTGGAAGATTTAACAATTGGGTATGTCGTCAAAACTCAAATTCAGCCCTCGGAGAAAATGCATCAAAATCGAAAAGAAAGATTTCTGTGCCAACTCTTGGCACTTATTACTTTATTACATAGACTAGCAAATAATCGCTGCCCTCGCGCCGCATTATTCGCCAGATTGTACCGTGCAGGGAGGGGGGTCTGGTAAATGCTGTCGTAATTACTTAATTATGAGGGGGGTCGCTTAATTCTGACAGTTGCTCATGGAGAGGGGGGGGGGGGGGGGGGGGGGGGTAAAAGTGACAAAACACTTGCTGATGTAATATGTGAACACTCTCTATATAATAAGTTTAACTTCTTAGTGTTTCGGAGTCAGTCAAGACTTTCTTGACCTATCACCATGACTATTGTCCACTAACTAATTATATCCATTCTATTGGTCTCGGTGTGATGAGGAATAGCCTACACCAGCTTCAAAAGTTTGAGCTGGAAGGACTCAGCTCTGAGAAAATACATCAAAATCAGAGAGAACGAATTTTGTGCCAACTCTTGACGCCTATTACATAGACTAGCAAATAATCGCCCTCGAACCGCATTATTCGCCAAATTAGCCGCACTTAAATCTTGCCTCTGCCAACGACTATGATTTAGACATGGATATGCTCGCAATCATCGCACTAGCTGACGTAATTCCTATGCCTTGGTACATGGTAAGTAACGTCTGGGAGTATAATTAGAATAGTTAAAATTCAATAATTTGAAAATATTTCCTTATTTTTCACACATATCAAAGAGGGAAAAGATTAAAGCGATGAAAATGACAGTGAACTCAGGAATTCAGAGCTACTGCAGTGCAGCTGTACAAAAGAACAAAAAACTGTTACACTTACAGTCTGCAGCATCAAAACGTTAAAGGAGGCACCAAAGAGCTGCAGAGAAGGACAGGACTGGCTCTGTTTCGGTTGAAAGAAGAAGAAGAAGAACAGCTCCTGCAGCTTTGGTAACCGCTGTTTTGAAGGCGATAAGGGAGAAACCTCATTTCGAAGCGACAAGAGTCGGCTGGAAGAGGCCAAGTACAGCTATCCGATCAATGAAAGTCACTGTACCGAGCTCAACTTCAGTTCGTCAGATTCTGATGAAAACAGGGAGGCTGAGGCTAGTTGAGACCCAAAAAGATGTATGGACCCGTCCTGATAAATCAAATGAAGAGTGTGCAACAAAGCAGCATCTGGTCACTGATCTGAAGAAGAGGGCTTAACAAACCTCGACCATATATCCGGTACGGAAAGGTCTGTAGCCGTGATAAGAAGGCAACATTAAATAATTCATGTGTCTAGGACACTGATCAGATATTATGTATGACTAATGACTATGATACTATGAGTATCTTAAGAGTTTTCGGATGCTATCTGTATTTTATAGACAATTAATATAATGGTTACATACTATATTTTTCAATTGTTTTTAAACTTTTCACATTTCTTTATCCTATTCCTAGGTGGAAGACGTGATGTCACTAAGACTATTTGGGCAGCCATAAAACTCTTTTTTTGAAAGTAGTCTTCGGTACTTGTATCACTGACCCAGACTTTTTAGCAATTACAATATATAAATTTTACCAAAACCCATAGTCATGGGTAGAGTGGACCGCTGCCAGTGTCTCTCTTTCCCAAACAAAAGGAAATGATATTAATTTGATTGACCGTTCTCAAATGCAAAATGATACCGAGAATGAAATCGGTCGCTCGCTTTTCCCATTCATTCACGGCTTACGAATTGTATAAATAAGTTTCGATTGATTACATCAATCAGATGCTGTAAAAATCTCTTTGGGTTGCGTTCGGGTCGATACCTAGTATTTTGGGGTAAGGGACAAGGGTGGTAGTTATAACTTATTGAATAAGCTGAAGTTTATTGAATCTTTATTGCCGAGTACAGCTGCCTTTGGGCAGTTCTTCTTAATCTATTACAATTGTAAATGAATGGGAAAAGCGAGCGACCGATTTCATTCTCGGTATCATTTTGCATTTGAGAACGGTCAATCAAATTAATATCATTTCCTTTTGTTTGGGAAAGAGAGACACTGGCAGCGGTCCACTCTACCCATGACTATGGGTTTTGGTAAAATATCATCTCTTTTTGATTATAATGTCAGGGTACTTTATATTTATAAAGTCGAAATATAAACTGATATCTTCATTAATAAGGAGGAAGTTTCAACGATTTCGAAATTTTTCCTTTAAAAACATTTCCTTGTGTTTAGGGAAGCATATCGGTCGATCACTGACTGAATATGCCACTTAATACTCATTCAAGTTGGCATTAAATTCATATATAATGACATTAAACTGTCGTGGCAAAGCAGAATTTGTTGGAAATCACGAATGAGCAAAATTCTCACCTTTCGCACGTGCAAACTTTGAGCGGACGTTGCGTGCGCATCCAATATTGAATCGCCGTGCATGTAATTTTTGCATGTAATTGTTTTATATATAGTTTAATAAGCATGCAAAGTTTCAAAGTATTTCAAGAAGAACTGTAATCACAACGGCACTCTAAAGTTGACAGAAAATGACGAAAACAGCAATTTTCAGTGATTTTAGCAATTTTCTATCAATTTGGGCGTGTCCCCACGTGTGCAACTTTTCGATTTTCAACTTTAAAACTAGCCTAATGCACAATTTATACCTATAAGAAGCAGAACTGAGCTCCACAACCCAAGGCATGGCCCAACACCAGAGAATACTAAATCGCAAAATTGACGTTTTTATAAAATAATTCTTCAAAAAAGCACAAACTTCAATGACGAATATCTTTATGAAGGAGCAAGCTAGAGAAACTTTCCGGTAGATTTTCAGAATGCTTGAACAATTATCTAAGGTGAAAATTTCCTCAGATTTTGAATTAAATTACTCCTTAATGGTGTAAAATTAATTTTAAAAGTTATTACTTTGTCAAAAATCAAGTTTTAAAAACGGTTAACTTGATGACGTCATCAAGGGGTGTTTATGACGTCAAATAATTTTTTTATACAATGTAAACTAAAGTGTAAACAATTATTTGCAAGACCTGTGGTCGGAAATGGCTGTATCTTTTATACTTTTGAATCTATGGACACTTAAATACAGGCTACAATTGACTGGCAAAGCGTCTATCCCTGAATATATATATATCTGTATATCTGTATGTATATGTCCCGACAATCTGTCGTAAAACAGGGCTTCTAGAAAACCCATTTCCCGATGCTCCTGAAACCTACAACTTTTTTTGCAGTCGATTTGGTCAACGTCTAGACGCCCTGAAAAATTTCAGATCTCTAACTCAATTTTAACATGGTTTTAAGGCACCTGGATATGGCGATTTTGGGTTTTTTACCGAATTTCGTATAACAGTGCTGGCGAGTATTTTATGCAAATTTCTTAAAAATCTCAACATAACTATTTTTTATTCCTGTCATCTTTGACATCAAATTAGAATGTTTTGAACTAAAAATAAATCTGCTGAACGACTTCCGATGAGTGTTAATGCCTGGAAAACTCCTGCCGGAGGCGGCCGCCGCCTTCGGCCAGAGTGCACGCTTCGCGTGCACAAAAGAGGCTTGTAACGTGTACCAAAGGGGGTATAATAGTAAATGGGGTACAATAGTAAAGGGGGTATAATATCAAAGGGGTACAATAGTAAAGGGGGTACATAGTATACCCCCAATAAAGACACCGCTCGTGCTTGCCAGCACTGTGATACATTTCGGCCCATTTTATATGTTTGTTCGATTTGCTGTATATTTCATATTTTTGAAAAGTTTCAAATCATCAAATCATTAAATGATCGCTATACTACAAGTACAAATACATAGTTTTATTCTTATCCAGTTTATGGTTTTAAAGTTGGGTAAAAATAAAAATTCGAAATTTATCATTTCTGGAGACTGAAAAATTTTCAAACTCTGTGTAGAACTAAAACTTTATTTACTCAACTTTCCCTTTGCGTTGCATTACACACTTTTAAAAAGATGCCTTGAACTTAAACTGAGGTAATTCTGTGTAATTAATTAATTAGAGCTGTCAAGACCGTTAGTTGAACTTTTTTGCCTTTTCGTTTATTCCGCTCACAATAATTGCCAAAACGTGATTATACAATTGAAAAACTTAAATTTTTAAAAGAGTTTGAGAACACAACTACATAATTACATAAATTGCAGAAAAATTACTAATATCCGATTTTTCAAGCAAAAGAATTAAAAGTTATTGATCTGCTAGATTAATGATTAATCAAATCGACTCTTCAATAGTAGAACATGTGTAAGCCGTGAATATTGAGTGAATAGAAGCTTGCACCGATGGAAGTAATTGACTGATGAATAGCCATTTTAAATATGAAAATTTTAAGTATGGAAAATTGTGAATGTCAAATTGTTCATGCCTAAAAGAAATAATCGTCCTTCTTATTGTGAAGTCAAGTCCTTGACTTGGTTAGTAGTGCATGTCAAGCTTAGTCAGTGCAATTTTTGGTGATGTACTTCAAGAGTTTCACCGTTTCCCTCGTCATCTTAACACCGACAAGACTCCCTGAAAATATAAAGATTGTATCATTTAATAACCTGGGCCTGAATATGTTTAACCCGACCATTTTAAATAGTCAATAACCAACTATTAGTATTACTAACATCAACAATATTTAATAAACCCCCAAAATTTGGACTAAGAATTATAAAGATGTCACATGTTTATCTATGATTAATATAAAATTAATATAATATTCACTTTTACTTATGATTATTAAATTACCGCTAATTTCGTCCCACATGGTGATGAGTGAGTTAGCATCTTCTCTTGTGAACACCTTGTTCAGGTACCGCTTGGTATGTAGCATTGTCCACGGTCTTTCCTCTGAACATTCATCAGTGTCAATGTGCTTTAGAAACGTGATGAACTGGTCGGTTATCGTGAACCCGATCATCATCTCTGAAATATGCCTGTTTGAATCGATTTATAATCTTCCTTTAAGCGAGATAAACAATAAAAGTTTCCGATTTTATATGTTATATTGAAAGGATAAAGATTCTCAGCATAGTTCATGACATCACAGTGCTGGCAAGCACGACCGTTGCATTTATTGTGGGTATACTATGTACCCCATTTACTATTATACCCCCTTTACTATTATACCCCCTTTACTATGAAACCCCCTTTACTATTATACCCCCTTTGGTACACGTTACAAGCCTCTTTCGTGCACGCGATGCGTGCACTCCGGCCGAAGGCCGCCGCCTCCGGCAGGAGTTTTTCAGGCATTAAGACTCATCGGAAGTCGTTCAGCAGATTTATTTTTAGTTCAAAACATTCTAATTTGATGTCAAAGATGACAGGAATAAAAATAGTTATGTTGAGATTTTTAAGAAATTTGCATAAAATACTCGCCAGCACTGTTATACGAAATTCGGTAAAAAACCCAAAATCGCCATATTCAGGTGCCTTAAAAACCATGTTAAAATTGAGTTAGAGATCTGAAATTTTTCAGGGCGTCTAGACGTTGACCAAATCGACTGCAAAAAAAGTTTCAGGTTTCAGGAGCATCGGGAAGTGGGTTTTCTAGAACCCCTGTTTTACGATAGATTGTCGTGATACAATATACATATTCAGGGATAGACGCTTTGCCAGTCAATTGTAGCCTGTATTTAATTGTCCATAGATTCAAAAGAATAAAAGATACAGCCATTTCCGACCACAGGTCTTGAAAATAATTGTTTACACTTTAGTTTACATTGAATAAACAAATTATTTGACGTCATAAACACCCCTTGATGACGTCATCAAGTTCACCGTTTTTAAAACTTGATTTTTGACAAAGTAATACCTTTTAAAAATGATTTTACACCATTAAAAAGTAATTGTATTCAAAATCTGAGGAAATTTTCATCATAGATAATTGTTCAAGCATTCTGAAATTTACCGAAAAGTTTTTCTAGCTTGCTCCTTCATAAAGATATTCGTCATTGAAGTTTGTGCTTTTTTGAAGAATTATTTTATAAAAACGTCAATTTTGCGATTTAGTATTCTCTGGTGTTGGGCCATGCCTTGGGTTGTGGAGCTCAGTTCTGCTTCCTATAAGTATAAATTGTGCATTAGGCTAGTTTTAAAGTTAAAAATCGAAAAGTTGCACACGTGGGGACACGCCCAAATTGATAGAAAATTGCTAAAATCACTGAAAATTGCTGTTTTCGTCATTTTCTGTCAACTTTAGAGTGCCGTTGTGATTATAGTTCTTCTTGAAATACTTTGAAACTTTGCATGCTTATCAAATTATATATAAAACAATTACATGCAAAAATTTACGGCGATTCAATATTGGATGCGCACGCAACGTCCGCTCAAAGTTTGCACGTGCGAAAGGTGAGAATTTTGCTCATTCGTGATTTCCAACAAATTCTGCTTTGCCACGACAGTTTAATGTCAATATAAATGAATTTAATGCCAACTTGAATGAGTATTAAGTGGCATATTCAGTCAGTGATCGACCGATAAAGGAAAAATTTCGAAATTGTTGAAACTTCCTCCTTATTAATGAAGATATCAGTTTATATTTCGACTTTATAAAGTACCCTGACATTATAATCAAAAAGAGATGATATTTTACCAAAACCCATAATCATGGGTAGAGTGGACCGCTGCCAGTGTCTCTCTTTCCCAAACAAAAGGAAATGATATTAATTTGATTGACCGTTCTCAAATGCAAAATGATACCGAGAATGAAATCGGTCGCTCGCTTTTCCCATTCATTTACAATTGTAATAGATTAAAAAGAACTACCCAAAGGCAGCTGTACTCGGCAATAAAGATTCAATAAACTTCAGCTAATTCAATAAGTAATAACTACCACCGTTACCCCGAAATACTAGGTATCGACCCGAACGCAACCCAAAGAGATTTTTACAGCATCTGATTGATGTACCTAATCAATCGAAACTTATTACAATTCGTAAGCCGTGAATGAATGGGAAAAGCGAGCGACCGATTTCATTCTCGGTATCATTTTGCATTTGAGAACGGTCAATCAAAGTAATATCATTTCCTTTTGTTTGGGAAAGAGAGACACTGGCAGCGGTCCACTCTACCCATGATTATGGGTTTTGGTCAAATGACGTACAGAGAATATTTTAAAAATATTTATCAAAATTGAAAATTTGTATTTATTGTTTACAAATGTTAACTTGTTTGAGTAATAACATTTTAATTTGACGTTATACCAGCTATGTTGTCCCAGCTAGAACGAAGCTGCTCAGCAACTTCTGAAGAGATCGTCGTGTTCACGTAGATGTCCAGGGAGAAAAGATCCCAATCCCAACTTTGACTGGTCTGGTTGCATTTTTTCAACTGTTTCAGGGTCGTTTGAAGATTGTCAGCTATTCTGTTCAAGTTTGTAGATACATTTTCCAGCTGTAGTTCCGTAGAGTTTAGCTTTGTTTGTGTCTGGTTCAGGGTCTGTTCAATGATCTCTTTTTTCTTCACTGTTTCCTTTAATGTCTGCTCGGATTCCTCCAAAGACTGCTGACATTCTGCCAATAAGTCCATCCTACGCTCAACTTCTTCAACACATTGATCAGGGATAAATTCTGTAACGGTTCCTGTTCTAGTCTTCTTTACTATGTCCTCCCATTTCAGAACACGCACGTCCTCATTCTCATCTTCTTTAGTAGAACACATACCAGCGTCAGCCATTCTTTTGATTTCTTCTCCAGACAGTTCCTTTGCGTAGATGTTGAGTTGGAACATCTCTCCACCAAATGCATAACTGGAATGGAGATAGGTAGCATGGTTTCCCAATGTGAAGCTGTGGCCAGATGGAATAGCACTGCCAGGTGTCTGTAACGTACCTAAAAGTGCACCGTCAGCGTAGTATCTCATGGAGCGGGAGGCAGTGCTAAAAGTTAAACAAACATGGAACCACGTTTCTTTAGAAAGTTGGCTACTAACGTCCAGATAACATTTGGTTGCACAGTTGTGAATCCCGTTACTTTCAAATCGCACTATAGAAACGCCGTAACTAAAAATTGTATGATATCCGTCCGATTTGAGATCACGTATCCAGCTGCAAATCGACATTTTGTTGGCAAAGGGACTCATGTTTGCCCTAACCCGTATGTATGAGCCTCCGTCATCGGCAAATTTCAGTCCTTTCATTTGGTTGGAATAAGTGGTGGCTTTAACAGAGTGATATGATAACACCAGGTTGACGAGCAGGGAGGGGATCATCATTCTCTGTAGTTATGTTAATACCATTAAACATTGGGTCCAAATATTGTTCGTTAAATGATTATTAGTATTTCTTGGTTTATTTCGAAGCAAATAAAAATGTTTCTGCTGGAGCTCAATAACTTAGACTTATACATCTTGTATGTTTCAACTGTCGTAAACTGTGATGTTCACAGTGGTTTAAACCAATATCTGTTTATTAGTTATACTATTACTAGAACAAATATAATCACTCAGTTACTTTCTAGAGTTCAGAAAAAGAGTAAAACACTTATTGAAAAATCACCAAAAAAGTTTACAGTTTTTTGGACATTTTTGGGCGGTCATCAGTGTAAATAATTATGTCCGTGAAAAATTCGGACAAGTGAAAAACTTGTCCGAAATTTTAAATGCATATTAGGATCTGCAAGCAGCTCTTACGAAATAAATGTAGTTCGAAAAAGGGATGCATATTGCATCCTCTCGAAAAAAGTTTCAGGATTGAAATCTAGCAATGTGAAATGATAAATCCAAAAAGATTTTGTTGTGCCAATTTAATTAAGAGTCAAAGGAAAAGTCCTGCAAATTTTGAAAAATATTCTTACAGTAATAGGTCTCACTCTCAAAGAGGGTACAACATGCAAGGAGGGAGAAACTGGAACAATTCTTGGAAAATTTGTTTTAATGAATGAATTCTAGCAATGAGGTAATGTAAATGTGGACTACAAGGGGCAAACTGCTAATTTACTCCCACGGCATAAAAGATTCATCAGTTATGTTATCTGAATTTTATAATCGCTAGGCTTCTGAACTTTTGATGAATCCTGACATGCAATATGTTTTGTTTTAAAGACCTTTAAGGGGGGGGGGGGGGGGGGGGGCAATGGGTATTTTTATTTGTGAAACTTGATTGACCAACAAACTAGGACCAGTAACCGAACTTTTGAGGGGTCCCGGACCCCAACCGCCAAATGGTGCCCGCGGTTGGGGTCCGGGACCCCCTCAAAAGTTCGGTCACTGGTCCTAGTTTGTTGGTCAACTGCTATCTCGAAACCAAGTTTCACAAAAAAATACCCATGGCCCCCCCCCCCTCCCTTAATTCACACACCAAAACTTTAAATTTTATCAAATTAAAAATGTCTTAATATATACGTCTCTTATTAATTTAAAAATTCAGGGGTGCAGCCGTTGTACTTCAATTAAAATAATTTAATTGATCACGCCGGATCACGATGTTATTTTATCAAGATCAGCTACCTAACCCGTTTAATATCAGAATATGTTATATAAATTAACAGATTTCTGGTTCATTGAAAAATTCTGGTATTGAAAATACTGAACACAGCATAAAAGAGTAACGGCCAGCAAAGTTATCTGAATTTTATAATCGCTAGGTTCCTGAACTTCTGATGAATCCTGACATGTAATACCGGAATATGTAATATAAATTATCAGATTTCTGGTTAATGCCAGCTAACAGCTGGATTGTATCCTGCTAATTTACTTGAAGACACTGAACACGGCACAGAATTGAGTTACTAGCAATGATTTCTGAAATTTTGTAAATCGGCAGCTATTGTGCAGTTAGACTGCAGTTAGACAGGTCACAGGATAATACTATTATATACTAATAGGCCAAATGAGGCCAAAAAGTTGACCCCTTTTCCAGATTTTATGGGAGGGGGCGGTCGCCCCCGCCCCCTCTTCCTACACCCCTGATCCAAAAAGACTTCTAAATTCGTAGAAAGAGTCCATACAGGAGAACTGATAAATAAAAGTAACGTAGGGATGCCGTAACAGCTCTTGAAAGAACCACATGGTACTGCACCAACTCTTGATCCGAGATAAAGATTTAATAAGGTACTGACGGGCGGTTCCGATAGGTGTGGCAGAAGACATACTACATTCTACAATATCTCCAGACAACTCTGTCTTATATTCGCATAATACTATAATATTATTGTTTTGGTAAGGGTTGATCAATCCTGATAACAATCCGATACGGGTAACAACAGGACAGAAGTACCAACTTTCTGGATACACAGAGCGTCACAGACAGGAGAAGTTACAGTGAATAGCTTGTTAGAGGAGTTAGTTTACAGGTTTTATGGGAAGATAAGCAGGGTACCCAGACGATTGTGGAGCGAAATATTACATTTATATAATTTCTATCACGGGACTAATCATGAATTGTAGCAGGAACGAGTAATTTTACTCGCTCTTATTCATTTGGGCAGGTTAGCACTTAGCAGGTAACCAATAAGTTTACGCCATCAGGGGTCACTCGTAAAAACCAAAAGGAACGACCGATCTTTGTGTTGCAAGCTCAAAATGGTGCGAAAGAAATAAATCTTTATGACTTGTGCCTTGTGGAGACTTTTTTCTAAATCAACGAAATCCTCGGTAAGCCAAAATTGTATATCTTTTGCCGTATTAGTTCAAAAATGTGGCAACTATAAGTATAGCAATATATATAATTCGTATACGTATTTAATAGAATGGAAACCATGGTGCGAGCCCTCTGCGATGTTGGATGAACAAGGAAGAAGTAGCTGAGTGTCGTGGAAGAGAGGGTTGCAAGCGGCGAAGGTAACAATCGAGGTTCGTTTAAAATAGTCAGCACCTCATTTTAGAAGTTCTGAGAGAATAAATGTGGCGTTGATCTGATCCAAAGGAACTGGAAGGCACCGATGATCTGATAGGGGAATCTGGGACAAGGTACTCAGGACAAGGTATGAGCGTTGGAGAGCTCTGCTTAAGCCTTAAAGTGAAATTGGCAGCCTAGCAGTAGCCACGAACTGTTGAGGAGCATCAAACACTTTCCATAGCCTTGTGAAATCCGATCTTTTAGAAGCTGGGTCTGTCTGCTGGGAGTTGCTGATTCCGACTTCCGAGTTGCTGAACCTGTTCGTTTCTGAATCGTCGTCTTCACTCGTGTTAAGCGGTTATTAACGGGAATGGGGCTCTATTCACAACTCACGAAGTTTAACGCATCCGAAACCGCAGGTTCTCACCCATCCATATTCAATATCCGAGCCCGTAACTGTGGCCTCAATTTAAAACATTAAACACGATACCCGCGCTCAAACCTGATTATGTATTCTTCTTTAGATCGGGTATAATTATACAAAAAGTAATTTAAATTATTACACTGTAAACCTTATCTATCATAAACCTATTGATGTTTCCTTGTTCTTAGTTTATTCTAAGGACTAAAATAACTGTGATACCAATTACAAACTTTTGACTGTCGATGTGACAACGAATCACAGTGCTGTAATATAGTGGCTATCCAACTAACAGAAACAAGAATTTTGACTCATTGAGGTTGCGCAAATAAAAATAGTCAAAGAAAATTATGAGCATGATTCGAAATTGTACTTATTAATGATTTTCATACAAGTTACAACAAAGTCTTCATGTTATGTATCCTGGGTTTGGACAGGTTATAAACAGGTTATGACATTTATATTGTGGAGCTGCAATGAGCAATCCCAACTTCATTCGATTTGAATTTGATGAAGCAAGCTTACAATTACATTTCTCTTCTTTTCAGCTAAAAGAAAGTTGAGCCTCGCTTCACTATTTAGTGCCATATTCTCAAATCTCAATTCTCGTCACATTTATATCATAGTGCTAAGCTTACATTGAAATAATTTCAATGTTTTAGTTCGAGATTATTGATATTGACCAAGATTTCTTAATAATATTTTTTTCCAATCTTCAAATCTCCGATAAACGGGATAATGGAATTAATTAGTATTGAAATTGTCATTGGGGTTCAATGGTTGTACAATTACAAAAAATTAATTACCTTATCGGTCATAGTAACTTTCACGCTGAAGACCTTAGCGTGAATAATTAAGTCCGTGAAAATAATGTCTGTGGCATTAAGGTCCGTGAATAATAAAGTCCGGTAATTATTTCCATTAATTTTAGTGTGTGTGTCCCTACATATGCGTAGATATGTGTGTAGCCGATTACTATATTAGTTTATTAGTATACTAGGACAAATATAATCACTCCTCAGTCACATTCTACAATATAGCGAATATAGCGACCCAATTTATTTCAAAGATTGTCAATGATAGTCATCGAGAACATGTTATTTGGTAATATTTTTATTCAAATATTTTTATTTAAGATATTAAATTTAGACATGTCCTATTTGAACTTGAACGAGTGTTATCTCTAAGTCTAATGTTACCTTTAATGAAAAAGCTTCGTTGGTTAAAACCAACAAACTGTTCATTATAATTGTTGTTGAATTAGACAATTGAAAAGCTTAAATTTTCAAAAGAGTTTGAGAACACAACTACATAATTACATAAATGGCAGAAACATTACTAAGATCCAATTTTTTCTACATCCAGAAAATGTTCTAGTCAAGCAAAATAAATAAAAGTTATTGAGCTGCTAACGATTAATGATTAATCAAATCAACTTCGCTTAACGTAAACAAAACTATTGTATGCTAGTTTCATGCTGTAGCCAAGGTAACCACTTTATGCTCTTCAATAGTAAAATATGCTTGCACCGATGGAAATAATTGACGTAAAGAAAATGAATTTAATCATTTAATTCAACAAACTAATTTGGAAAATCTCGACTTTAAAATAAAACATAAACTACATCCCCAGCAATACTGCAATGGTTTAGCATCTGTAAGTAAACGATGTCTTCTTCTTGTCTTTCTTTGCTTTCTCAAACGAAGACCTCAACTCGCATCTCATCTTACCTTTTTTCTCGAGACAAGTCAAAGTCTTACACTCACCGTGAGCATTACACGCTGCCTTGGCTTGGTCCACGGTTCCCACAATATAGCCCAACTTTCCTCCGTCTTTGTACTTGATCTTCTCTTCTGTTTCCCAGCATTCTTCTTTGTACTCCTGACATGGAACTTCAATGTCAGCGCAGGTCCCATCAACGACGGTTACATCCCCTACCAGTTCCTGGGCCAGAATATCAGCGTAAGAGATGACGGGGTCCTCCTCAGTAGAGCCGTATCCACAAAGACCCGCCTGGTAGAGAGAAGCCACCTCTGTAGAGTCAAGGGCATAGTCCCACACGTTTATGTTGTAGAGCTCACCAACGTAGGCTTGGTTGGCGCTGAACCCTCCTCCAACACTGTCCTGCTCCTGTCCGATAACCAGGTTACCTCCTGCCCTCAAACTTTCACCCTTCTTAAGGTTCTCTTGAGTCGCTGCTGCTTCTCCGTCGATACTGATGACAGCTACTCCACTCTCTGAATCCCAGGTTGCACAGTTGTGGACCCACTGGTATGTTAGTGGCACCTGACTGTAAACGTAAGCTGACTTCACGTAGAACGCGGAGTTACCCACGATGATCTCATTGTCGGATTCTGATACTGCGTAGCTGAACCAGTATCTACCTGTTCTCCTTTCCAGGAAGCTGTTCTTCTTCCAAGCGCATACGGTCAGTCCAGTCAGCTCAGGAAGGTCAGGGTTGAAGCTGATGTAGTTTGCTGTGCTGGCTGTGGGGAAGTTGAGGATCTTGTTGTGGGTTTCTCCGTTACTGGTGACCAGTCCCACCACTGATAGTAGAGTTGTCAGAGCAAAAATCATCCTGTCGTATTGGAGAAAGTGAATAGTAATAATGAATTTATCGTTATTGCTGTCTGTTATATACGAATGTTTATATTTCTATCCTGAAAGCAAACTTTCTGAAATTCTTCCAAAGAATACATGAATATGGGAGCGTTCACATATGACGTCAGCAGCCGAGGGGGTAGGGGGTTTGGAAATGCTTACGGTTGCTGACGGGAGGGGAGCGGGGGGTCTGAGCCTAGCTGACGTCAGCAGAAATGCGCTCCTACTAAATCGCTCGCCCAAATTTTAAGAAAATTCTTGTGAAAAGGCCCCTTTGGGTATTAAATTGATCTAAACCGGTGTATTTTTGGACGCTGATTCCGAATCACCCCCATGATGTAGGGTAAAAACGCTTCCCTGAAGAGTTATGGGCAAACACGCGACAGGCTAGTAAAACACGAATCCGATTGTTTAAGACTCAGGTTAGGGTTAAAGTTGTGATAAGGGTTATGGATAGCTTTGGGGTTATGGTTAGGGTTAGGGTTGGGATTAGGGTTTATGTAAAACCGTTTTATACGGCTGCAAAACCATAAAAACCAAAGTCACGTGAAATTTTTGGGCGAGCGAATTAGTAAAAGCCGCAAAAATGTAACGTGAATTTTGGCAAACATTTTTGTTTCCAATCAATTTTATTAATATTAACAATGAAACTTTGCTACTTTCCTTAATATTAGTACCTGGGTGAACTGAAATCTGTTGACCAACTGTTTAAATCAGTCGCATACTAATTTTTCCTGCCTACAGTAAACCCGTCAGCATTTTTATACGAAAAACTTTCTAATCGCACTGATCAACTCAAGGCGTACTCAGCTCAAAACGTGAAAAATCGAAAATGAGTTCAAAGTTTAGTACTAAATTATGAATGATATGGTTTATTAAGCATAGCTGCAGTACACAGTAGTCAGTTTACTACCGCCCTCATCAGATACAAATTTTAATTGTGGCAGTGCAATTGTTTCATATTGTAGCTCAAACTTGGCTCTCCTTCAAAGTTTTATTTATGTTGGTTTTGTACCCATAAACTTTTAATAACTTTTACGTCTTTGTTTTTCGGAGTCAGTCGATACGTTCCCTCATCGCATCATGTCCTAATACCACCTAGGCCTAGTCATAGTATATTATATAGTAGGTAGTGCGCCATCGACATGACAGTGAGCCGCGTGTGCCGACTGTAGGATGGTTTTTTAGCGCTTATTTAGGCCAGCACAAAATTCTTGAAACAAATGCGTATTGAGTAACCTTCCCTTGATTCAATTTTAACAAAAATTGGTTAGCTTACTCATAGACTTACAAGAAAAGTGTCCAAAAAATTTAATTTTAAATGTTAAATGTTAAAGCATATCCAACCATCAAACATTCTGTTACACTTACAGCTAAAAGCAGCGTATTTTGCCCCATTTTGCCCCATTTTCATCACTATATCAACTCTTGTATCACGTCGTGACCTTGTATCACGTTGCGACCCCCACGGTCGTTTCACTATGGTCGTCCTGACGATACAGGGGGAGCCGCGCACTTCGTGCGCGGCGGGTCATACAACGTATGACAATCGTGACCCCCATCGTCGTTTCACTGTACACTGTAGAGTTTCTCATTTCTACGATACAGGGGGAGCCGCGCATTCGTGCGCGGCGGGTTAACGGGTGATCGATACTCGTAAAACTAAAATATCTGTTCCATATATCCGTCGACGCGGACGAGTCAAACTCGGCGCGCGTCCTGGTAGGTTGTAAACCTACAAGCGGCGGGTCATACAACGTATGACAATTCAACTTTGATATCCAATTGTATCACGTTGCGACCCCCACGGTCGTTTCACTATGGGAACGTTCAAATATTGTGACGTTAGCAGCCGAGGGGAAGGACGGGTTTGAAAATGACTCAGAAAACCTTACCGCCTGCTGGGCTTGCTAGAGGTGATAGATTTTCAACAGCACGTTTGGCGTCGCGCGTCACATCGAGTTTACCTTTCGCACGCTGCATTTAGTTTAGTAGTCATGACAACGACATGACTTTGCAAAGTTTAAAAGCTGTGACCTTTTATTTAGCCAAAAATCAAACTTTTCGGTTTAATTCAGAATCTAAGTTGTCCCAAATTGTGCTCCTGGGGAGCCTCCTTTAAATTTACGAGACGGAAATTTTGTTGAAATCCGAAGGTTCTATCTATTTTACTTTTGGAGATATTCCCCGGCTGGTAGGGTTTGCTGGGGATGAACGGGGGCCGGGGGTTGATGGTTGAGCCTTGCAGAAATTTAACGTGAATTTTAGCAAAAATTGTTGGTTCAAATTGATTTTATTATTAATAAAACTTCGCTAATTTCCTTAATATTAGTACTTCGGTGAACTTAACTTTGTTGACCAACTGTTTATATCAGTCGTTTGGAGGACTTCGCCGCTTCGACGTGCCGCGCAAACTAGCATTCTTGCTTCGCATCGAAAAGACGAGATTGGGGTTGACACCGTCGTGTCAATCAAATCAGTTGCATATTAATTTTTTCTGCTTACACCCGCGCCGCGCCGTTAGTATTTTTATACCCCCTCGCTGGCTGACGGGAGGGGTAGGTATTATTATTAAGTAAGGGAGTTAAAAAGGCAAGGGGGTCTGGCGGATGCTGACGTCATTAGGGGGGTGTGTGTCACTAAATGTTCGACAGAAATACGTTAAAATACGTAAAGTTTCCGATCAATAAGCCCAAAAAAATTGAATTTAGACCCTGTTAAATATTGTTTGGAATACGTCTAAAATTTGTCTGAAATACGCGCGCAAATCAAATTAACGCCGCGTATTTTGAATTTGTTGAATCTTCTGAGCGTTAAAATTGTTTTTACTCCACAGTGGAAATCGAAATACGCGAATTTTCGGCAACAAATACGTTTGCTTGAAACGCTACGTATTTAACAGCATTGGTATGCCCCGCCCGGAATGAAAGGTTCTTAGTTGTCGGTCATCGAACCGTTTCAAGGCGTACAGTGCGAACCTTGAGCGACCTGATGTTGAAGTGGTCGTTGTAGACTCAGCTCACTACCTCTACATGCTCTCAGACAGAATAGGAGTCATGCTCATCAGACATATTATGTTCACTGCTATGCCGCTAATAAGCACTTTTTCTTGAAAAGCCAACACGAAGGTTGACGTTTGCGTCAACTCTCCTATTGTTGCCAACAGGCAACGTTAAGCAACTGATTAAGCAAGGTAAAAATACACTAAAAGTGTTAGCAAAACTATAGATGCGCAGAAATGTTTCATTGCTCAAGAGGATTAAGTTGATAGGAGTAAATAGCCAAGTCGAAGTAATTTATAATTATAACTAAGTAAACTGTGAGATGAGTTCTCTTTCTAGGCGGGGATTCAGCCGTTTTTGAGTCGGTACGTAACAGCTGCATAACAATAGTCCTCGCTCGTTCATTTGGCCTGAATGTCTCAATCCTTTAGATTCAAATCTCAACTACATTATTTAATCATCTAAAAGTTTCATTATCGTCGGTCTTGCACCGAGGGCTGAATTTGACGACCTAACCAATTGTTTAATCTTCCAGCTCTCAAACTTTTGAAGTTTAGACTGTCCCTCATTATTTGCCAAACTTTGAAATTGTTGTTTTCTTGAGAACCAATAACACTATGAAGGAGAGCTAAGTTCGAGCTAGAAGTAGAATATGAAACAATTGCATTGCCACACGTGAAATGTTTATCTGATGAGGGCGGTAGTAAACTGACCAGTACCACAGCTATAACAAACCATGTATGATTATAATTAAACCATATCATTAACAATAGGGGGGCCGACATCTTATTCTAACTAGCTAACCCAACTATAACCGTCCAAAAGCAGTCGAATAATCAATAGGCAGATCCAATCACGGTGAATATGGTATCGCAATGGCTTATACGAGAACCAGCCCATTTCGGACCCAGCTCACGTTTGTTATACTTATGTGACCACATGCCGAGAGCTCAAACATTTCTTAATATTATACTTTATAATACACAGCTACTTACTAAACTGTCATATGAACCCTACCAGGTTCTTGGTTGTCCGGCTGTTAGGATGGCTAGAATATCAAATATGGATCACATCACAAATGACACGTCACTGATTGGGCCATGTGATGTGATACCTGCGGGAGCCTGAATGAGAGGTTCTTAGTTGTCGGTCACCGTTTCTGAACCGTCGTCTTCACTCGTGTTAAGCGGTTAATAACGGGAATTAAATGGGGCTCTATTCATAACTCACGAATTTTAACGCATCCGAAACCGCAAGTTCCATTTAAAGTTTCTATCTCACCCATCCATCTTCAATATCCGAGACCGTAACTGTGGCCTTAATTTAACACATTAAACACGATACCCGCGCACTTTAGCTCAAACCTGATAATGTATTCTCCTTTAAATCGGGTATAATTATACAAAAAGTAATTATTACACTGTAAAGTGTGAACCTTATCTATCAGAAACCTATTAATGTTTCCTTGTTCTTAGTTTATTCTAAGGACTGTCCGACCAGAGATGAATTTGGAGAAGGTAGGCATGTTGATAGAATGCGATACTATTTCTATAACATATAATCTTCTCGTATATATACCTAAGAACACTTGATCGGCTCACTCCCGTTGCATGCCTTTGGCACGTACGTCTCACATCCCTAGATACGAGAACCCCCCTTTAGCAAGAGCTCCCGTCCCTAATGTGATATACGAGTCGAGCGGTCAAATCTTAAAGATCATGTTTACTTCTTAATGAACTGCTATGATGTACATGTGAACTCTACCCTGTATCTAGCCCATTTCTAGGTCAGTTAAATCCTACTGATGGATCACATCACTAATTATACGTCACTAATTAGTGATATGATCTGATCTCCCTGGGCCCCCTAGTAATGAGGGGGCCTGGCCGTCGGCCTCCCGTCGATGTGACAACGAATTTTGAGGTTTCGCAAATAAAAATAGTCAAAGAAAATTGTGAGCATGATTGGAAATTGTACTTATTAATGATTTTCATAAAAGTTACAACAAAGTCTTCATGTTATGTATCCTGGGTTTGGACAGGTAAACAGGTTATGACATTTATATTGTGTAGCTGCAATGAGCAATCCCAACTTCATTCGATTTGAATTTGATGAAGCAAGCTTACATTTACAATTACATTTCTCTTCTTTTCAGCTAAATGAAAGTTGAGCCTCGCTTCACTATTTAGTGCCACCTCAGACCTTAGCGTGAATAATTAAGTCCGTGAAAATAATGTCTGTGGCATTAAGCACCCTACGCGCGTGGGGTGGACTCCTGGGGTGGACTTTTATTCAGCGCGTATTTTGTAGCCTGTTCAACTTGACGTTTTGAATCGTTACTATCTCAATGTCACAGATACACAGAATGTGAGGTGATCATCTTAAAGAGAAACGTCTCAGCTTTCACCTGGTGTAAAGTTTATCTTTGTTCTCAAAATATAGCTCGCTCAGTGTGCAACAGAAGTTGACATTACAATAACCACGTCTGCGACCGGTCGTCAGATACCGGAGTCTTGCACAAAATTGGGTCCCTAAATTAAAATTCTATGACACAGTTACCATGCAGAAATGTCTGGAGTAACATTTGGTGAAAATTTGAAGGGTCTACTGTTAATATTGCAAAAGTTATTGAAAACAAACTAGCTTAATCAGAAGTTTTTGGGAAAATTTCAAATTTTGTACGTAGTGGGGTCTACTGGGGTGGACTCTCGTGACGCGCATCTGATGGCGTGGCTTTTTCAACAGCAGTCAGTACGGCCAATATCAGAGCACAAATTATTGTGAGTAAGACCTTAATGGTCAGCTATGAACCCCTCACTAGAATAGTAACCGTATCTAAAAACAAGGAAATGTTATTCCGTCAAAGCTCAAATTTTTTACTCTTCTCAGTGCAGTTACTATGAATGTACTAGCTAAGTATCGTTGATCGTAGCTGCATTACACAGTAGAAGGTAACCAAGGAAGACTGCTGATTAACGAAGCAATTTCAACGTGAACAGTTCCAAAATACATAATCATGGCGACGATAGTTCAACTTGAACCTTTATAGTTTTTACAGTCTAAGATCACAATAAAATCACGTGAACTGCGAATCACAAAATCAAATCACTCAAATCTGATACAGTCCCGTTACAGTACGCTTTCGTGACAACCTCAACGCTTAAAAAAATAAATATTCTGCAGTCTTGTGACCACCGATGGCCCTAACTCTCCCTTGTCCGCGAGGAACATCGTTGCGACCATGGGTTTCAGTTCTTTGTTCTTCCCACTCGGCTTCGATAGATCGAATTGGCTGGAAGTCAATCTATCAGAAAGACCTTTGTCGATCTCAGGGGCGTGGTAAATTGTGGATGTCGGAGTATAAAGCTTCCTGAAAAGATTGAGACATTCACTCGGTCTGTTGTAAATATCGAATAGTCCTTGTAGGCCGAGATTTAATTTATGTTGGGTTTGATAACTAGAGAAGGCGATTTGATATTCATTGATAGTATAAGAGTATAAGCATATAAGCATAAGTGATAAGTTTATAAACCCCCTTTATGGTACCTCGATATCAGTATTGAGTAATCATCACTCAAAATCTACTTATTAAATTTATTAACTAAACAAGTTAATGTATTACCGTCCTAGAGAGGTTTTCCTGAGAATTTGAAGTCTCTGTAGGTTGCTGACATGTCTACTAAGCTCTTCGATTGAGGAGTTTTGGACCCCTCGGCGGTCCAAATGATTTATAATGCAGTGGGCATTTTCAACATCTATCGAGCTAAACGCCCTCGCAGCATAACCTGTAGAGAATGAACATGTCATCAATGCAAAGTTCAATGATAAAAATCAGAGTGTCCGATTTCAACGGGCAGAATTCGAATATCATGGCCTTGGGGAATGGACTATTTTTTGTCGATTTTACTAACCAAACTGGCAAATGATTGTTGATTTTCGTCACTAGTCTAAAATGAAAGCAAACGTTCGGCCGAACATTTACATGATTAAAAACTTACCGGTTTCTTTCGTTATTATGTACAGACATAGCCGGGCTTGGGTTCCGCATACGATATCTTCTATCAGATTAAAGTTGAACCCAGAAAAGCAAACTGATACCTTTTCCATGAGCATCTCGTGTAGTACCATCATCATTTCGATTCTGATATCAGCTGCAAAATTCGTCTATTACTAAATGCTAGCTTTTCGAACTTCGTATCTTGGAAATAACAACTTCTATGAAAGAACACACACACACACACACACACACACACACACACACACACACACACACACAGACGCACAGAGACACACTCACACACACACACACAGACGCACAGAGACACACACTCACTCACACACACACACACAGACAGACAGACACACAGACAGACAGACAGACAGACAGACAGACAGACAGACAGACAGACAGACAGATACACACACCCACAAACACATACAGACATAGACACACAGACACAGCATAAACACAGACACACAAAGACACAGACGGACACACAGACAGACACAGATACACACAGACATACACACACACCCACAAACACACCCACAAACACACACAGACACATACACATACACACACAGACACATACACACACAGACACACACACATAAACACACATAGTTCACTTCAGTACACTACATTACAATTACAGACACACGCAGTACAATCAGAGACACACACTCGATACAAAGACAGACACAGGCACAAACACACAGAGTACACTTCAGTACAATCACAGACGCAGGCACAAAGACATATACAAGAAGAGCAGATTGAAGTACCTTCATTTGCAGATGTTGACGCATTGATCTGTGGGATATGTTCTTCAGTCTGTAACTGATCATCTGCTAGAACTGTCTCATCTGGATCAACCGGAGGAGTATCTTCCGGCAGGAGTCTGAGTGGGTCTATCGGGACAGCCATGGATCGCTCTCCGTACCTTGCTGAAATAAAGACAAAGGTCAACGACGGATGTCGCATGTCAGTCCTGTAACTAAATGTAATGCAAAATAGTGAATAAATAATTTTTACATCTGAACGATTGTTCATTGATTCTTTGAATCTGTTCATTGATTCAAAGAATCAATGAACAAAAGTTCAGGATTTTACCTTCTGTTAAGCTGTTAGCACTGACTCTAGCCCCCTCTCCCTACAAAACGACCATATCTCGGGCTGAAGCTTTCAACCGTCTTGCCTCAGCAGCCATCTAGCACAGTCGACCTGTCCTGTTAATTATGTGATCATCAAGTTACCAAATTTAATCCTTCAATATTCAAATAATTGATTATCAGACAAAACAGAGTTTAGAGCTCGACGTATGCTTCAGGGTTTCACACTGTGCTGTTATCAAACGCATGACTAAAACCTCTTGCTACTATTACCAATGTTAGATAAACCCATATTGTTAAGCGGTCAAATGATTTACCTGAGTTGATCGCGTCCATGAAAGGGTTCAACTGCGCTCTGTCCAGCTTGTTAATGTCCGCTCCAGCAGCCAGCAGTGCCTCCGCCTCCGTCACTCTCCCTGCTTTGCATGGCCAGTGAAGCGTAGAGCTCCCCTCTAAGCTCTGTGACGATCCGACGAAGGATCCAGATTCCCTTCTTTTCTCTTGAGATTGCTTCAATTCTTCCTGGAGTATGCGGATTACCATTTTATACTTCCATACAGGGCGCGTGAACAATCAGCAATGAATTATCAATTAATCAATCTAGTTTTTGAGTAAAAAGTCCACAGATTGTGATACATTGGATTTGATATTGGAAAAGACATGGCTTACCAAGTACCTTTTCATGTGCTTTTTGGAGGACAGGGATGACTTATTCCTGCGTGCCATTTCACCATAACTATCTGCTGTAACAGCAAAAATTAGAATTATGTCGGACATAATTCTAAAAAATTGGAACATTGTAGTTAATCAGTGTGGTGCTAACAACAGAGAGCGATTTGAACGGTAGGCAATTTCATAAATTTCATTAACTCGATATAAGGATGATTGGAACAGGCTAAAATCTACAATGTGGCATTAATAACTGGCTATATCGCTGCATTAAACGATTAAAGTATTGCTAACTATGGATATTCTAAGTGATCTAGGCAGAGGGGAACCGGCACAGCCTGATTGCGTTGTCTTCACTTTCAGTGACTAAGTTTCACGATAGAAAGGGGAGTAGGGGATTATGACGGAGTGAAATTTATTTAGCAGGGCAAACAAAAAACAACTGACAGCACTGAGCAAGTGAACTGGAAAATTGAGGAACGAAAATAACAGTGGTTGTCAGCCCTTTCCGTAGCAATCAGGATTTCCCAGGAGATCGATCAGGCAATCAGGATTTCCCACGAGAATGCTCGAGTCAACGCGCGCACTTGTGTCACGTGACGGCCACGTGACGCTCTAATCGTTGTCACGTGATACAGAAGGGAGGTTCCTATAGCGTCGATCTCGACAAGAGGGAGTTTCTCACGGTTTATCTTCAATAACTATCGCTATTTTTATAGTAGAGAGTTGAAACTTTCACCAAATGTTTCCCTAGACATTTCTGCATGGTAACTGTGTCATAGAATTTTAATTTAGGGACCCAATTTTGTGCAACACTCCGGTATCTGACGACCGGTCGCGGACTTGGTTATTGTATTGTCAACTTCTATTGCACACTGAGCGAGCTATATTTTGAGTGCAAAGATAAACTTTACACCAGGTGAAAGCTGAGACGTTTCTCTTTAAGATGATCACCTCACATTCTGTGTATCTGTGACATTGAGATAGTAACGATTCAAAACGTCAAGTTGAACAGGCTACAAAATACGCGCTGAATAAAAGTCCACCCCAGGAGTCCACCCCACGCGCGTAGGGTGTTAAGGTCCGTGAATAATAAAGTCCGGTAATTATTTCCATCAATTTTAGTGTGTGTGTCCCTACATATGCGTAGATATGTGTGTAGCTGATTACTATATTAGTTTATTAGTATACTAGGACAAATATAATCACTCCTCAGTCACATTCTAGAATATAGCGAATATAGCGACCCAATTTATATCAAAGATTCTCAATGATTGTCATCGAGAACATGTTATTCGGTAATATTTTTATTCAAATATTTTTATTTAAGATATTAAATTTAGACATGTCCTATTTGAACTTAAACGAGTGTTATCTCCAATGTAACCTTCAAGGAAAAATCTTCGTTGGTTATCAACAAAAAAACTGTTCATTCATGTTGTTGAATCAGATAATTGAGAAACTTTAATTTTCAAAAGAGTTTGAGAACACAACTAAATATTTACATAAATTGCACAAACATTATTAAAATCAAATGTTTTTTACATCCAGAAAATGTTCTAGTCAAGCAAAAGAATTAAAAGTTATTGAGCTGCTAACGATTAATGATTAATCAAATCAACTTCGCTTAACGTAAACAAAACTATTGTATGAGTATCATGCTGTAGGCAAGGTTACCACTTTATGCTCTTCAATAGTAAAACATGCTTGCACAGATGGAAATAATTGACTGACGAACCATTTTTAATCAGAAAATGTCAAGAATGAAGAATTGGAAATGTCATTGTTCCTGCCTAAAAGAAATAATCGTCCTTCTTATTGTGAAGTCAAGTCCTTGACTTGGTGAGTAGTGCAGGTCAAGCTTAGACAGTGCAATTTTTGGTGATGTACTTCAAGAGTTCCACCGTTTCCCTCGTCATCTTAACACCGACAAGACTCCCTGAAAATATAAAGATTGTGTCATTAAATAACAGTATCCTGTGACTGAAAATGTTTAACACGACCATTTTAAGTAGTCAATAACCAACTATTAGTATTACTAACATCAACAAAATTTACTAAACCCCCAAAATTTGGACTAAGAATTATAAAGATGTCACTTGTTTACTTATGATTGATATAAAATTAATATAATATTTACTTTAACTTATGATTATTAAATTACCGCTAATTCCGTCCCACATGGTGATGAGTGAGTTAGCATCCTCTCTTGTGAACACCTTGTTCAGGTACCGCTTGGTATACAGCATTGTCCACGGTCTCTGTTCTGAACACTCATCAGTGTCAATGTGCTTTAGAAACGTGATGAACTGGTCGGTTATCGTGAACCCGATCATCATCTCTGAAATATGCCAGTTTATTTAAATAAATATGCCAGATTGAATCGATTTATAATTTTCCTTTAATCGATTGAGATGAACAATAAAAGTTTCAGATTTTATATCTATTACAATCATATGTTATATTGAAAGCATAGAGAATAGAGATGCTTAGCATTGAGCATAGTTCATGATATGACGCACAGAGGATATTTTAAAAACATTTATCAAAATTTAAAATTTTTGAAACACCATATGCAATGATGGTCAAATTTGTTTACAAATGTTAAGTTGTTTGAGTAATAAAATCATAATTTAATATTATACCAGCTATGTTGTCCCAGCTAGAACGAAGCCGCTCAGCAACTTCTAAAGAGATCGTCGTGTTCACGTAGGTGTCCTGGGAGAAAAGATCCCAATCCCAACTTTGACTGGTCTGGTTGCATTGCTCCAACTGTTTCAGGGCCGTTTGAAGATTGTCAGCTGTTCTGTTCAAGTTTGTAGATACATTTTCCAGCTGTAGTTCCGTAGAGTTTAGCTTTGTTTGTGTCTGGTTCAGGGTCTGCTCAATGACCTCTTTTTCCTTAATTGTTTCCTCTAATGTCTGCTCGGATTCCTCCAAAGACTGCTGACATTCTGCCAATAAATGCTTAGTGGCCAAGAGCTCAGCTTCCTTACCACATTGATCAGGGATAAATTCTGTAACGGTTCCTGTTCTACTCTTCTTCAACATGTCCTCCCATTTCAGAACACGCACGTCCTCATTTTCATCTTCTATAGTAGAACACATACCAGCGTCAGCCATTCTTTTAATTTCTTCTCCAGACAGTTCCTTTGCGTAGACGTTGAGCTGCAACATCTCTCCACCAAATGCATGATCGGATCGGGTGAGATAGCTATCACCGTTTCCCAATGTGAAGCTATGGCCAGTTGGAATGGTACTGCCAGGTGTCTGTAACGTACCTAAAAGTGCACCGTCAGCGTAGTATCTCATGGAGCGGGAGGAAGTGCTAAAAGTCAAACAAGCATGGAACCACGTTCCTTTAGACACCGAGAGCTTGCTTCTAACGTCCAGATGACATTTGGTTGCACAGTTGTAATGCCCGTTACTTTCATATCGTACTATATCAGCGCCGTAACTAAAAATTATAGGCCATGTGCCCGATCCAATGTCTCGTACCCAGCTGCAAACCGACATTTTGTTGGCAAAGGGGCTCATGTCTGAGCTAAACCGTATGTATGAGCCTCCGCCATTGGCAAATTTCAGTCCTTTGATTTGGTCGGAATAACTGATAGCTTTAACAAAGTGAAATGCTAACACCAGGTACACGAGCAGGGAGAGGATCATCATTCTCTGTAGTTCTGTCAATATCATTAAATTATATTGTTTGTTAAATGATTATTACATTGAGTACGACAAATTTAGTCTTCCATAAATTTAGTCAAAATATTGACTAAAATTGTTGTAAACCAAATTTATTGAGACTAAATGTGAGCCGACCTTATTACGTAAATGTGGCACTGTGACACTTGTGGCACTAACATGTGGCACTTGCGACACTCACATGTGGCACTATCATATGTAGCATGTGGCACTTGCGGCACTCACATGTGGCACTTGTGGCACTATCATATGTAGCATGTGGTACTTGCGGCACTCACATGTGGCACTTGTGGCACTATCATGGCCTATATAATTGCGCGCGCCTTTCGTTGTAAAACTTTTGCTCCCGCCATTTCTACGAAATGTTAACAACTACAACTCACCTGTGGTCACGTGATCACATCGGAACATGGAAGAAGAGGCCGCCCAACTTGCTGTCAACTTCTTTCCTTCCAGATAAGTCACTTTACCTTGTAGTGCACTCCCGAAGTAGTTCCGATCATGTCATTCCATTTCCTTGCAAGTTCCCGGATCTCTCGCCCAACACCCCCTGCAGGGACGGAGCTTCACACGAAACGACGAGTAAACACAAGCTGGAGTCACACTACTTTGCAAGCTACAAGACGGTGCCGACTTCTTTTCCTTCAGATAAGTTTAACACATCCGTATTGCACTGCCGAAGTAGTACTCCTACACCAGTTTTCTCTTTTTCTCCTCCTCGCCTGTCCGACTCCTTTTACAGATCCGGGTGTCTCGACAGCAGAAACGGAACAAGCAAACACGGACAAGTTGGTGACACCAGGAAGCAACACAAACCTAACGCTGACAACCAAATAACTACACCGTCACATCCCCCACAGTTACAAACTCAAATACTTCCAAATCTGCATCTTTATAATGACGTATCTACATCAACGTCATCACACTAACCAATCAGCAGGCCCTGTTCCCACAATTAGTGTGCCCCGACGAGAATCGAACCTGCATCATCACGATTCCGACGCATTGCATTATTACGTCATAACACTTGTTTATTACGTCAAATTTCTGCTTGTGTCCAGTTCTTCGTGTACCCCAGCTAGTGAAACGCGGAAAACTTTGAAGGGATGCAAAAAGCTGCTGCTCGGGTGGAGCTTATCCACAGTCCCCCCACCCAGCCCTGACGAGGATACCACTCCCCCAAGGACCCGGGTGTTAGTCCTGAAATCTCACAGGATATATAGTAATGACCTCTCACTGCTCACTTCCGGCATGTGCAGCACTGAGCAGTTAGTACACTACACAAGTTCATCGACTATACACGATCTGGAGTACATTCGATCAATACCCCGGGGCTTTGAGTCAGGAGTATCACAGAATGCACCGAATTACAAAACGGTGTACAGTTCGGATGCATCACGTGATCTGTTCGATGAGGGTGTTTTATCCTGTCCAAACGTCCCAGCTGAACATCTCACGTACATTGAGTGTACAGTATATGGTAACTTACCTAACTCACTCGATCAAGCGAAACTAGAACTAGGCCTAGAAGCACGAGGCGAGCGCGGGCGCACGCTAACTACATCACGTGACGCTGGATTAACATCATTAGCGAAAAAGCGTCGCCATGACAACGCGTACTCCCCTACGATTTCTAGTAAACGTAAGCGCATACCAACCACGCTACGTTATCGGCAGGCTGACAGTGTATCTTATCTCCACATCAGCGGGGATCTGTTTCTTGATTGCAGCTCTCATTTGTTAGTTGACAGCTTGCTCTTCGTTTGTGTCCCTTCAGGACTTCTACTTGTGAATTACCCTTATAATCAAGTTTCTGCTGCTGCTTCTCAAGATGACCTGTTCAGGGCTTCTAAGGACCTGTCAGACTCGGAGGGAAGTGGAAGCACTGGAGAGAGTTCCAACAGCAGTTCCTCTAACAACTCCTCCAGTGCAGCAGCGGCATCAAAGTCAGAAAGAGAACAGATCCAAAGCAGAGGAGCATTGTCTAACGGATCCCGTAGCATCACCACTGGATCAAACGGAAATGGAGACGGGAATGACGAGGAGGATGAAAACAATAAAAGATCTCGCTTACTCCATGAATGCGAGTCTAGTGTGACAACTGATCAGGAAGATAAAGAAGAAGACACTGGTCATACTTCTGGAGGAGACGGAAGTAATGAAGGGAAAAGCTCATCACACAGCTCTTCTGCAGACGACAATATGAATAAAACTAGAAGGAACCAAGTTAAGAGCAGAGGAGCACTTTTTAACGGTTCACGTAATAGTTCTCTGAGCTCCAGTTATAGAGAGGACGACAATGAAGAAAAGAATAACAGAAACGGACCACGGCTGCTACACCAGTGCAATGATATTGCCTTGAAGGAGCCAGAAATTAAAAATTTCAGCCCACAAAATGCTGTACTGGACCGAATGTCACTGACTTTGAAAGAACATAATAACACTAGCCAACACCAAAATGTTCAGGCTATTACTGCCAACTCTACCCAGATAGACCACAGCCAACTAGCAAACCCGATGTTTGATATGTCTGTGCTCCATGGGATCTCCAAAATATCGTACTCGTTTTGGGAGTCAGCGAAGAATGTAACCCTGTTCGGCAGAGGTAGAAACGTTAGTGAGGTGAGTGACATATCAATTAGTAGGGAACTATGCGACCTGTCTGACATCGCCGAGTTATCTTTGAACATAACCATTCAAAACACCACAGTACTGGAGGACAGTGTACATGAGAACAAAAAACAAAAATCTAAAGATGAACCAGAAGATGGTGGTTTTGAAGCGAAACACACAGATGAAAGAAATAATATCTACACTGGACTCGCCAACCCAGAGATAACGCCTATCGGGATCCCACATAGATCGAGGTGCTCTAGGATCAGAACTAGATCGGAGTGTTCTCCCTTGATTAGAGCTGGGCCCTATGATGTGCCACTGGATATTATCCTAAGGAAAAAACAAAGAGCGAACAGGAAAACCCAAGCCACTCACCATAATGAGACGCCAACCAGCAAAAGGAGGAGAAACTGGTCGGAATCATTTAGTTCTAAGGACTCCCCTGGTAAAATAAATGAAATAGACTGCGTTCGGGTAAGGGACTCGGGTCTTTACGACAGCAGCAACGGATTGGGAAGTTACTTTCACTTGGAACATAACTATCTTGACAACCAAGATACCGGAAAGATCGACAAGGAGAGACTGCTTTTAGAAATAAGGAAGGCTCTATCAATACCAGGAAATGAGTCACAGTCATTTGGAGCAGACAGATCAGCAAGCCTAGTGTGGAACGAAGAGGAGATTGAAGCCGTCTCACGTTCCCATACATATGGTCAATCACCACACCCAATCGACCAGAGGAACTGCTTGATGTATCTGCTAGGCAGAATGATCAATCACTCAACCCGGTTGCAGCCAATCAAACCTATCTTTAATGGACTGAAGATCACATTATTGCCTGATAAGACTGAAAAGTTTCCTGCTGAAACCCTAATGGATAGTATAGGACAGCCGCTCATTCTTTTGCATCTAGGCAACACCAGTAGAAGTGTCAATATCATATCGAAGAAATCTGACCCTCACAGGCTTAAGGTATACGACGTTTTACTGGAAAACTTCTCCCTTCTTACCATATTTCCAGACACCTATCGTCACATGAACATCAGCTTAGCTAGTGAAGGAAACCTTTCGGGAGACAATGCCGGCCCACATATACTCATATCGCCATGCTTCATCCCACCGAGTGAGCCTCTCGAATCAAACGAAGGTGGGACGTTATCTGATGATGTTGGTATTGATGATGACCCTAAGGAAACAGATGCTGAGGACCATGATAACCTCAAAAAGACAGATGCTGAATACGATGCTAACTCGAAGGAGTCAGCTGATGGTAATTCGAAGGAGACATCTGATGAGGACGATGATAACTCGTGGGAGACAGCTGATGAGAACTCGAAAGAGAAAGTTGCTGTAGCGAGTAATGACAAGGAAGGAACATCCATTCTGGAGACAATATCACTCTGTCTCATAAAAATGGACGACCCCGTCACTGATTGTACACTGTTATCTGATAATGAAACAGTAAAATGTGAAAAGGGAACTAAACCAGTGAGCCTTGTGATGGAAGCAAGCACCAATTGCGATGGTGCAGGACCGATTCTATCGTACCCCAAAGAACACGATCATATTGAAATTACCCAACGTTCTGATGTGCATGACAAACAGGACACTTCGATTGATCACCCAGAGGAAGTAGCATTTGATGATACAACCGACGATATTCAAGGATCTGTATTTCGTAATAAGGTGACAGCTGTTGATCCTGAAAAAAAGGATTCAACTTCAACCAACAGTGCTGATCCCTCTGTTACTGAATCAGTGAGTCTCCCTGATAAAGAGGACACTACGATCGACCACCCGGAAAAAGAAGCATCTGAGGATACAACCGATGGCCCTAAATTGACTAAACTGTTTCTGAGGAAAGAAACATTGGTCCAACTTGCGGACCGCAACTCAAAAAGCAAAATTGTCGATTGGGTGAAGTTATGCCACATGAGGGTGGCGCACACCGCTGAGCTAAATAGGAAGATGGTTCTTGAGCACCTTATAGATGC